ACTTCCGTATGAACAACAGTTCTTCGAGAAATTACTTTTAAGGCTTATCGCCGACAACGGAGCGACCTTCAAAATAATTGGCTCGGATTCTTTCAAGGCAATATGTTTGCAACTTAATGCATTATACGTAATTCCAAGCACAGACGCTATCCAATCAAACATGGATTTAAGTGTAATGCATATGTGGAGGCAAATCGAGATACATCACTGATCGTAAAATTCAAGGCGCAATCACAGCGGATAGTTGGACAAGCGGTGATCAAAGGAAGTTCTTTGGAGTAACATTTCACTTTCTAACACATGACTTTCAGCCGGCTTCAGTTGTGATTGGCATGGAACGAGTCCAAGGCCCTCAATCGGCAGAAGTCCTATTGGAAAAGCTTGGTAAGAATATCATAGCTTTAGCTCTGTCGGTTTACTGCCTGTTTGAGACCTATGTAAATAACACTTTTAATCCTGGAATTTGTTCTATAGAACGTGTAGTCGCAAGATGGAATTTGGAAGGGCATTTGATCTGTGCAACAACGGATCAAGGGTCGAACATAAAAAGAGCCATACAGCTTTATAATCTAAAGAAGAGTATTACCTGGCTTCCCTGTTTTTCCCATGTAATACAGCTGTGTATCAATAAGGCATTGGAACGAAGTTCTGGAGCTAAGGCGGTGATGGAAAAATGCCAAAAGATCTCAACCTTCTTCAGAAGCTCCAGTCTTGCTATGGATCTGCTTAACAATCAGCGTAGCAAAACTGCTTACAACGAATGTCACGCGATGGAACTCAAAATTCAACATGGCAGCAAGGGTGCTTGAAGTTTCAGAAGCAATTACAGCGGTCTATCAATTAATGAGGGCAGGATCCAAAGACGAAAAGCTCAAGGCTGCGGAGCTCGGGCGGCACCTCCTTGTCGAGGGAGAGATCGAGACCCTGCAGGAGATTATCACGCTCTTGGAGCCGGCTGCCAAGCTTACACACTGGGCAGGCGCACATGATAACCCGACCATTTCGCAAATCTATTTGAGGGTCTACACCATGCTCCCGGCGCTTACAACATTCCGAACGGAAGAGACGAGAGAGTTATGGCAAAGCCTGGACGAACAGATCAAAAAATCGTGGCCTCTCCAGGACATTCCAGATACCGTGCTCATTTCTATATTCCTGAACCCTGCTTGCGCAGCACTCGATATCTTAAAGGATACGATGCATGCTAGTGGGGAAAGTCTGTTTATAAAAGCAAAAAAACTCTGCAGCGAAGCCTTTAAGATATTCAAAGAGAATAATACAGTGACAAAAAATCCATTGCAAACGAGTGATTATCAGATACTCTACTTCTCTTCGAATTTTGCGGTAGAGCTCTACACTTCATCGGTACGCTTGCCGGACTACAATCACGATCGCTTTAAAGATAAGCCTCAGGACTATTGGAGGCCATATGGCATCGATGAAAATATCTCAGTTGAGGAACTTGCCCACTTCGCGCGCTCGTACCTCTGTATCCAGTCCACATCAACTGAGTCTGAGCGTTTGTTCAGTAAGGCAGGGCTAGTCCTCTCTCCACTTAGGACCAACCTCAGTGATCGAAATGTGCGCAACATCATTTTTAGTCACAGCTTTGAGAAGATTCGGACTTTGTTAGACTTACAATGAAATAAATTAAGCGTTTTTATCTACACTGCGCGTCAACAGTGTTGTATTTTGTCCACTACTTGTGAAAGTAGTATAAAGTGATTGGCAATATTAAGTTTTAGCTTTATTCTGAAAGATGCGTCTATATTTTGGACTCCATCAATGAAACTCGCTATATTTTAATGCTCAGACGGAGGCCCAGGCCGTTGTGATGACATAAGGACATCTTCCTTTGACTTTGCAGCTTTTTTTCTGATTACTCATCGTAATGTGGTAATTCTTCATCTATTAATTCTCGAAGCTAATATCTAGAGGATTTACAAACCACTCATCAATTTCAAAGAATGTATTGATCAAGCAGATGTCGGGCGCGTTTCACCCCTTTCTTTATGAGAGCGTTCTTGAGAGAAGACAAGTCAACTAATAGGACATTGGATAGGCCAGAGAGCAACTTTAACATGGCATTATGTTTAAATTTTACTTTGATATCCCGATGAGAATATGCTGTATCGCCATGCCGGTTGAAGAAATAAATGATAAAAAGCTTTTTCTCATACCATTTTTAATGACTTACACTTAACATCTGCCTCAAGAATAAAGTATATATTCCACGGAGTGACAACCATGGTGCCTGAGGGATAGGGACTTCAGCATTGCTAAGCCAGGGCAAGACTTCTTTTACTAAGCCCAAAAAGAGTGGCAAGAGAAGAATCTAGTACAATCGTATCAGTGTTACTTGGCGTCACAGACGATGATTATTGGTCTTTAAGATCTTTGAGATATAGAGATATAGAAGCCTAGCTATGGAAGTAGAAGTTGGCTTTGACTATATATAGTCAACATTAGTAATAAAGAGAAAGCAGAGGCAGAGATGCCGAGCATTTACTGAATTATTAAAGTACATGGCCGCTTTGTGAGACAAGATCAGACAAATAAAGTTAATCTGTCAACTGTTCGTGGTATTAAGCGTGTTTATAGGGATGATGCAGAAGGTTCTCTGAGAATTGAATGAGAATGAGAATGACAATGGCAATGGTAATGGTAATGGCAATGGTAATGGTAATGGCAATGGTAATGGTAGTGCGAAAAGAGAAGAAGCCTGTTATGCATGCAAATGATTGTGGATTTTTTTAAGCCTGTATGCTTTTTCTTCAGGTTAGCGCTGTTTGTGCAATAGGTTTGTGCTGTTTTCAGAACAGGTTCGCGCTGTTTTAGAAAAGGTTTGTGCTGTTTCAGAACAGGTTCATGCTGTTTCAGAACAGGTTCGCGCTGTTTGGGCAATCAGCTTGTGCTGTATGGGCAATCAGCTTGTGCTGTATGGGCAATCAGCTTGTGCTCGTTTTCTTCCAGCACGTGCTGGAAACCAAAACATCACGCCCTTTCTCTTCAGGCTCAGATCTCTGAGTGCAGGCCCCCCTGAAAGAAAAGTAAGAAAAGTAAAAGAATGAGTAAAAGAAAAGTAAATAATAAGTATATTTCCAGTAAATATCAGTAAAACAAAAGTATATTTCCAGTATATTTCTAGTAAATATCAGTAAAACAAAAGTATATTTTCAGTAAATATCAGCAAAACAAAAGTAAGTAAAAAGTATATTTTCAGTAAGTACTTACTGATTTTTACTCGAAATATACTTTTTTTTTACCAATGTTTAAGTAAAAATTTACTGAAAAAAACTTCAAGTACGAATGTTCAGTACATCAGTACAGGTCACTGGTTTAAACCCATCATGGCGGCAGCGAGAACTATGAGGAGTTTCCGCGTTAGCCCCTCGAAGCGCTCGAGAAAGCAATTATTGGGGAGATCGACTCTCCCTTCACACCTTCATAAGTTTGTAAGTGAAAGTGTCTTAGTTTTCATATGCTCGAGCAATACCATGCCCATGAAAATTTGGACTAATTTCGACTTGTACATGTAACAAATCAAAGGTATGCCAAAATATTATATTGAGGCTGGGTGTGTTCTCTATGTGACTGCTGGGTATGCTTATAACTTACGCACACACCTAAAATCACTGGCCTCCTTAGCAATGTGAATGGGAAGCTCTTCGTGCCATTATCATCACATGATTACCTAGCTAGCTAGTTCACCTGTCTTCACACACAGACTCTTTTTGAGCTCGCATGCAAATAAAACTGACGCTGACCTGCAAATGAAAAGGTCCGTCTTTCCAAAAAACAGGCTGGCCAAACTCGCTGTCACCCTCGCCAATATTTAGCTTTAGCATGTACTGAACCAAAGATTGGATTCTCACCTATTGCAAAGGATTTGTACTCGGGTCGTCATCGAAAATACAATACGGATCAGTAAACCAACCAGGTTATAAATTCGAGCACACCTGTTTCACCTTCCGTTACTTGTAGGATCCTTGTTACTTTCTTTTCCTCCGTTTATTGGTATGCTAAAGTTCAGTAGGCACCAGTCTTACTTGATCGAGATCGGGTATTGTGAATACCTTTCACATATTGTTGTATCAGTCGAAAGCTTTTTCGAGTCGATCTTTATTATTCGCTGTAACAAAAAGTAACAATTTTTTCCGTGGGATGCAGTCGGGTCTCGAGTACAGAACATTTTTAAACAGCTAAAAAAAAAGCAGGGCGGTGCACGGCTGAGTTGCTTAATTATTGTGCTGCGACCAATGACATTTTGTATTTATTGGATCCAAATTTTTGGAGAAGGGGGAAGGTACTTTGACTGAAAAGCGCTGGAGTTTCTGGCTTCCTTCTGTCCATAGCCAAACGCTCATCTGGATATAGGAAGTGGGCTGTAAATAGAGCAACATAGATAAAAATGACTATTGTCTATGCTTACAGTAAAGCGGCTTGGTACACCACAAACCCTGTGTTCTGTTTATGAGCTGATAAATAGAGGATTTCATACACTTGAATGAAGAGTGAGGTAAGGATAAGAGAGAAGAAGACAGTGAAGATGGTGTAAGCATTGGAAACTTGAGATGATATCGGCTAAATGGTTCTCATAATTGTAACCTACAGCTAGATCTTGAATAGGATACGCTGTATTTTTGTGATGTATATATTAATAAATATTATATATAACATGTGTACGCCATGATAAAATAAATTGATCTTTGATCGTCCAAATCAAGACTATGCGTCATTAACTATTGAATTGTATCAGTTGTGAACATGTTGACAAGCTGTCCTAATCGAACAGTCCTTATTTTGATAGGCCATACAGAATAGATAGTGGCCCCCACAATGGACGCGCCAAACTCTTTTTTATTTTTTGTAAAGAGATAAGAGATAAGATTGCTGGGCAAATGCTTCAACTCTTCAATATTACGCGCGGCCATTACAGTTACAAAAAAAAACACGTCACTTAAACAAAGTTTTACCCATGAATTCATTTTTGTGTGAATCTTCTCTCAGCTTCTTCTTTCTTCTTTCTTTTTTTCTTCAACCTTAACAACTCATTCATTCGAATTTCATTTTCAACAATGGCCATCACCAAAGTTCACGCTAGACAAATCTTCGACTCTCGCGGCAACCCTACCGTCGAGGTCGAGGTCACTACCTCCAAAGGTAACGTAGTTTTTCTTTTATTTCGCAATATAAACATGTTCCTAAAGAAACACGTTGATCAGACACCTCACGATCGTTAGGCGACCTTTCGTATACATACAATTCTAACACGAAAAAAAAAAAAAAAAAAAAAAAAAACACATAAACGATGCAACAAAATCTAGGTGTTTTCCGCGCCGATGTTCCTTCTGGTGCCTCCACCGGTATTCACGAGGCTCTTGAGCTCCGTGATGGTGACAAGAACGCCTATGTCGGAAAGGGTATGTATTGGAATCGTCTTTGGTGTGAGAAATTTCTTGAGCACTTAAAGGGTCGCGTTTTATGCAAAAAAAAAAAAAAAAAAAAAAAAAAAAGAAGAAAAGAAAAGAAAAAAAGAAAAAGCTTCCAGCACAGATCTATGGATTAGACCTTTTTTTCCTCGATCTTTTGGGTTTTGCATTGTGGAAGTCCCGACTTTCACATCCATCGGAAGAATTAGGCGCAAGGACATCAAAGTCAATACCCAATGGAACAGATACTAAAAAAAGAAATGAAAAAGTCTCAATATTGCATGGAACAGAAATACAAAGAAAATCTTCCCACAGTCAGCATCACCATGCATACAAACAAAACTTAATGCAATGATCTGCTTGCCCTTTTTTTTTTTTTTTTTTTTTTTAATACATGGCATGGCGTCTCCGATTTCTTTTTTCTCAGGTGTTTTGACTGCCATCAAGAATGTCAACACTGTCCTCGGACCCGAACTTATCAAGGCCAACCTTGATGTCATGAACCAGACTGCTGTTGATGAGTTCCTCATCCAGTTGGATGGCACACCCAACAAGTCCAAGTATGGTGCCAACGCCATCCTTGGTGTTTCCATGGCAGTCTTGAAAGCCGGAGCTGCTGAGAAGGGTATTCCTCTCTACCGCCACATTGCTGATTTGGCCGGTCATAGTGGCAAGAAGATTGTCATGCCTGTTCCTGCATTCAACGTCATCAACGGAGGTTCCCACGCTGGTAACAAGCTTGCTATGCAAGAATTCATGATCCTCCCAACCGGTGCTTCCACTTTTGCTGAAGCTATGAAGATCGGCTCTGAGGTCTATCACACTCTCAAGTCCGTCATTAAGAAGAAGTATGGCCAGGATGCCACTAATGTTGGTGATGAGGGTGGATTTGCTCCCAACATTCAAGACAATGCTGAGGGTCTCGAATTATTGAAAGAGGCCATTGCTTTGGCCGGGTACACTGACAAGGTTCAGATTGGTATGGATGTCGCTGCTTCTGAGTTCTACAAGGATGGCAAGTATGACTTGGATTTCAAGACCCCCAACTCGGACGCCTCCAAGCGCCTCACCGGTGAGCAGCTCGCCTCGCTCTACAAGGACTTCATTGCTCATTACCCTATCGTCTCCATTGAGGATCCCTTTGACCAGGATGATTGGGCCGCCTGGTCTCACGTTACTGACCAGACTGCCATCCAAATCGTTGGTGATGATTTAACTGTCACCAACCCTTCACGTATTGCAACTGCCATCGAGAAGAAGGCTTGCAATGCCCTTTTGCTCAAGGTTAACCAGATCGGTACCATCACCGAGTCTATCAAGGTACACAAAGTCGCAAGGGTGTTCCTCACGAAAAAAAAAAAAAAAAAAAAAAAAAAGAGCATTTATAAAAAAGAAAAGAAAGGCCTTTATATAGGGTTGCCTCTATGGACACTTGCCTCTTATACGGACAAAGTGGGTAAAAAGAGCTCATGTCTCATTGATTTGCTCACACTTTTTTTTTTATAGGCTGCTGTCCTCTCCCAGCAATCTGGATGGGGTGTCATGGTTTCGCATCGCTCAGGTGAGACTGAAGACTATACCATTGCTGACATTGTTGTTGGTCTCCGCACTGGTCAGATCAAGACTGGTGCTCCTTGCCGGTAAGACACCCTAAACTTTATTTTTGTAGCCTACTTTTACGCATGTTTTCTTTGGAGTAGGGCAATTTCTCTAACAATGTCTTTTTTATTTTATTTTTTTTTATTTTTTTTTTATTCATCAGCTCTGAGCGTTTGGCCAAGTACAACCAGCTGCTCCGTATCGAGGAGGAACTCAATGGCGATTCCATCTATGCCGGAAAGGACTTCCGCAAGGCTCATCTCTTGTAAATAGTTGAGGTCTCCTTCCCTTTCACTTTCAAACATCTACTTTTTTGTTTCAAATCAGTGCCCACTTTTTATGGGATATAATAAAAAAAAGAAAAAAGCCTTCGTTTTGTAAAATATTAGGTGCATGAAATAATTCTGTTTTATTTGAGAGAATCCCAAATGTTTAATTAATTATTGTGTTTGAATACATTGAAATGCACGTTCTTGAGTGTTTTGATTGTTCTTTGGCCTCAATTTGTTTATACCTTTACTAAAATGTTATGCTATTTTTTTTTTTTTTTTTTTTTTAATAGTATCCACTTGAAGCTGATTCCATAAACTAACAAGCCCTTTCTTGATCGATGAGAATGAAAGAGAAAAAAAAAAAAAGATTGAGAGAAAGAAATTGAAATGTGGTAGCGAAGACAGGAGAAGATCATGACTAACAATCCCTTTTCTAAGGTCTTGTTGTTTTTTCCTTATTGTTTAATCTCCTTTTATAGAATCGTGCACTTTGACTTCTTCTTGGTGGGCTTCTTCTGAGGTACACCGCCATCACGCGCTTGACGGATCATCCTGACCACATTGTAGAATGAGCGTTCAACGTTCACACAGGTCTTGGCTGAAGTCTCCGTAAAATCACATCGAAGTGCCTTAGACATCTGATAGCCCTCGTCGCGTGAAACCTCGCGCTCTGTCAATTTGTCACATTTGTTGCCCACGAGCATCAAAGGAACGTTCTCTGTATCTTTGACACGAGTGATTTGGTCCCGGAAACGTTTTATCCTCTCAAATGTTGAACGGGCTGCAATTGAGTAAACCAGCAGGAATCCCTCTCCGTCACTATTTTTTTTAAAAAAAACATAAATAAATAATACATTAAAAAAAGGTTAAAACTCATTTGAGCTACTCAGGATGCACTACAGTTCAATCAGCCAGCTTTCTCCTGTGCTCAACTAGCTACTCAAATGCATGAGAGCATCATACAGCTAAAGACAACATTTGTAGTTAAAAAGAAAAGAGCAAACTAAAGAGCATTTCCCTCGAACTTGGGCCAATCTCTCGCCAGAAACAAGAAAAGGTAACCTACCGAATCCATTGGTCTCTCAATGCAGTATATTCTTCCTGTCCAGCAGTATCCAAAACTTCCAGAACGCATGTTTGGTCGTCAATTACAACTTGCTTTCTGTAAGAATCTTCAATAGTGGGATCATATGTCTAATAAAGAGTCAAATGTAGGACAATGGCTTATTAGTTGATGCCAAGCTCACGTTGATAACCTAAAGGTTGGTTACTCACATCATTTTTATGATGTCGCTCACCCATCAATAACAAACACGCATGCGAGCTTTTTTTTTTTTTTTTTTTTTTTTTTTTTCACCAAAAAATAGATATAGCCATGTGTCGATGTACGATGTCAACGGACAGATTGAGAAAGGAAGAGGATAATAACGCAAGCATCTGCTCTCATATTCCATTTAACATAGAGAGTAGCCGTGAAACAATGTAAATGCAATTAACTATGAATAATGAAGGTGAGACGAGAAAAAAAAAAAAAAAAAAAAAAAAAAGAAGACCTTCCTAGATCTGAAATCGCTCATGCTTCCCACATGTCTGCAATATCTTATCCAAATATGAATTCCAAGGCCACACAAATCAAATAAACAATACATGATAAATAAGAGATCTTCCGAAGATAGGCTTACCTCTGTTATATGGAATGACACATATATCCATGTCAATAATTAGCCGTACATCAAGAAGCATTTCATTCGATATCAAACAGTCGAGATGATTAATTTGAAATGCGAGAGATTCATCATTGTTGTTGATATCAGGAGAGGAAGAAGAAATAAAATAAAATAAAATAAAAGAATAATGAGCTGACATTATTCAATTATTCAGGCATAATCAAATGGGTCCACTACAATAACTAAGAGACAAACAATGGCTTACCCACAAAATGATTTAAGCATAGCTGATAGTAATAAAAACAAAATAGAAAGTCAATGGAGAAAATAGGGAACGTTAGCTCAAGACTATTTTGCATTGCATAGAGAATGGAGATGTGATTGATCTTCCTGAAACGCGTCCTTTTATCCTTTTGATTAAAGTCAAGTCATCGAGCACACTAAAGAACCGAAGCTTCTTTTGCATGTCTGACGTACAAGACTTTAAGAATTGCATAGAATAGTGATCCAAGGGGCCCGTTCAGCACACCTACCTGAATAGTCAAAGCAGTCTATAATGTTCGAGAAGTGGAAGGACAGTAGAACGTATAGTTAGAATCAGCATGCGCGGTTAGCTCCGTTCAGACAACAAATGGTATCGAGTGTTTCCTTCACATTTGTATGGCCAAATAATGTAACACTAAAGTCCAACTGTTCCTCCTCCTCTTAAAATGCCTTGCAGGCAGGGTATTTTCAGTTCTTCATGTCATTTACAATGAAGCAGCTGATTAACATCCCTTCCCCATGTTCCTCATGCCATGTGTCAAAAAAAAAGAAGGTTTATCTTTTTTCTTCAGATTCACTTTTGCATTGAAACTCAGAGACTAAACAGGCAGATGCGTGAATGTTTGTGCGTGTGAGGAAAGGTGCATGTGCAGGGTTGGAAGGGGTCCTTATTCCTACTATGGATCTAAAAAAAACAGAAGGATCTGTTTATCCAATCGCTTTCCAAACACCTAAAGAGGGGTGGCAAGGTGGCGGCGAAGATGAAGAGGAATAGGAAATCGAAAGGGTTGATGGATGCGGAATTGTAGTTGAATAGGATAAAATAATCCTTAGTTCTTTTCACACAGACACACAAATGAACGCCATGGAATAGAACGGGAGGAACAAACAGGAGTGGCTGATATCCATCATAGTTGCCTCGAATGTCATACCTTGCCAACACCTCCGTCCTATAGACGTTAAAAAAGAAAGTATCCAGCGATACATAACAATGTTAGGATTGTTTACCAAAAGACCATTTCATTCATTACAATGCGTCAAACGAATTGACAATGACTTACTCCGAGAACGACAAGCTTGTAGAGCATCATCCTGATTATTTATTTATTATTTTTTATTTTTTTTTTCCCTGATTTCTGTAAAAGAAATGGCGTCGAGATTACTATTTTAAATTTTTACTTTTGTTCGATACAGGAAGGTAGAGAGAGAAGGTGTATTTGCAACTTGAAAAAGAAAAAAATATGCGAAGGAAACAAAGGGGGAGGAGGAAGGACTTGATGAAGCTAGATGCAGTGAATAAGTTGTTGGTTGCTTAATATTATAATTTGCACGATGCGAGTAATACACAGGAAGAGAATAAAGGATGGAAGTAAAAAAAAAAAAGAAAGAAAAGAAAAAAGGAAAGAAGAAGGAAAGAAAGAAACAGAAAAAGAGGAAAAAAGAAGCTTTCCACCCTTGCCAGCAAAGCCTTGATGTCGCTGTTGTCACTGCTGTTGTTAGACTGAAGCCAAACCTTAACCTTCCAAACTTGTCTTTCACTCTCTCCTTGAGAAGCAAAGCAGAAAAAAAAAAAATGCAAGCTCTTTTTATTCATAGCAATGGTGTAGGGATATATTCAGTCATGTAGAAATATAGATTTTGAATGTAGGCTATCTTAAAAAAAAATACTTGAGCATTGGACTGCATTGCAGGTCTTTTTTACCTGAAATAATACTTATAGCTTCAGCGGCATGGTGTATTTAAATAAAAAAAAAAAAAGAAAGAGAGAAAAAGAATCTATTGTACTCAATAAAGGATTGAATAAAATGTCCTAGAACCATCTTAGTAACATTTTGAGCCTCAAATGGGAATTTGTAGATTGAACGAGCTGTTCCGCCTGGGCCAGTCAGCCCTTCAGTCCTTCAGCCTTTTTATGTCCTTGTTTACGTTTACAAAAGGACTATGTTTCCGCTTTTGTGAGTCTAAAATCCTGTTGGTCCTTGGTCCGCATGCTCCCCTCACTAAACTTGAGTCTTTTCCCGCGTCACTCCGATGGTTCTTTCAAAAACACGACATCACATTAGAAATGCTGTGCTACTCAAAAAAAAAAAAAAAAAAAAAAAAAGGGCATAGAGTAAGATAGTGTGAGAAACACACTTCTCTTGCACAAGATAAAAACCCCGCAACAAGACCCAGAAGCAATGACTGACACTGAAGGAAAAGGGAAGGACGAGGCTGATTCCCACATGAACTGTGCAAAGGATGCAAAGGATGCACACGCTTTTGGTGGTATCATTCCCCTTTGTTCTTTTATCTCTGCTTTTTTTGAGTTTGTGCAACTGTTTAATGCAAAACCCTTTTTTTTCTTTTTTTTATGCTTCCCTTCCTTCTCTGTTATGCAGCTTGAGCTTTGTGCTTTGGGCACATTTGTAACGAAGCAAAGTATAGGAAGGAAGTACGAAAGGCTCGACAAAAGGAACGACATCGGATGTTACCTTTTTTGTTGAAGTTGTTTTTGTCCGCTTCCTACTTCACATTCTGTAGATTCACGGATGAGCAAAAGGCTTGGCGCACCTCCCTAGTTTATCTCTATGCATATTTTTTCTACTTTTCTCTAAAAAAAAGAAAAAAGTATAAAAGGTAATGACAATAACGCTCACCATTACTTAATATCACTAAAGAGTGGCATGGTAAACCGAGCGGGAACAATAAAAGTACATCACGCAGCACTCAACAAACAAACATATCACAAAAAACGTGTTCCATTTCTTACAATATACCGCAACTATCAGGTAGATACCAAAAGAAAAAAAAAAAAAACAAGCGAAACGAACATGGTCCTTGCACATCCAACTTTTGCATGACTCCCAAGAAAAAGCGGGAGAATAGAAAACAGATGGGATCACCAAGGCGGGAAGGAGAAAAAAAAATCTGGTGCCAAAACACGAATAACGATGCGTGTTGCTTACATGCTATCACCTATCCATGCAAGCCTGCATGATGTTTGCTTATGTGGACGAAAACATGCGACATGCACAGGACGAAAACATGCGACATGCACAGGACGAAAACATGCGACATGCACAGGACAAAAATAGGCTTTCGTATTCTCATGGTCGATCGCAAAACCTGTCTAGCCATTCTTATGAAGCCTTATGAAGCTAGTATGCTTCGGGAGGATAACAATATCTTTTCGTACAACAACAAGCAGTAACTATCAAGACGAGGACCGTCTAGTGCTCAGACTCTTATGTTTTTTTTTTTTTTTTTTTTTTTTTTTTTGTTGTTGCAAGTGGCCAATCCACAGCAAGAGAAGGGATCGGCAATGTGATACACACCCAGATACACCAAGGCTAAGTCGTCTCACTTGACAACTCCATTGTTTAACGGGGCACAGCATGCAGTCGATCCTTTTGTTTTGGTTTGATGTGCATATATATATATATATATATATATATAAACATATCCAGCTTTACTTTTTAAGTAAACACTTTTTTCACAAAAGAAAATAAGCTTGGGCAAAAGCAGACGTATAAGGGTTCTGTATTGGCATCTCTCGACCATGGACCTTGCTACCGCATTTTTTTTTTTTTTTTTTTTTTTTTACATCCTTCATCTTTGATTCATTATGCATATCACCGCAATGCGTTGAATGCCTTTATACTTCATAACCCTTTTGCCAAAGTAAAGAAAAGCGAAATGGAGGGGTCATGTCTGAAATTAGTGACCCATGTATTTTTTTTACGCGATTTCTCGTCTCCCCTTTCTCTCAACCCCTTGGTTCGGGGACATGTTATTTTGACTTAATTTGAACATTTTCGTCAAATCGAACATTGCTTTCATACATTTTTCTGCAACAACATTAATGGCATATCACGAATATAAAGACCCTTGGGCTTTATTTCATGGTACATTTATTACAACGCTTCACAGTACTTGAATACATCTGAGTTTTTCCTTTCTTACAAGCTTGATAAAAGACCTTTAGGAACCTTGACCTTGTAACTAAGAAGCATCTGACCATATGACTTGCCTTGACGATCCAAGTTCAGTGAACTCAAGCCTCCTCCTCCCAAGCTACGCGTCAAGACAAAATTCAAAGCATGGATACCCGGGAGCTCATAACGTGCTACTTTGCCTTGTGCAAGGTGTGCCATGTACTCCTTGACAGACTCGGCTGTCAATTGTTGATTGATATATGGGAAGAACTTGGGGTCACGAGCAATGACACCAATATTGGCAGTATCACCCTTATCACCACTTCGTGCATAAGCAATACGGATAAGCGGGACAATTACGGTTTCCTCGCTTGAATTCGTTGGTGGCAAAGGCGCAACAGGGAGAGCGGGAGGGTACTCGTTCTTGGCATTCGTAGGCGCAGTAAATTTGACTGTCTTTGTGATCTGCTTGTCACCGCTGCCGATAGTCAACAGTGCTGGAACAGCTTCTTTGGGAGCCAAGACCGAATAGTGGGTCATGTTGGGGCTTGGATGAGGACGACCGGCTCCACCACCTGTTATACCAGGAGCATTACCAGTTGCGCTTGGTGCGAGTTCAACTGCAAGGAGGAGTAATCCGTGCTTTTCAGGGTGGACGGCTGTGATTCTGCAGCATACCTCGCGAGCATCTTGTGCAGTCGAGTGGGGTCTAGAACCCAGGAAGAGGTCTATTTTAGTACACACAGTCCTGAACAGAAGCTGCATATGAAAACACAAACATATTGAACTCCTGCTATTTACCCATAAGTTGACTCTGCACCAAGAGCCTCAACGCGTACCGCAGTAAAGTCCTCAATACCAAATCGCTCAAGATTCTTTTTGCCACGCTTCACGACAGCATCTCCTACAGCGAGCGCCTAAGAATATATATCCAGTAGTGAGTGGATTGGTTAAGTTCTTTATGCTTTCATACCCTGCGCAGTGCGTGATAGTGATGTGGTGTTGGATAACTCACCTTGCGTCTTGCATCAATACCACCAATCCAAAGATCTGCTGTGATCTTGTAGCCATCAACATAGACTCCAGAGCACTTAAGATAGGGAGTCGGGGGCCTACCCTTAGCTCCAGTGACCAAGACACGGTCCTTACCGACTTGGCTGAGCTTGACGTCCCGGAGGTCGAGAATGACGTCGGGAAGGATGTATGATCCAGGATCCAAAACCTCATAGACCAATTGCTCCGCCACTGTGGCCACGGTTACCAGTCCTCCTGTCTCAGCTGGCTTCGTGATCACAAAGTCGCCATTAGCATGACACTCAGCGATAGGGAATCCCATGTTAGCCCATCCTCCATGAGGAGAATTGGCGCTGAGCTCCCAGTCCGTAAAGTTACCACCAGTGGTATGGCATCCGCACTCGATGATATGTCCAGCCAAAGAGGCAGCCGCCATTTGGTCCCAGTCCTTGAGCGGATCCCATTTGAACTCGTGAAGTAAGGGCCCCAGTACCAGTGCACTGTCGACAACGCGTCCCGTGACCACGATCGATGCACCAGCGTCGAGCGCCTCCGCAATAGGTATAGCGCCCAAATAAGCATTCAACGACAATTTCTTCTTGTCGGATCCTGGATATCGATCCACTTCATCCTTATTACCAGTGATATAGTTGAATGGTAAAAGCTCTCCCTTTGCGCTCATTTCTTCGGATCGCTCGTGAAGATCATCTCCAGTGACAGCTGCAACAACCAGGCCCTCAATACCGTTTTCCTTGGCAATAGTCTCAATCGCTTCCTTGAGTGCTAGTGGGGCAAGTCCACCAGCATTGGTGATGACCTTAGTACCATTCGCGACGATGTCTTCAACTAATCTCTTCCAAACAAACGTGATAAAATCTCCAACATATCCTCCTGGGCCAGCACGGCTCTCCTTCTTGGACTTGCCACCCGAGCTGCGGTGGCGCGCGAGCAAGCCCATAGTTACCTCTTTTTTTAGCCGATGAAAAAAAAAAAAAAAAAAAAAAAAAAAAATCAATATTATTTTAAGAATGCACACATGGGATCTGAAAAGAAAAGCGCTATCATATCCGCTCTCCTTACCAGCCAAATAATCTGCAACGAGATAATCAAGATTTTTGCCCTCCAGTTCAACCAACTGAGCGGCACTGCTAACCGAGTCACCCCAGAATGCTGACCAAGAACCCAATCTTACAACCTTCTCTGGCGCCATTATGATGCTATATTGAATGAGAAAAAGAAATGGAATGAAATGAAAAAGAAATAGAGAATTAAGAAGAGATGTTTTGCAATATAGAAAGTGTGGAGAAAAGGCATGAAATTTATATACTTGCCAAATTTCCATGGGGTCACAAGAAAATCTGTTCACTTTAGCTGAATACTTCATCTGCTACTAAGGGCCCGTGAGCATGCCTGTTTAATGGTATTGAGCCGAGAAACCTGTCTTTCCATGGCTGGTATAAGCTACGAGGCTCTTTCTTCAGCGATACCAGCCGATTTTTGCTTCTGGCGCTTCACAGTGAAAAGATGGATTGTTTTTTTGATCTGTGCGACTTTTCCGATCCTCCACATCATCATAATTATCATAACACAAGGGTTTTTTTTGACATTAGAAAGAATTCTTCACCACTCTGCAGTCTCTTCCTCATTTACAGTGTAGTCATCCTTTTGCTCCTTTTCTTTTATTTCTCTAGTTGGCAATGGAATCAAAAGTTCTTTCTGTTTGTTTGCTTCACTATTTTTGAGAAGACAGTGTGCCAGTAGATGACTATTTCAACATGGAAAATTTAAGGAATCTTAAACACACTACGGATGTAACACAGCACTAGCTTTTGTGCTTTGGGGGTTAGATCCAAGGGAGAAAGAACCGACTTTGGAGCATCATTTGAATCATTGAATGACTTTGACCAAAGAAGTATTTGGTGCTGAGAAATGGTAATATGAGTGAGCATAGACGCGTTTTTTTTATGTTTCCAAGTGCGTGGATTGAGTCATGCTTCGACAAAGACGCGCGATTTCTTTACTGGCATCTGCGATATTGTCAATAATATAGGCTCCATCTCACATAAATAAGTTATTCTACATCCAGCTGCCTTTCATGTCAAAACTTTCTTTCTTTAGGATGGATTTAGCTACCCCATGATAATTACTCATTCATCCTTAATGTTCATGAGCTGTTTAGAGTCAAGCTTTCAAAAAAAAAAAAAAAAAAGAAAAAAAAAAAAAAAAACGTTGAATCCAGAGCAAGTATGGTTGAATGAGCACGTGGTCTCACTTTGGCAGTTAAGAGCAGAGCATCCAAAGCAAATTAGGACTATCCGCTCTGGTTCTCCTTTCTCGATTATTCAGTCTCTCAACATTGACAATCATCGACCTTTTAGCGATCTTTACATATACATAAAATGTCTGATAATCCTTTTCTTGCTCTTATCGAGGGCCTCAATACTGATGACTCAACAGTTGCCACTACTACACCTGAAGACTATGCTGCGGAATTATCGCTCTGGACCAATGCAGAATTCACATTTGACATCCCACCTGGGTTAGGTGTCTTCGAGACTGATTCTGGTTTTGAAGATCCCGCTGTAATCAATACTGTCTCTTATTTTGGTGGCCAGGACCAGTTACTACTCCAACATCAACAATCACAGCAGCAGCAGCAACAGCATGATCCTATGCTAGGACACATGCATAATGACCAATCTCGACAGATCCAGACTACATCGCCATCAACTTTAGACATTTTCAATCTCACAACATCGCAAGGTAAATTTAGTTGAAAAAAGGCTGGAAAAACAAAGAGGTTGCGAGATGGATGCAGAATGATTCAAAGCGAACATTGAACAGACATCTGATAATACACTTTCTTTTTTCCTGGTCATGGTTATGGAATATGAATGTCTATAGAGTTTAGACCACTATCACTCTTGGAGCGTAGTCGTCAACGTAATCCAGTAAATGGGGATAGGTCTGATTGCCAGCAGCAGCAGAAGGAAGGAGAAGAAAAGCAGGCATCAGAACCAGGGGCAAGGCAATTGGCGATTAAAGATAGCAACAGCAACAGCAACAGCAACAGCAACAGCAACAGCAACATTAGTATCACAGAAACAACAGACCAAAAACCATTGCGGAGTGATAACACTTCCTCTGTTTCAACCTCAGTCTTAGACACTTCTGTCCAAGAAATATCAAAGGATGAAGCCCTCTCAAACATGTCCAAACTGACACCAGAAGAGGATAAAAGACGACGTAACACAGTCGCATCCGCACGCTTCCGACTAAAAAAGAAGCTTCGTGAACAAGTTTTGGAACAAACAGCGCTTGAACAGACAACTCGTGCAGAGAAGCTGGAAGCTCATGTTCGGGAGTTGGAAATGGAGGTGCGTTGGTTGCGTGGCTTAATTGTAGAGAAGGATTCGAGGCTTCATGAGGCCACAGTTAGTTTGTACGATACCAACAAGCGGGTGCGGCTAGATGAATCGGATTAACAATGAACAAATTCGCACATGCACAGTGCACATAGGGCATGTCAAGTCGCTATTGTCGTTGTTATAATAGCAAACGATTGTAATGAAAAAGGTTTATGTAAGACATGCAATCGTTATTGTAAATAGCTGTTTAAAATATATACACACACACATATAATTATCTCATATTTTATTTCTGGAGAAACGTCCTAATGATATTGTGACATTGTCCACGAGACTAAAACTAATGTGTTTGTTTGCACACGCCGGATCTAGAATCTCAAAGCGACGAATGCAATTGTGCATTTGCATGGACTCATTTTAATGATCATGTCTGTCTATGGCTTCGGATGCTCGGGCCAGGTTAACAATCCAGGAAAGAATATTTTTCCGGTGAGAGGGGAAGGAAATTACGACTGGTAATTAGTCACTCATTACAAATACAGGTAAAAAACTCCGCTCTCAAGGTTTAGCTGCATTTGTCCTTTTAATTGCGTAGAGGTTGTTTATGGAGGATGGATGGTTGTGGGTGCGGTAAATGTATACCTGTTTTATGGGGATAAACATTTTGTTCTACTTGTTCTTTTCTTCTTTTCTTCATTCTCATTCTATCATTTTTCCCTTGCTCGCACGCCATTTGCTGCTTTTGCGCACAGTCTTTAATTCACCACCCTTCTTGACACACTACTACATACTATGGCTTCTACACAAACTACCACCACAGTGACGAGTCATGCTTCACCCATTTTGCCTCTTAACCATATGCATCTGCAAGAGCACCCACAGCACGAGTCAATATCACCTATGTTTGTTGAAGATGGCAATTTTACAATGGAACCAACAGATGTTACTATCAAGACTAATATTGACCCCCACAAAGAAACCACGACCACCATAACTATCGTCCATCTTCCGTTCCAAGTTTCTCGCCAATGTCAACCGCCTAAAGTTATCTCATGGATGAAATCCGACAAGCCAAAGCGGCCAACACCTGTTTCAACACATCAGTCTGGTCGCCATCGCAGCCAGAGTAGTCCTGCAAAGTTACAACATATCTTTCCATTCCTAAGTAAACGTAGACGTAAGACGGATGCTGCTATCAAGAAGGGAGATCGGGCAGTGACATTGTTTTCGATCCAAGTGACAGTTCTGGGGAAAGTAGTTGTATCTCCAACATCACCTACTACGTCCTCCTCTCCAGCAGAGTCAAAAATGGAGAATGATATAGAGCCCACAAAGACCGTGCCTGCTTGCTTAAATAAAGCCGAGACGACATCTTATGTGATCCACAGAACATTCGAGGACTTTGAACGATTATCAGAGACAGTACTCCGTTTGGAACACAAGTTGCAAACTCATCACCATTACCATCATCTTCATTCCCATCATCAAAAAGATGAGGTGTCTGAAAGCGAGAATGCAGGACTCATAGAGGCTGCTCCATCCTTGACAGCACTTCATGTCCATCACCCTCATCCAGGGCTCTATCAGATGTTATTGAAGCAAATTTCAAATGTGAAAGCCAATCAACGCGCATTTGATGCTTCTTCTACAACACATGGCTTTGATGAAGAGGGAGCATTCGAAAGGATCTTGGAATTGAATGAATACCTTGAAAAGGTATGGTATTGGCTCTTGCCGGAGAATACTCCCCCGCAACTCGATCTTTCGATAGAGCAACAGGAAATTATGCAGTGGCTCAAGCCTTTACCCCAGAGCGTTCATCAAGATGGACGTCAGATGAGGGAACGATCAGAGCAAGAGAAGAAGAAGGAACAACCACAAATCCTACTACCGCAAGGATCGATGTCATCGATGCGTAAGAAAAAGAGTCAGGAGCAGGAACTAAGCAAAAAGAGAGAGGCAAAGCAATCACAGCTATCAGTAATATCAGACGATCTTAGACATGTAGAATCGAGTTCTGAACGGCCGTCGTCAATATCGTCAAGATCATCCCGCTCCTCGACCTCTTCATCCTCTTCCGCTTCGTCTGCTACTTCTGCGTCTATATCGCCGGCCATACTTAAGATCGATCAGGGAAGTACTCACGACCTTGATCTTCATGACTCTACGTTCACATCTTCACCCACCGCACTCAGTCCATCTGGTTCCGAGTCTGATTCAAATAAAGGGAAAATGGCTTCTGACTATGGGTCTATTAAAGTTGCCGAGGGCGAAGAACCGAGTCTAGAGGAACACTCTGCTCCTGCTACAATGGCAAAACGAGGAAATCTTTATCAGCGGCGACGAGATAACTCTGATCCTTTGTCATCTATCAAATTAAATAGACGTATTTCCCTCAGCAATGTTGTTCGATCACTGACGTCTCCATTGAATCACCGCCATCAATCTTCTCGTCAGCCCATGTTTGAATTAACACGGTCGTACAAGAATGGAAGGTTTTCACCGTCGGCCTCTGCATCTGAACCCACGAGTCCCACACGGAAAAGTTCATTTAAGGACGAAATCATTATTTGGAATATGGTAACAACCAAAAATCATCCAACACATTAGAGCGACAAATACATTAAATACAATACAGAAATAAAAAATAAAAAATAGATGTCCCTGAAATTGTTAAACATTCAGTGAGTATAACATTTTGTTTATCTCGCCCATATTCCCTGTGCGCCAGACAATACAGTAAGTTTATTAATTCAAAAAAAAAAAAAAAAAAAAAAAGCATTTGGATCTTTCGTTCTCATAGACGTACAATACATAGTTTAAAGTAAAAGAATGGGGGAGAGAAGTTAAGGAACGCGATGTGCTGAATGGTGGTGCGTATATTTCTTTTTTCTAATGCCATTTTTTTTTGTCTCCTATTCCTCATCTTCCTCCTCGTTCTCGTCCTCATCTTCACCGTTTTCATCATCCTCGTCCTCTTCTTCTTCATCTTGATCCATGCTCACTGACTTTGGCTTTTTCTGGACAGTGATTCTAGTGGTACCATCGTTAGGAAGAGAATTGAAGATAGGCAAGGCAATTGAGCTACTCGTCTTCAAATTAATAGCCTGAATATTTTTCCATTGGCGGGGAATCTTTGCAACAATATGGGGGATCGCAGTCTCGATATTGGCAGTGATCTCAGCAGGAGTTTGACTCGTCAATCCGATCCTGACAGCACTAAAGTAAGACATGGAAACGGTTTGTTTTTAGAACGACATAAATAGCCCGTCCGCCATATGTTTCCAAGATATAAAAATAAAAATAAAATAACAACATAAAAATAAAGTAAAATAAAATAAAATAAAATAAAATAAAAATAGCGCTTATGAATAAGAGGAATGAGCAATACAGAGCAAATCAAAAATGTTAAAGGTAAGTTTGCATATGGTGGGTGAAAGAAAACTTACGTGCAAGTTCCAGAGGTAAGATGCATATATGTTGATCCAATAGCGCGCGATATTTCTTTCTTGAGATCGGTTTTGGTCATATCGACAGGAACGGGTTGTTTCTTTTTGAGGTAAAACGTTTTGCCGAGTAATTTGGGTAAGACAGCCACCACGCGAGCATCCGCCAAAAACATACCATAGGATGCACACAATTGACGCTTTGCTTCATAGGGTTTATATTTGGCACGCAATTTTGACACTCCAATGACTTTGTTGATCGATTTGACATTCTTATCTTCCAACAATTTTTTATAATCTTTCTGAGGATCCTTGACAAACAAACAGACCTCTGCATCTGATGGAGTGATCGGGTACTTTAGAGGACTAGCCAATAGAGAAGGAAAAGATGGTTAGGAGAAGGATGCTTTGCTAGGGCTGATGATCATTTATATCCGCAACTTGTCAATCTCCTCGAACTACATATTAATTAAGCATTAAAAAAAAAAAAATAAAAATAAAAATAAAAAAAAAATCAAATAAAAAGAATCCGACTTCCCAGGCCCAAAAAAAAAAAAAAAAAAAAAAAAAAAGACGTACATGCGCTGAGGCTTTGCTTTGTTGACATCTGAGAACTTCTTTGTAGCAATGATTAGCCAAACAAACTGATCCTCCTCCATGAGCTGATTCTTGCTTTGTCCAACCTTTTCAATGTGTCCGAGAAGAGCCTTGACAGCCTTATCAGCCTAGAAAAAACCCACATGTTTGTAGCAACAAAGTCAGAGATAGAGAAGAGTATTTTGATTAATAAACACTTAATAAGTGGCTGTCACTTTTTTTTTTCCTTTTTTTTAAAAAAAAAAAAAAAAAAAAAAAAATTAATAAAGGTTAAGCAAGAAGCCATAGTTGTGATGGGGACATGGGTGTTATCTTTGGATTTCTAATAAAAATACTGAATAAATAGCTCAATAGGATATAGTTATGCCGGTTTCCACTTGTTGAATAGGTGGGAACTGTTGTGCTATTGTGTTTTTTACTAAACCCAAATAAAAAATACACTTGTACAAGGCACACTAGCTGTGCTAACTTTTTATACGGAGTCGCGAGATGCAATGCTGTTTGTACCTGCTTAATGTCCAACATGGTGTAGTTATAGTAAGGACCGTATGGGTTCGGAGTAACTGAAGTTGATGAGGAGCAGGGCGATCAATGAAGCACTATGGGGGCCTGGCAGAAGACAACTTGCTTTAGAAGGCATTTTTTTTTCTGTTTTTGTTTTGCTTTTCTCCACCTTTTTTTTTCTTTTTTTTCCTGGGCAGTCACGGCTACCGTAAATTCACGTGATATATTCAACCAAAAAGCCCTCGACTTCGATCTCTTGATCCTGCAGCAGGGACGACTGCGAATATTTTATACCTTCAAGGCAAGGAACAAACAGATTATCAGGAACAGTCTAGCCATAGTGGGTCTGGAATCAATGCAAAATCTACGAGCAAGGTAAGTCTCTTTGCTCATCAACGCCAGCTACCAACTTCACTTAAAGATTGCCATTCGCGTGTCATCAGACTATCTCTTATATGCATTCTGTCATAAAAGTAAAGTTTCCTCTCTTATCTCTATTGAATGTGTTCCTATAGACTAGTAAGCTTGTTTAGAATATTAAAATTAAACAGACTGTAACCAAGCATTATCACATCTTACTCTAGTTTAGAGCTTTAATAAGTTAGATTTTAGCAGCAACAGTATTGAGTTAATCGTCTTTCAGATTTTTTTTTGTCGCATGTGTTTGTAATGGAATGAATAAGAGCATCATTTTTGATTTCCAAGTAGGTGCCCTGGATCTTTTTATTCATAACTCCTAGCATCGAGTGCGTAAGATACTTTTGCTCGTCCTTCCCGATGATTCTAAAGTGCATGAATAGATTATGTGATACTACAGATGCCATTTTAGACTTTTAAAGTTGTGGTCTGTGCTCTTATTTCTCGAAGGGTTTATTAGCTATTCTCGAAGTAATTGGCCCATTTCGGCAGCCTGACACAGCTAACCTAGCTCGCTCTATTGGAAGTAGTGTCAGGTTTGGACTAGCTCCACTTATTTGAAAAACTCATCCTCCGATGTCGTATTTCTGATCCTATATCCAGTCTTGATCAAATTGAGCCACTTGATAAAGAGGCGACTGTTAGTTCGTTAGGGAAATCCGTTTTACACAGCGCTGACTGTGCAAAGTTTTTCCATATATAGTTCATCCTTGAATGCCTAAAGGCAGAGCCGTATATCATGTAGCAAATATAACAGTCCATTTGAATGTAGTGACCCTGGGAAAATAAGGGGAAAAAAAGTAAAAGTATATCTTTAGTAAGAGCTATTGAGTAGAATATGTACACTATCAGACAAGTAGCAAATGCGAACAGTACAAAACTATCTGAATGAATTTGAACGAAATGGAAAGTCATCTCAAGGCGTTTCGACACAACGATATTGATCCTTGAAACTATACGGAACGCGAATATATACTTCGAAAGCCTATCCAATCGTGTGGTTTCCACCCACAACTACTAACATTCAAGCATAAGTGATTAAGTCGGGAAAAATTTTCTTCGAGGATCTTCACCGCTGGCAACGTCCAGGGCGTCTGCTCTTCTACCGCTGTAGTCAGCGTCAACACCCGAGAGTCGGTTAGTAAACATGCGACCAAGCTAAAAGATCTAAGGGGATTAGGGACTATCTCTCAACAAGGCTACATCCTCAAAGGCCCTTGACATCTTTTTTATTTATTACGGTGTTTCAAATCTTCAGCTGATAAGGGAGCCATCCTAAGTGATGCCGACATTCCGGTGAACGCTAGCATGTGTACTAAGGATCATAGTATACACCTTGTTTTGATGATTCTGTTGTCAAAGAGATGCATATTTTATGGAAAACGTCTCGAAATCCAGTCCGTCCTTTAAAGATCGACATGATATCTACAAGATTATTCATAAGCCTGCTTCATTTTCAGACAGGACAATATCCAACAAGAAGAGTCTGGATTTAAAGAAAGATTACGTCACTAGTGTCGTAATTTTAGCGGATTTTGTCCATCCTGTTTTCGGATCCGAAGCAAAAATCGGTTTTTTCCCCTATCGGCATCAATCTCATCACGTCGAATCAATTTTCCCATCGCTCCTCCTCTCCACTCCTCTCTCACATACTTACACCATGCTCCGCAACGTTATTAGAGCTACTGCTGTGCCAAGGGGTAAGGCCATGTCTACTTATTAGCTCCATTCTTTCTGCATCGGGAAATACACGACTTTCACTCACTACCCGAAGGTCATGGATCTGCTCGGATCCGAAGGGAACATCAACACACAACATTAATGCCATCAGCAAATGTAATGTTTCATCAACTGGATATTGGAATATACACGAAATCATAGTGAGCACACCCCAATTTATTGTTACAGTTTATCTTGGCTATACATACATTTGTGCTTCAATTCGGAATACCGAACTTAGTAGTCAACCTGTCTTTTGCCTTATTTATCGCAAACGTAGTGAGAATGGTGCTATGAAAACCATACTGACAATTTGTTATGGATTTGTTTTATCTTATCATTATTTACCTTATTAGTACAAACACGTATCGCCCTTCCTGCCTTGGCCCGCTCAATCCATATCTCTTCTAGTACTCTTGGTAAGAATACAAACGATTACCGTGCTAATCGCGAGAAGTTCCCAGAGGATGAGGATTCGACTCGCTTCATCCCTGGACAGGGCCCTACGATCTTGGACAAGGCATCCAAGTCCCTGCTTTTGACTGAGTTAGTTCGTGGCATGTGGGTTGTTCTCGAGTCCATGTTCAGACCCCCCTATACGCTTATGTATCCCTATGAGAAGGGTGCTCTTTCACCCCGTTTCCGAGGAGAGCACGCTCTTCGACGCTATCCATCAGGTAAGCTATCTATTTACGGCAATCGTTTCTAGAGTGAGGGTGTCATGAATATAGACAGTAGGGCAAACTAGGCATGCCTGCCAACAAAAAAAAAAAAAAGGATTTTGGAAAGGGCTTGCTAGAGCATTTTAGTCGGCAAGGATATAATAATAAGGGACATCGGAATATCAACTCAGCATAAACGGAGGTGACTTCAAGACTTTAGTTGACGACGCTGGATGGACCATCACCAAGCAGTCCAATGACCACCAAAATTAAAACCAGCATAATGATCTGAGTAATACGAAACTAGCTAAGACAATCAGCTGACTTGAAATCTTTTCTTTCCTTTCCACGCTCTGTCTTACAGGAGAGGAGCGTTGCATTGCTTGTAAACTTTGTGAGGCTATCTGTCCCGCACAGGCCATTACTATTGAGGCAGAGCCTCGCGAGGATGGATCGCGTCGCACGACTCGCTACGATATTGACATGACCAAATGTATTTATTGCGGATTCTGTCAGGAAGCTTGTCCTGTCGATGCTATTGTTGAGGGACCCAACTATGAGTACGCTACTGAAACGCACGAGGAACTTTTGTATAACAAGGAGAAGCTATTGGCCAATGGTGATAAATGGGAGGTTGAGTTGGCACGTAACATCGAGGCTGATCATCTTTATCGCTAAAAAGAAAAGGAAGAAAAAAGACTACAATATAATCTTGTTGACAATTACAACACCCAAAGTACAATCACTTTATCACACATATGCAAAACATGAACACCGTTACAATCATGATCCTAGAGAAGCGAATTTTTTATTACTGTAATAAAAAAAATAAAAAACAAAAGAAATGTTGATTTTAGGGCAGTGATATTGTAGACTGACGCGAGACACCACGGAGAAGTCACTTCAAGATAGGAATATCCAAAAAGCTTTGTTCCAAAGGCGAACCATTCAGGGTTAAACTATGAACCATAGAATGAGTAGCCGAGTTCTGCATCCATTATTCAGAGGACTTGAGGAAATACGATTTTCAGGTTTGGTCAAATGACTTCGCAGAAAAAAATTAAAAAAGAGCCACAGAAGCTAGAAAAGTCTATGACAAAATTATGTCCTTGTGATGCATAAACCTAAAATTATCAATTGCACCATTTTTGTAAAAAATATCCTTACGTTGCTATGAGGACGAACAAAGATGTTTATTCTGGAAAGCTCAAAGGGACTTTATTGTTTCTTTTTTACAATTTGTTAAGTACAAGTAAGAGTGGGGAGATTTGAAAAGCGTCATAAATATCGTTACTATAACACACTCATAATAATTCTTTTTTTTTTTGTGACATTGACGTAAGCGAGCCCAGTCAGTGAGCACGCCGAGCACCAAGCTCGAAATGACAAAAGAGACAAGGAACAGTGTGGTTGTAACTGCTAGCTCTTGAAGCATTTGCATTAAAAAAAATAGGCTTTTACATAGCGCGTGGACGGACTTCGGGAATGACGGGCTTGGCGATAGCAGGTGCAAGTGGGTTAGACTTGCCGATGATTGCCATAATTTTAGCCATAGCATTCTCCTGTGCATTGGGACGGACGACAGGAACCCTGTGGCGATGGTTAGCCGTGGGGATGTTGTAGTTGTTGCGTGTGCTTCTTGGGAAGAAGGTACGGTAATAGGTCAAACGAGGCTTTTGGAACATGATGGTCTTGTTTTATGTGTATGTGATGGCGGTTTTCTGATGTGGTAATGCTTGTGGTAAAGAGTTGTGGTTGCGAAGTTGAGAGAAAAGTTCGTTTTGTGAAGAATTAAAATTAGAAGAATTGTCAAAGTGGGGTTTTTATATCGAATAAATCACGTTACCTTGGACCGCAGCACATGCAAGGCTCTCAAAAAAAAAAAAAAAAATCAGTCAAAAAATAAACAAAACAACTCTGTTGTAGCTAGCGATCATCGCTCGTCCCATTTTCTTCCTTGCTACTCTCCTCCTGTTCTTTACCCTCTCTTGCTCTCGCCATCAGCACGAGAGAGAGAGAGACAGGTTCGGTGCAAAAAGCCTCAGAGGATCCAAGAAAGAGGCATCTCTACTTTCTTCTTTTTTACACTTTTCCCCTACTACACACCCTTCTGGCAACTTTTCTTGCTTCACTCTTCCTCTTCTCATACATTCTCTAATCATCCATACGCCCACTCCATCGCAAACACACAAACACACTGTCAGCAGCCAGTAAGGCTTTCTCTCTTATTTCATTTCATCATTAAGAAGGCGCTGAAATTACCTTCATAACATACAAATTATTGACACAGAAATCCCAAATAGAAGACAGGAAAGACAGTGCATTTGCATTCAGGAACGACGCCAAGATGACGGAAGATCCTCAAACTATCTGGCTTGAATGTTACAAGTATGTTTACGCTCGGACGCCTTGGGAATGAATTAATCCAGGTGGTTGTATCTTATGAATTTGCTCATGTTACGATCACTGATCGTCTTTCTGAATATAACTTGTCTCTAGGTCAACGCAGGAGCAGGAACGAAACTTGAAGGAGCTGCTGCACCAGAAGGGTGCCACCGGGGTCACCCTTGCTAGGGATAGGTAAAGATCTCACTTCTCTATACTGTCATTGTTATCTCATCCAGCTTCCAATTTATGCCGATGGTGGGAGAGGACGCAGAAATGAATGCCCACCTGTACTCATTTACAATGTAAATCGGTTTATTTGATGATATCTTTTAGATTGCGTGAAGAATATGAGCGACTGATCCTGAGCAACGTTGTTCTGGCGCAATCCAAAGAAATTGAGTCTGCATTGTGGAAAAATGTCTTTTACATTGTGATCGATGGTTATCGACGTAAGCTTGCCACCCTTGGACGCCCTGAAATCAATAGCAATGAACAGCAGGGAAGTAAGGTGGATAATCGCAGGAACAGAGATAGCGGGAGATCACGTCCACATGGAACCAAGGGCAATAAGACACCTGTACCTTCTATTGAATACAGAAAGGTTTCGACGAAGTTCAGAGCCTTCCTTCAGGAGGCAACAGGATTCTACCATCGGCTTATTCAGAATTTGGCATCTTGCTACGATCTGAACGAATCTGGTTCAAGTACCCAGTCATTCCCAATTAGTGGTAAGTACACAACTATACAGAAGTAGTTGACGTGGGAGACATTTGGGTCTCAAACTTATTTTGTTCGTTTTTCTTTTTGAATCTAAAATAGATAAGCGTCCTTTGTTGGAAGTCACGGATACAGCCCGTCAGTGTGCTATTAGTAGCTGCCACAAATGTTATATTTTTTTGGGCGATCTTGGTAAGTACCAGAAATTGCTTAGAAATATATAAAAAAGCGATATTCCTTGTTTCTAGGCTGTCTCCGCAGCCGTACTCATTGGACTTATTGGACTTTTCCTTTTTTACTCATTTTAGCTCGATATCGACAAACGTATAGCGAGTCTCCTAAGAAGAACTGGTCTGCTGCTCGTGATTACTACAATGAAGCTAGAAATATGCTTCCTTCCAGTGGTAATCCATACAATCAACTAGCTGTCATTGCTACTTTTGCGCCAAATAATTTCCTGGCGCTCTATTTTTACTACCGCAGTCTGGCTGTTCGTCTTCCTTTCAACACTGCTCGCAACAACATCAAAGTGCTGATCCAGAAGATGACAATGGATCCTGATAACGGCAGGAAGTTTGTCAGAGAGGAGAAGCCCAATGACCGCCAGGCAGCTAATACCAAGGATTCGAGCCAGCTGGACGATTTTCTTTCAAAGTTTATTCTTTTGCATGGAGCCTTGTTCATGAATTCCTTAGATAAATTCGACAGTGGACTAATGGGCGACACTCTTGAGCAATTAATCCTCGATCGACACATCGACCCTGACCTAATGCTCAAGATTCAAATCATTAATATGTCGAGCCTATACACTAAGTGCTATATTCCTGATGAGAGTCAAACAGCGACCCCTCAGCAGCAGATTGAGTCTGAGAGACAGGCACTTGAGCTCATTCTTGGAATGTTTGCGACAATCCTTCGATACTCGGTTAAGGAATTAGGGCATCATAGGAACGGTGATCAAAAGAACATTGGACGTCCAGCCGATTTTTTGCCATCAAATGTCCATCGCTCTATGCCTACACTGAGGCTCACTCTCAAGTGGATGCAAGTCAACATTCATCATGTCAAGCGTTTATCGGATGGTAATTCGGACGAGAATAAGAGGCGTTTTCAACTTGACATCATCTTGAATCATTTGGCAAGATTTTTGACTCTGCTCGGTCAAGTCCATCCTTATACCGAGGACACTATTTTCTGTCGAGATGTGCTCAAAGAGGATGCAGAACTTCAAGGATTCGCAGCCCTCAAGAGAGCAATCGACGAACGACCTCTTTCGATCATTCCTCCAAGCAGAATAAGTCCCAAAGCGGAGATGCAGATACGCATCGCCGATATGTTTCAGGATGCTCTTTCGCTTTCCAAAATTGATTGGCTTGGTTTTTATGCCAGACTTACTGAAATGGAGGGCGGAAAGCAAGGCCTACGTTTCTCATCTGAGTGTGAAGAGGATGTCGACTCGTCTGTGAGCGCAATGTACTTGGCACAGGAGGAGGGATCGTTGAAGTCAGTATCACAGTCGCAATCGCTTGAGGAGCAAGATGATGGTGATGTCACAGACTATGAGCGTAACGCAGAGGATGAGGATCTGAATCCTTTTCATGTTAGTAAAGTAAAGCGCAATGATCATATTTCAACTCCTCCTGTATCAACTAACGTAGTCAAGCAAGATATCCATCGTGACCAATATGCTAGTCAGAGACAAACCGTCGCCGCTTTGCTCTCTGATGACGACAATGATCTTTCATTAATTGTTGGCAATGACGACGATGATGACGACGATGATGACGACGAAGAAGAAGAGGTTGTACTGTTCAAAGGTCGTAGTAACGCTGCAATTGGGAAACCAACGCCCAGACCAGCACATTTGAAGACTGCAACTGGTGTCATTGGTGCGGGACGACGGGGGTCAATTTCCCCTACGCGATCAAATCAGTCTTCGCCTGGTATGGATGTGAATGGGCCATCCAAGTTCTCCTCAGTCCGCCCGTCACCTACTATCGATAGTCCGTTTGGCGGATTTGAATTTGACATGGCTGATGACTGGCGACACTCTATTAGCTCACTCCGTTCATCTCCCACCAGCAATATGAGTAGCAGTACTTGGGGTGGTCTATCAATCAATTCATTGGGCAATGGCATGATCTCTCCTACTGTTTATGAACCCAAAGACGCGAATATTATTACAGGCTTCACCTCCATTCCCTCGAGAGGGCCTCCTGGTGTTGCGTCGTTCCCGACATGTCCGCCCTCAATCAACCCATCTGGCTTTTTTGATGAGGAATCGTTCTACCAACATCAGCAGCAGTACTTCAGACCAGGACCATATGCTCGACCAAGAAATCAATATCAGACCCATGCTTTACCCCAACATCAGCAGGATAGATCGTTTATCCGCGGAGAACACGGCACCACTCAAAACATGAGGGGCAGCGACTGGCGATGAGAAATTATAGTCGAGTTAAAGCCACAAATTCGCCATTTTTTTATCATTACAATCTCTTCGCTTCGCACAACGACATATCGTAGCGACCAATGCGAGTATTATTTCTTTTTTTCTTTTTTTTTTTCTTTCACTCTGAACAAGCAGGCAAGGTGATTAAATTGACACCTCAGCTGATGCATCTATTTGAGATTGGAATAAGTCAATGAGGCAGGATGTATAGACAAGCGCTTTGAAGCCTATTGGATTACGGCGATGCGAATCTTTTCTCCGCAATACTCTCCGTCGCTTGAAGATCAGACAAATCACTATAACAAAGTAACAAAGGAAGGAAAACGAACGAAAGCGAGTACATTATCTAACAAACGGATTTGGACATTAGATATCGAATATTCAGGACACTCAAAAACACTGACATCTTGTCTAGTATCCATTGACACTTTCATATGTCCTTTATTTTACACAATCAACGCTCTCTTTCTTTCTTTTTTTTTTTTTTTTTTTTTTTTAAAACTTCGTTCTTTCCTGGAGATTTCCTTTTGTAGTATTTGCAAAATATTGTCATTGATTTGATTTGTTTTTTTTAAGTAAAAATAAAATAAAAAGGGCGAAGGCTCAATCATGAAGTGTGAATAAAATGATGCATATCATACGAGGGGTTCAAACAAAAAATTAATAGCACATTCAATTATGGAAATGCGAAAGAAATCGGGAGTAATTGGGCTTGGGTCTCCCCAGGATATTTGGATCCACTTTTTTCTTCGGATCTGTGAGACATGACACTCCGACTGTTCAAGCTTCGGCTTTGTCAGCTGATCCCTTTCGGCTCATTCCTTTAAATATGCATTGTTATTCTTGTGTCAGGTGGAAAGGAGAAGGCGAGACATTACATGGCTAAAAATGACCTGATTACACATCTTTATTGTTGCTCGTAATGAAACATAGGAACATTACACGTTGACAGAGACAAGTTGAATGACAATGACTATACCTTGTCTTTTATCTTTACGAATCGAAATGCACCATCTGCAAAGAAATATATACAAAAGTATGTACTAGATTAGGACGGATAGAATGCACGCGCCAATATTTTTATTTTTCTAACAAGGAATGCAATCTCCGAGATTTCTCCTTTAACCGATATTATATATTTTACGCACAGTCTCCTTTGCAAAAATGAGAGCAGCACTGTTCGAAATGCTGTAATTCAAGTGAATTGAACAGTCCGGTTGGCCCTCATTGGGAGGTGGTTGTGATAATAAAAAAGTTGGCTGTAAGAGAGAAGGCATTGGCTGAGCCGGAATACCAAAAAGTGCATATCATTTTTTGCTCAGGGACACACAAACGCCGTTGGCGTGGCACTGAGGGTGATTACTGAGGAGATGCTATTTTTAGAGATGAAGGCGTATAAAAAGCGGACCAAACGACAAATTATCAATTACAAATCATTTGTTCAAATACATAAAATTTCGCCTTTTTATTAGTTCAACAGAGTCCTTCACATTCTTTGTTTTTTCATTTTCTTTTTAATAAAACCTTTCATCCATTTCCCAGCTTTCCCTCTCTTTTCTTTATCACCATTCCATCCCTTCAGTCTCTTCCTTCCCTCGCGCTGTCGAATCCATCTTCTGCGCGTTTGACGATCATCTCGCTCCTACAGCAACCTGCCGTCTTTCCTCTCCCACCACCGCTCTCTCGTCCTGCTTATCCGCGTTTCCTTCTTCCTTCCACTATTTTATTAGCTGATAGTTTGCCTCACTTTTTTCTCCCACGTCTGCTTCCCTTCTTCATTTCACCAACGCACAGCCCCCAATTTTTTGCTCTTCACACACTTTCTCTCTTGAGCAAACACCCCGAAACTATTGTTCCCGCACCCTACAACCCTTTTCCGGATTACTCTATCACCCCTGATCCTTCACAATGGCGCTTGTCCGCAAGCTGGGTTTCCTGTTTGCTGCAACCTCAATCCTCTCTCTAAGTCTTGTAGCTCAATCCTCTGATGCTGCAGCCTGTCGATATAATAATGGCCGCCCTTGTCCACAACAAACACCATGTTGTAGTCAGGTAAACACCGCTGCCTACTGTTATTACCTCGACTATATCAGCTGTATCAAAGGATTATTTGCACTGTTGTTCTCGCTAGTATATTCCAGCATCCCTGATACTCATAGCTTTCAACAGCAGCAGTAGCAGCAAATGCATAGTAGATTACTCTTTCCTCTTGGCAAAAGCTGACAGAAATTTCATTTGTTTACCTTTAATCTTTAGCACGGTCACTGTAGCAATTCACCATTAGCATGTGGTTCTGGTTGTAATCCGAGTGCAAGCTTCAACGGTCGCTGTGTACGCTACATGGCTGCAGGAGCGCTCACTACAGACAATGGCAAACCCAAACCTATACCAAGTCAACCTAAAGGTTCATTCAAGGTTGTGGGTGAAACCGGTGTTGCAGCACAACACATCGCTCTGGTTACGCCCACAAAGATGCTGATTATCGACAAGGCAGAAGCTAATCCTGCCAAGTTACCCAGTGGTACTTCAGCATACAATGTCGAATATGATCTTGTCAAGAATCAATATCGTGTACTTGAAGTAAAGACCAATACCTTCTGCTCCGGCGGTGGCTTCTTGCCGAATGGCACCATGATCAGTGCTGGCGGTGCAGAGTTACGTGTAAGTACTTTTGAATATGTCCTGTCATCTTTCTCCATTAAAAAAAAAAAAAAAAAAAAAAAAAAAAAAAAGCTAAACCAGTTATCTTGAATACTTTCTTTATAGCGATCTCGAGCTTTCGCAACTGAATCTGGCTTCCAGTCCCTTCGCATGTGGAACCCTTGTAATGATGGATCGTGCGGCTGGATTGAGAATCCTGCTGATCCTGCTTGGACCATGACAGGGAACCGCTGGTATGTCTCTATTACCACACTGCCATCAGGTGAACTGTTTGTTCTTGGTGGCAGTAACGAATCCCTAGCGATCAATCGGATGGCCACCAACAATCCAACATGGGAGATTTACCCCAAGCCCGCTGGAGTTAAGGCCGCGGATTATAAGCCTACATTTATGCAATTCATGGTCGATGCTCTCCCCAACAACCTATACCCGAACGTCTATTCCCTCCCTGATGGCAATATCTACATTTTTGCGAACCAAAAATCCATCATCTTTAACGTGGAGCGCAATGAAGTAATCAAACGTTTACCTGACATTCCTGGTGGTCCTCGTTCGTACCCACTCACTGGATCGCATGTTCTGTTGCCGTTGGACCCAGCTAAGAATTATGCTCATGAGATCTTGGTCTGCGGCGGATCTGAGGCTCAACTGCAGCGTGCCAAGGCCCTTCAAAGTTGTGGTCGTATCAACCTCAACGACCCTGATCCTCAATGGGAAATGGAAGAGATGCCCACCCCTCGGCTTATGGGCGATGCAGTCATCCTTGCAGACGGCAAGATCATGCTGTTGAATGGATGCATGACCGGTTATGCTGGATTCCGTCACGGTAACGACCCTGTTTTTACGCCTGTAGTCTATGATCCCGCTGCACCATTAGGATCCAGATTTACAGAGTGGGAGCCAAGCAACATCGCAAGGATGTACCATTCGGTTGCATTGTTGCTACCGGATGGTACTGTTTTCGTCGCTGGATCCAACGAGAACTCTGAAGTGCGTTTGAAGGATGTACCATTCCCTACTGAGTATCGCGTTGAGTCATTTACGCCTCCCTATTTGACCACTGATCTAGCGAGACCCGAAATATTAAGCAAGATCCCAGAAAAGGTTACCTACGCTCAAAAGATTCAAGTGATTATTGATGTGAAGGATAAGAGCAAGTATGAGCCTGATGTGACCTTTATGCTGGGCAAGAAAGGATTCGTGACACATAGTACACACATGTCACAGAGAATGATCAAGCTCGTGTCGACCCAGACCCGTGTTGAGGGCACTAAGATAACTTATGAAGTGGCTATGCCGCCCAACGCCAACCTGATGCCTCCAGGTCCTCATTACATCCATGTCTTGAACAATGGAGTCCCTTCATTAGCTTTCCATTTGCTCCTTAACTAGAAGGAAAAGAGAAACAAAACTCCCTGTCATATTATTGTACAAAAGACCTCACGAAAATGAAAATAAAATATCTAATAATTAATACGCCTCTGATGGAACTGTGTTGTGTGTTGGTGCTGTGCAATAGTTCAAGGTTTATACTTTACTTGAATAAAGAAAAGGATCGAATTAGCATGTGTCTCAGTTGCACAGCAGTGAAATGCTAATGCAAACCCGAGAAATGCTTTTTGCCCATCATAAGCATAACCTGGAAACAGCCTCTTGATGGATAAGCTTTATTGATATTGAGTGACCCCACGCCAAGACCATGTAAATAAGAGCTAACCATGATTTGATATGATATTAATCACGATGAAATTATTCATTGAGCCCACATGTTTCCTACAACCTTCTTTTTGTTTTTTTCTCACCATCGATGGATTGATGGAGTTGCATCAATTTGTGGCCCGTGTAACGCAGCCAAATGCCTCTTCACACTCCAACTCTTTTCTTTTTTGAAAACTGCTCAGCATTAATGTTATAAATATAAAGGCGCTCCGTTTCCTAAACATAAAGCTCTTCATTCCCCTTTTCCTTTCAAAACTTCTTACATAGATCCAAAAAATAAAAAAAAAAAAAAGATGGCTACTGATATCCATGTCTTGATTGTTGGTGCAGGTGTTGGAGGATTGGCATTGGCCCTGATGCTCGAGCGTGCATCAATTTCTTACGAAGTAAGCGTGCCAATCGACAAGCAGCGGAAAGAGTTATATAAGGGGAATGATGGAAAGGAAGAGAAAAGTTCTGATAGCTTTGCTCGTCGCTTTCTTTTTTTTTTTTCCTCTCTCAATAGCTCCTTGAAAAGTCAACAGAAGTTAGGCAGCTCGGTACTGCTATCACATTGAGCTGCATCATGCAAATCTTTGAGCAATTGGACATGTATGAGGAGCTCTTTTCACTCTCAAGGCCTTTTGGTGCTCTTCATGTCCGCGATGAGGATTTGAGCTATAAGGGCACTTTCTGGTCCCGCCCTCCAGGGGACGATATCGAAGGCCTGTAAGGTGAACACATCATAAACTGTACATGCAGAAGGACAATTATGTATATGCCACCCCATCTGATATGATAATAATTGCCTTTAAATTCTTGGCTCCGTCTTTTTTCTCTCTCTCTTATGCTTGTTTTCATCATTGTTACTGCTAAAAAAAATAGCTATGGCGACTATCCCCGCGTTATTGGACGTCCTGATCTTATTAAATTGCTAATGTCACGTATTCCTGCTAATCGTATCCATTTTGGGAAACGTGTTCTCTCAACAACTCAGGATGAACATCAAGTGATTGTGAAATGTGCAGATGAAACCACATTTACAGGAAGTGTGCTTGTTGGCGCGGATGGTGCCTATAGTAGTGTTCGTCAGAACATGTACCGAGAGCTTGAAAAAACCGGCCTGTTACCTAAAACGGACGCTTCGCCTATGGGTTGTAGCTTTGAATGCGTGGTGGGCATCTCGAACCCTGTCAGTCCAGATGATTACCCAGTTCTAAAACAAGACTTTAGTGAATTTGAGATTATCCTCGGAAAAGAAGCTCCGTACACTGTACTTCATTTCTTTTTCTTTTTCTTTTTTTTTTTTTTGTGGATTTTTTTAGTTGTGTGTGGATAATAATATTCTGATTGCCAATTCTTTTTTTTTTTTTTTTTTTTTTTTTACCGATCAAAAAGGTATGGTACCTACCAATGCAAAATAACAGAATTGGGTTTCTTATCACTCATGATGTGCGTAGTCAAGGTACACATGAACAGAGGACCCAAAGGTGTTCTGAATGGGGATATGATGCTGCTAACAATGTACTTAATGATGTACGCCGCTTCCGCTGCCCTTACGGAGGTACGCTTGCCGATATTATTGACAACACTCCTAAGGAATTGATCTCGAAGGTCAATCTTGAGGATAAGGTATTCATTTATTATTTTTTCCACTTTTTAAAATGGAGGCAAAAATGAGAAAGAGAGAAGCAAAGCTAATTTACCTCATCATCTATGTCATTCGTAGTTCTTCAACACTTGGTACTCTGGCAGAACAGTCATACTTGGAGATGGTAAAAGCTGATACATATTTACAACCTTATGAAATAACCCTGCTACAGGAAGTACACAGATTGAAATAATCTTTGTCGTGACCTTTTACCATGCACTATTTTTTATTTAAACTGCTAATCTCCAACCTCTAGCTTGCCACAAGGTACATTCAAATTATGTGCAGTAAAAGCATCAAACTCTCAGTGGCAGACAATGCTTCCAATTGAACTCATCATAAACTCTGTCCTGATATTTTTTTTTTTGTTGCAAGATGTTGCCATTTGCAGGACAAGGCGCCAATATGGCGATTCTGTCAGCACTAGAATTGACCAACCTTTTATATGACATGAAATCAGATACACAAACTGAAATTACACGTATTTTTAAGGTGTATTACAAAAACCGCCACTCGCTCGCTAAGTGGTGTGTTAGCAGTGCGAACCAGCACGGGGCCATGCTTCATAAGAAGGCTAGTGATCTTCTCTCTCTTGTTTTATTATATTTTGAGTTCTTGGTGTTTTATTCCTTAATACTAAAACCATAACATGAAAATTATTGTTGTGATGTGTGCTTTCTTTAGGGCGTGATTGGAGATTTGTGGCGGTACCTATTCCTCAACTGGATGCCACGATGGGTGATCAAGAGGGTTACAGACAGCTTCCACGTATACCGTCCTCAACTTGTCTTCTTGCCTTTCGTCAAAATCAGAGGCTCACTTACCACTTACACCAATAAGCCTTCGACAAGACAAACACCGATAGTATCCACTAGTCCAAGGACGGTCTGAGGCATGCAAAGCTCACAATGTTGATCTTCTTTTCGCTCTTTTGAATCCTAGTGCTTGACAACAAATATCTGGCTTAATTTAATGCCGAGTGCTATATTTAATGCGGTTTGAGAGGCTATCCATTTGCAATAACAAGTTGTATATTTGCCTTGCTGATTAAAAAAGAAAGCAGAGGTGTTGATTCTAAATCTTTCGAATGAATATACTAGAATGCCAATAGTTTTTTTTTTTTTTTTTTTTTTTGACCAGGCATATATTGGTAAGGATGGGATTGTTAGAGTTAAGAGGTCGGACTTGTTTAGCGAATTGACTAAATGGCTTGTGTTTCCTACTTCCACACATGTAGTCATAGTGAAGAAGATACAGGAAGCTTGGGGCACTAGAGCTGAATAGAATAGAAAAAATGAATATGTTTCTTGGCATGCATGTTGATGTTCGAGCAATCACAGATTCAACTCAGAGACAATAAACAAAGAAGTACTAAGATGAGCAGTATGACAGATAAAACACCCCAATTGGGAGATCATAACAGGATCTCATATTTAGTGCACGGAAAGAGTGTCATATCAAAGAGAAGCAAATGTACCATGCGTCAAGAGAGAGAATCTTCAGTATCTAGCATCCAAATGCGTCGCGTCCACAATCAGATCAATCAAGAGAAAGCCATTGAAGGACTCGAACTATACGCGCCCGCAGATGCACAGCAAAAGGCCTTCATATAAAAAGTTTTTTTAGCTGTATCGTTATTGGATTTTGGTTGCATTCTCTGGATCTGCCAGTCTAGCTATGTGGGACGGATCACGAAATTCCATTTTGACGATGTTGTGAAGACGTACAAAAAATAAAAATAAAAAAATCAGTTCAAGTTCAAGTTCAAGAGAGTTTAGACGGCCTGCTCAAAGGCTAATATCGTAATTTTTTTCGTAAACAGTAAATAGAAAAATATCAAAGCGTACACTTATGCAATACATCCACAGCTGATGATACAACGCATGTGAATATCCTTTTCTTTTTTTTTTTTTTCTGTTATTACAAGTACTCACTATGGAGAAAGTAAGTAAGCATCAAGTAAATGGGTAAATGTCCATCCGGACATATACTCAATTGAGGTGACATGGATTCCACAGAAACCGAACTCTTACGACATGTCCTAGCCAGAGCAGGAAGGAGAATGGGAATGTGGTAAAAGTCAAAGCCCATTTTAGGGTGCAATTGTTTCCCTTTTTGAGGGCACAACGAACAAATGGGCTCTGACTTCCCACTCTCACGCTCAAGGGGAATTTTTTGAGATTTTGACAACGAGCCCGAGAATGGAAGCCATTGTGTTCACCCCCTTGAAAATAATAAACATGCACAAAACATCAAATCATCAAATCAGCTTCATGGACCATTTTGTAACTAACAAATTGGGGTTTGCCAAGAAACTTGCTGATCTCTTAATCCTTTTGATGCAAAAAGTATCAAAAAAGGAATGAAAACAAAAAAAAAAAAAAAAACTTTAATCTGTAGAATATAAATATTTTACCCTTGTTTGTCAGACAGAAGCAAATATCGATAATAAAAGAATAAATGGAAAAGCCTGTTCCTGTGTCTGTATCAAACCATGATGTACAGGAACAAGGAAGTAGGCAATAGATCTTTCACAAAAATGGGCACATTAAAGGATTGGAAAGGATACCTTATTTGTTTTGAATCCTTGCTCTTTTTTTTTCCTTCCCGCAGCTTCTTCATCTTCAGAAAATAAAACCATAGATATTTGCAAAAGAAAAAGATCTACGAATGAGAAGAAAGTCAAGGACAAGTCCATGACATGGAATGAATATAAAACATCTATCAAGAGTTGAAAAGCATCATTCCTCGACAGTTCTAATAAAGATTAGGGGAGGATAGTAAAAGTTGATTATAGTTTAGTGCAGGGTGGCCTTCCTGTGAGGCCAAGCGCAAGGTCCGATTCGTGTTACCCAGCCCGCAGTTTCTTTGATCAGTTGGGTGTTGCGATCCAAAAATGGAGTTCATTCTCTACTCTGTGTAGCTCTGACATCTTATACTTTTTATATAAACAATGCTCCACTTCAACTCAAGCATTTCTCCTTTCTCTCTTTCTTCTCCCTTTGCTACTCCTCTGCCCGCGCTTTATCCTTCAGTCCCTCGCTCCTACTCTTGTTCCTCTCCGCCTGTCCTTTAGTCAGTCGGGCAACAATCGTTGTATAGATCCCTCTCTTGATTGATTTTTTAATTCATTTTGTTTTATTTTAATTATTTATTTATTTTACCTACCTTATATCCACTGTGAAAGGAGTTAGCATTCATTACCACGCGCGTCCATAACCTGACACTGTATTTTCTGCACCCAATCATTTATCATACTCAGTTATTCTCCCTTCCTCTTTTGTGGACCCCACAGTAACCATGGATATTAATGCGTTCTGCAACGATATCGAGGGCTGGGTAAGCATAAACATATGCTTGGCTTCCCATGCAAACATGCACGGGAATGTTGGGTGATCATTCTTAATTCACCTATTTCGTCACATTATCTCACATACTGTCCATTATCTGTTTTATCTACTCATAGGGCCCAACTAGTGATACCCGTCCTGATCTCACGCTTTGTTTCGAGAACACCATCCTTGTGACACTTCCTGCACTTATTGCAATACTAGGCTTTGTTTACCAATCATATTACATGTGGAGGTCAGGGAAGTCCCACAACCTGGGCCGTACCAACCTCATCTATTGGCCATCACAAGTGCTAATGTTTGCTAGCGCAATAGCCTTAATTGCTAGGGCGACCGTCCTAACAAGCAATACATATGCACCCGCAACCATGCTCAGTACAATATGCTTGACCATTGCATGGGTATGATATAAGAGAAGACCTTTTTTCTTTCTTTTTTTTTTTTTTTTTTTTTTTTTTTGTTCCTCATTCTAGTTGAGCTAATTAGCGTTATTCTTATGTTTAAAATGTTTGTAAATTTAGCTATCAGCGATCATATTGAACCATTTCCAGCATGAACAGGAAATCCGTTCAAATGACCTCATTTTCTCGCTCTACTTTGTCTCCCTTATTGCATCAGCGATCAACATCCGCACAATGGTGCTACTTGAACAAACCAGTCAGCACCAGTTCATAGCTTTTGCTGCATACTTTGCCCTCAACACTCTTGGCTTCATTGTTGAAGCCTGGCCTCGAGGGCGGACTCAAGCTCAGCGCAAGAGCAACGTCAGTCGGTTCAGCAAGGCTAATTTGTGCAGTCGTGCCACGTTCCACTATCTACAGCCAATTGTTTCGTTGGGGTACAGGAACCCGCTCTCTATCAAGGACATTGCTGGGATGATGCCTGATCGTATTCAAACTGCAGCTAGCCACAGTCGTCTGAACCGAACATGGGAGTATGAGCTGGAGAAACAGAGAACTCACGGAAGAAAACCAAGTTTATTTCGTGCTATTTTGAAGGCTTCTGGGCGGGATTGGATACCCGTCATGGTTTTTCGTCTCTTGGCCTCCACCTTTATTTATATTCTGCCTCAGCTCCTTAAAGAGTTGCTTGCATTCATCAACTCTTACCAGACCCCGAATCCACAGCCGCTTCCGCTTGGTATCATTCTGTCCTTTGGAATGTTCTTTACCTCCATATTGAGCTCGTTCTTCATGGCTCAGTACTTCCAATGGGGCATCAATGTCGGTATCCAGGCCAGAACTGGGCTTATTGCCATGGTCTATCGAAAGTCACTTAAACTTTCGAGCGCTGCCAAGCAAAAATCCACTGCGGGTGAAATCACTAACCACATGTCGGTTGATGCAGAGAAATGGGCAGACGCAAGCGTCTTCTTACCTATGCTCCTCTCGTAAGTGTTTTTTTCTTTTTTTTTTTCTATCGTAGATCGGAACATACTATACATACTACTTTTTAGTTGACTAAACTAATGACTTTTTATATATGTCGTAGCACTCCCTTTGAGTTGGCAATAGCTATCTGGATGCTTTACTTACAAATTTCATGGTCCGTATTTGTCGGTCTTGCAACGGTTCTCGCCTTAACCCCAATCCAAGGGATGATTGCCAAGTTCTATATGAAGGTAAAGTTTTTTTTTTTTTTTTTTTTTCTATATATATTTTTTGTTCATATACAACCGAAGAATATCAGAATAAGCTAAATATCGTCTTCTTTTGCTCCTCTCTGGAACCATACCATTTTAGGCCAAGGAACGCAAACTGGAGGCTATGGATGAGCGTGTCCGCCTTATGAACGAGTTGTTGACCTCTATCAAGGTGATCAAGTTGTACGGATGGAGCGACTCATTCCGAGAACGTGTTACCTATTATCGTAACCGTGAAGTAGCCACACTCCGAAAGATCGGTGTGGTTTTCTCTTTTATGTCCATCATGTTCCAGTCCGTCCCCCTTTTGGTGGCTCTTGTCTCGTTTGCAGTTTTTGCAACACATGGTGGCCCTGACTTTGGTCCCGGAGATATCAATCCACAGCGTGTGTTTGTTTCCATTACCTTGTTTGGATTGTTGAACCGCCCAATTGGAATGCTCTCGCATGTCTTGGCCGAGGCCATTGGTGTAAGGGTTGCCGCTGCTCGTATCCAAAAGTTCTTGTTAGCGGAAGAAATTTCTGAAAGCACCGTGGAATCGATTAAGTCCTTGCCTGATGACCCCAGTGTACCACTGATCCAGGTCAAGGATGGTGTCTTTGCCTGGGATCTGGAAGGACCTGTGATCGAGACAGAGAAGGAACGTAAGGCTCGTGAAAAACTTGAGGCAAAGAAACAGAAGGAGCTTGAAAAAGAAGTCAAAAAGGCCGGAAAGCCTCTCCCTGAAAAGATCGCCCCCTTTGAAAAGAATTATGGACCCACACTCGTTGACATCAATTTGGAAATTTCTCGTGGTGATTTGACTGCTGTTGTTGGAAGAGTTGGTCAAGGAAAGAGCTCACTTCTGAATGCTATTATCGGCGATGTAAGTATTCCTTTGTGTTAAAAATATTGTGTGTACCGTTGTCTCCATATCAATCATAGGAGGGACTTTTTTTTTTCAGAATGTTGGCAACTGACTGCTCTCTTGTCTGTTAATCTCCTATGCCTTCAGATGTATAAACGCCAGGGATCTGTTAAGGTGTATGGACGACTGGCTTATGTACCTCAACAAGCTTGGATTGTGAATGCAACTTTAAAGGACAACATCCTTTTCGGAAACGAGTTCGATCAGGCTCGGTATGACCATGTTGTGATGTCCTGCGGCCTCTTGCCAGATATTGCAATGTTGCCAGGCGGTGATCAGACTGAAATAGGAGAACGTGGTATTAACTTGTCTGGAGGTCAGAAGCAGCGTGTTTCTTTGGCTCGCGCTGCATATGAGAATGCAGATGTGTATCTACTTGACGACCCTCTGAGCGCTGTTGACGCCCATGTCGATCAACACCTTTGGCAAAACCTCATTGGGCCTACAGGCCTGCTCAAGGACAAGACACGTATCCTTGTTACCCACGCCATTCACCATTTGGAGCATGTGGATAGAATTGTTGTGATGAGGGATGGAAGGATTGCAGAGACAGGCGAATACAGCACTCTAATGGATGCCAAAGCGTCGTTGTATCAACTGATCACGGATTATTCAGTTAACCAGGCCAAGAAGCGAAATGAGAAAAAAGGGGGTGAGGATTCTGTAGCGCAAGATGACGAAGACTGCTCAACACGCGATGGCAATGAAAAGGAAGACGAAGTCAATGTAAAGAAAGATGACAAGGCTGAACTTGTCTCAGAGGAGAAGATGGTCTTTGGAAGTGTCTCGTTCAACGTGTATAAGATTTATTGCAAAGCAGCGTCGTATAAATGGTCTTTGGCAGTCGTTACTATGTTTGTTCTTGGCCAAGCTTTTCAGGTACATTTGTCTTTTACCAGAGACCTTTTCATATTTTTTATACATATACTATATCAATAGCTTAAACGTATACTTACCTTGCATCCCATTTCCGATATGTTGGGCTTTTTCATGTATAGATTGGCACCAACCTTTGGTTGAAGTATTGGTCCAGTGTTGCAGGTCAAGGAAACCATACCGTTGGCGAATTTCTCGGTGTTTATGCTGCTCTCATCTTCGCCTATATGATCGCTAATGTTGCCTCAGGCTATACCACTATGGTTTTGGCTGCTATCCGCGCATCGACTCGCCTACATGATCGTCTTTTGACCAAGATGCTGCGTTTGCCCATGTCTTTCTTTGACACTACGCCTCTTGGCCGTGTAGTCAATCGATTCAGCGGTGATATCTTCTCAATTGATGAGTTGACTCCATGGAACTTTATCAACGTCCTTCTTTGCGCCTGCTCTGTTCTTGCTACAATTATTGTTATCGCAACTACAACTCCCGTCTTCTTGGCTCTAGTCCCTCCTTTGGTCATTGTTTACATCCTCACGCAGAATTATTACCTCAGGACCAGTCGACAGGTAAACAACCTTGATCCTATTTATGATGTCCATTACACAAGATAATATCTGTTTCCTTTGCTCTCTTAATCTTACTAACAAAAAAAAAAAAAACTTTTCCTAATTCCTAATTTGATAAATAGCTCAAGAGAATTGACTCTGTTTCAAAGTCACCAATTTATCAACATTTCAGTGAGACCCTCTCTGGAGTGACAACAATCCGTGCCTTGCGCGCTAACGAGCGCTTCATCAAGGAGAATGCCAGTAAAGCCGACCAGGCTGCTAATGCTTTTTTCTCTTGGGTGGTTGCCAATCGCTGGCTACAGATCCGTCTGGAGCTCTTGGGTGCAACAATTGTGTTGGCTTCAGCTCTCTTTGCTTGCCTGAGCAGAAACACATTGGGTTCAGGAAGTGTGGGATTGGCTTTGTCATATGCCTTAGCTGTCACGCAGGATATTACTTGGCTTGTTCGCAGCTATTGCGATCTTCAAAAGTAAGAATTATTAATTTAGTCCTCAACGATATCCTTTTCTTTATTTCAAACTTACAAATCTTTTTTGTCTCTTTTTTTTTATATTGTGATAAAAAAAAAACACTTATAGTCAACTTGTTGCTGTTGAACGTGTCGACGAGTACGCCAATAAGAACCCAGAGGCTCCAGATGAGACCGATGCTCCTCTGCCCGAGAATTGGCCACAACATGGCCGTGTTGAGTTCCGTAATTACTCTGCTCGTTACCGTGAAGGATTAGATCTGGTAATCAAGAACATTTCATTCACTGTGGAGCCTGCTGAAAAAGTGGGTATCTGTGGTCGCACAGGCGCAGGTAAATCATCTCTTACCTTGGCTTTATTCCGTATCATTGAAGCTGCTAATAGCCATTGGGCTAAGGCTAGCCACAATGGAGTCGATAAGGATTTAGACTCATCTAAGGGAAAAGAGAAGCAGAAGGAGAAAAGAGAACAAGAGGGGGAAAATGAGATCAAAGATCTCGAGAAGGTCGAAGTGGAGGAAGATGGTGGATCTATCTGGATTGATGGCGTGGATATTTCAACTGTAGGGCTTACATACTTGCGTCAACACCTGGCAATTATTCCTCAGGATCCCACTCTCTTCGTCGGAACTATTCGTGAAAACCTGGATCCTTTCGGAGAGCTTCAAGATGCTGACTTGTGGGAGGCTTTAGAGCGTGCTCACTTGAAGGATCATATTTCGTCTCTTGCTGGTGGATTGTCTTTCAAAGTTTCACAGAACGGGGATAATTTCTCGGTGGGTCAACGTTCATTGATCTGTCTTGCTCGTGCACTTTTGCGCAAGAGCAAGATCTTGATCCTTGATGAGGCTACTGCTGCGGTAGATGTAGAGACAGATGAATTGATCCAGAAGACTATTCGTAAAGAGTTCAAGGACCGCACCATCCTGACAATTGCGCATCGTATCAAAACTATTATGGATTCCGACAAGATCTTGGTGCTCGAAAAGGGTCGTGTCGAGGAGTACGAGTCGCCAAGAACTTTGCTCCAGCGTCCCAGCTCTCTGTTCTATAAGCTTGCGCAACAGGCTGGCGAGATCAAAGATGCGGACTAATAAGCAAGCTGTTTTTTTTTTTTTTTTTTTTTTTTTTTTAATACTATCACAATCTCAAATCTTATATCACTACAGCCAAAATTCCATCAAGCATAGAACACAATATATACCTTAATAAACACACAAAATTGACTTTTTTTTTTTTTTTTTTTTTAAAAAAAAAAAAAAAAAAAAAAAAAAAAGACTCCAGTTGTTTTGTCAAAAAAATAAAAAGACAAATGTTCAATGCGCCAATGAATACAAATATGAATTCTTGTTTATATCGTAAATGTATTTTTCTCAATGCTCAAAAACTCTAATATACTTCCTGTGGTTGCTGCATTTGCTGCTGCTTCTCTTCCTCTTCCTCCTCCTCCTCCTCCTCGTGTTGATACTCTTTTTCCCCCTGTTGGTCCTGGGAAATAGATGACTGATACTCTAAAATAGCCTGTGGCGCTCCTGGTGTGACCTCGAGCATTGATCCAAACCCCTCTCCACCCTGTGGTGCACTTACAGGTCTCTTTGGCTTAAGTGGTCCTGGTAAAGGTAGCCCGGGGCTATAGTTGTTATTAAATCCTTGTGGGTAGGTCGGTGACGATGGGACTGCATTAAGGTAATCAGACCCTGAGGATATCATGGAGGCATGCTTCATACCATAAGAATCATGATATTGGTCTCCTTCTTCTCCATAACTGTTAGGCGAATAGTATCCTCTGAAATTAGTGATGGTCTGAGGGTCATTAGGACGGTGTTCAGAATCAACTATTATGTCCTTGGAGTATACAGAGGGCTCTTCTTCTAATATCACCCCATGTTGCCGGGGTGGAGGAGGGTAATAGGGTACGGCAGATCCCGAAGTTGTATCGCTTAGATAGGATTGCCGAGCCAGGTTGTAGTAATCCCCATTAGTGCTGAATGATCCATCATGCCCGTTTCCTCCGTATTCTGAGCCCGTCATCAAGAATTGTAGACTTGTAGGCGTGGTGAGCTCTGGATTACCTGTGCTGCCAGCAGGGCTCCCATCAGTGCTTCGTCTATGGTTCAGCAGAGCCTCAGGGCTGTGCTTCATCGTATGAAGATTCGAAACGGATGGCGGTCCCCCTTGATTATTATAATGTCCATGCTCCACCATATCTCCACTAAAATGGCCAGTACCTGATACATCCCCCATATCTCCTGATGCATTTTCATGCTTCTTCTTGTTCCTTCTGCGTCTTTTCATTTGTATAAAAGCCAACAACAATATCAATACAACACAACCAACAACGATTCCAACAATAGCTCCTGTCGATAACCCTGATTTTCTAGGCACATTAGTTCCTTCTTTTGAGGCTCCAGCGAGAGCATCCGAGGGTGTGTACTTCGATAGCCACGTCTTACTGGAGAGCGAAAATAATAATAGCGCCTCAGCCGCCGTAGGTACACCGTTGAGAGTATTGGGGTTCATGTAAAAACCTCCCCAAATGATGAGCGAGTCGTCGACAATAGTGCAAGCTGTGTTACCTCGGCTGCGCCCTGAATACTGTGTGGCTGTCCATGCCCATGATTTGGTATCCAGCATATATACATTTGGATCGGCATCGCCATCCCCCGTGAAACCTCCAAAGACTGCTACCAATGACCCATTAGCATCTAGGAAGAAGGAAAAAAAAAAAAAAAAAAAAAAAAAAAAAAATCAATGACTTGTTTACTTCAACACTAGAATTATTTAAAGAAGAAGAGAAAAAAAAAAAAGCGCTTACTACTTGCAGCACAAGCGGAGAACAGGATGTAAGGAAATGACCCAGTAGTTGCCTGTTGATATGGTGGACAGAACCTCACCTTCAATGTTAGTAGTTTTCCATTGTTAAATATTAATCCTACTGTCAGCCAGCAATGAGCCCGTCCTTACCTGAAAAGCCCATACTTCTGTCTCCGGATGGTATAAATACACACCACGAACGATTGTCTTATTCAGGTTTGTTCCTCCAATAACCATCATGGCATCCAATCCTGGAACCCACACTGCTGAATAGGTGGCAATATATTGTGGTCCAGATAATGGTGTCGTAGTCTCTTTCAACACTCTTGTCGAAGGGTCATAGATATCAAAGTCATTTGAATAGGTTTCACCGCCCGGTCCAGCATCACCACCTAAAATATAGTTCTTGTTTGCTTTCGGGTTCGTTACGACCGAGAAATCACGGCGAGAGTTATCTTTCAGTTCAGTAGGGTTAGACTTGAATGCCCATCTATTGGAAGCGATATCGAAAATGTAGATCCATGATGAAGGAACTGCATTTGAATCTGCGCCAGTATCGCGCCCAAATGTGATAAAACTCTTGTTGTCAGCAGAATAACCTGCGGAATGGTATGCATTTGCATCCCCAATGGGAAGATTTGCCCAAGCTGGCTGACTGGTTGACCATGAAGTGGTTAGGTCTAGTGCCCAAAACTGCTGAAGTAAGTTATCGCCTGACGTGGCTCCGCCTTGAATGTAAAAGGTATTTCCAACCCTTGCAAAAGCAGCACCGCCACAAGGCTGTGGCTGGCCTTGAGCAAAAAATAAGAAGCAGCAAGCTGAGAAAATGGCGAAAAATGACTGTTTTAAACGCTGCATGACATGCATGATGTGTGTTTTTGTGAAAAATATTAAAAAAAAAAAGGGAGAAAGAATTGTTGTTTGTTGTTGATGTCTGGATGGTAGTTTACAATATCCAAGCAATAATGTCCACGGGTTGCAACCAAAGTTTGTATCACTTGTCAGGATTTTTTTTTTTTTTTGTCTATAATAAAAGCACAATATGAATTTTGTAGACGTGTAAAACAATTTGCTTGGATTAACGTAATGACAATGAAGTATATTAGCTTGGGTAGTGTCAAAGAAACCAAAGAACAACATTAAGGCGTGGAGCGAGGCATAAATGAAGAGCGAGGATATTCCAAATTCCAAAAGAGGAAAGAGAAAGATCACAAACAAAGAAGGACAATTTGAGAAGGATCTGCTCAAACAGAAAGAAGAAGAAAAGATGAGGAGATGAAGGAAGGGAGGGTAGCGGGAAAAGAAAAAAGGGAGAAGGGAGAGAAAGGAAGAGAAAGAGAGGAGAGAGTTATTCAAAAGAAGGATGTGTAGGCGGTGACAAACTGTCGAAAGGAGAGAAAAGACTTTCAAGAAAGAAAGGCAAAATCAACTGAAGAGGCGTCGAAGAGTGTTTAAAAATAAAAAGACCCTATCTGCTGGCTGGCGCGTAGTAATTATATAGTTATCCCTCACCTTTGCTTTGCTTTCTTGCTTACTTTTTGTAGGTCGACTAAGCTTGTTAATAACGGGCTCCTACTTTTAAATACATCCAACTACTGAAACGATGCTTGCGCAAGGGAAAAAAAAAAAAAAAAAAAAGAAAAACTCTGACATCTTTTATTTTCCCATTGGCTTGCAGTGGATAATGAATGAAAGCGCACTAATCACAATATCAGCATTTCTGTTACGGTCTTGGTCTTGAGCCTGGGCTAGGGCTGATGATTCTCTTACTTGAGGAAAAAAAAAAGGCCATTGCTTCCTGGGCCTCTTAGAATTACTCCAGTGTTAGGCATGACAAGGTTCTACACTTTTTTTTTCAATGCCAAATTGCTTGCTCATTCCGGATGCCTTTACCCTGCTGGTGTATCCTTTCCCGATCAGAGATGATTCCCCCTGCCTGCGCCTTTATCTTCCCCTGTCATGGTATTAGTCATGTTGACTTTATTAATAAAAAAGAAAAAGGTGAAATGAGCCTAAAAATAACTATGATATCCTTCCAAACTCGGCTTGTAGGACGCACTGCCTCAATGCTCGACTCAATATTGCGGTGAAGCGCTTCTTCTAGTGTCTATTACAGACAAGAAAAAAAGAAAATATTTATTGACAGGAATTACAAGGTTACTAAGATACAGTTTTTTTTTAAATTTTCAACAATGTGTGAAATAGAGAGAAATGACGTGCCTGTACATGATGCTTATAGGTCAAAAAAAAATGCGTTGCCTGTGATTGGAGGAAAGAAAAACAGAGTTGAAATCGGTGGACTGTGCGTAGTCTTTTACTCGTGGGCAAATAAGCCGAACAAGGCTTTAAGAGGAGACAATGCAAAAAAGCCGCCAGCAGGTGATCATTTGGAATATGCTCTGTTAGGAAGAGTTGGAACGGGTCCCACAGCAGCCAGGCGAAAAATTTCTCGGACAAATTCACAAGCGATTTTTTTCCATCCTTTTCTTTTTCTTTCTTTTTTACACACCACACTTCTCTTTACAGTTTGCCTTTAAACTTTCCCAAGCACATTTGAGAACCTCTTCATCTCTTTTTATTAATAAACATGCACACGTTAGTATTCCCTCAACCGGTTTCGGTCCCTTTGATCCTCCCACGACGATTTTCTCTTCCTAATCACTGCCGCAGTCAAAAGGATGGCTCTTGCCACTCGTACTGGCCAGCAGAAGAAAGGACGTGGACGCAAAAATATATCTATCTTGGTGGGGATGGGAATATTAAAAACCATAATAATGATAGTTACTTTTATTACACAACCAGCAATAACAGTAACCCCTCCCCAGCATCGCAATATCCAGGTATGGTATCTGGATCACCATCACCCTCGTCAACGCCACCATTATCACCATCATCCTTTGGACCTTCACCATCACAGACTAGTCACCGTAATCGCTATCGTCGCCACTCACTTGGCTCGAGCTCCTCTTGGATGATTGCCCCACCCCGGCATGCATTACATATGCCGGTGATGAAAATCAAGCCCGAGATCTTACGGAATGAAAGGCATCAACGTGAGATCCGCCGACTTTTGCGTGATGGGCGCGAGGAAGCGGTGATGCGGAGGCGAAATATCCAAAATTTCATGGATACTAGTGAGGACGAGGATGAAGACACCATGGAGATGTCGGGCATCATGCCGACGATAGACTTTGGTGGCTTCAGAGCAAAAGAAAGGCGTGAGAAGGTATTTTCTTAATAAAAATTGATGGCGCAGCACATCAAAATCGTGGCGGCCAAATTAAGTAATGATGATGTAATATTATTTTATTTTACTTCATTTCATTATTATATATATTATATTTTCATTAATTCTGAACTCTAGGAGCGTGAGCTCGAGGAGGTCCGACGGGAGTGGCTGGGCATGGTAAGGCGTTGTTCACAAGAGGAACAACAACAGCAACAACAGCAACAACAGCAACAGCAGCCACAAAACCAAGTTGCAGGTGGGTCACTGCAAAATTCAGGCCTTGTAGGAGGCGCAGTAACTGCTGCCACTCCATCAAGTAGCTCTGGTCAGCGGCGGCGTCCATACCGCGGCTGTAAAGGTATCCCTTGGATAGTAAAACGGGCATCTATGATGTCCTTTTAGAGAGTTCAGCTTCCTGGATACATGCCAAGGAAGTAAAAACCAATAGAAAATATAATAGAATTAATAAAAATAATAACAATAATAATCATAATCATATAACATATAAAATCATTTATCGAGCTAAATCACCACGATGCACTACGCTCACCTTTCACTTGCCTCCACTCTATGCATCTACTTCTGCTCCCATCCCCTCCCTTCAGCCTATAGATAAGCAAAAACACCAAGTGTCTACCTCTTTTATTTTCTACTTCCTTCCTAATTTCTTCTTTTTAATAGAGGCGTGTTGCTGAGTTTCCAAAGATAGTTGTTTAATCGAGATAAGCTTTTTTTTTTTTTTTTTTTTTTTTTTTCATCGACTACAGACCCAAGTTCTAGTCTCTAAGGACAACGGTATCATATTAAACCGCTAGGATATGAAGCTATTGGGCCCCACGAGTATCTCATTAGCGCACGTTGCCTCTGTGCCAACTGCACCAGTTTCTTGGAATCAGTCCTACCAAGGCCAAGATAATGCTGTAGATGCGAGTCAGTGATCTTCGCCAGCGCGTTTTTTTTTTAGCAGTGTACCGAAGCTCAGATATTCCGTTTACCGGCAGACTTTACTGGTGCGATGCACTACTGGTCTACAACCAGCGGTATGATATATTCCAACACAAAAATACCCTGTTACACCTTTGGTAGACTATGGCAGCAATGAAGAGCTCGAGACAACAATGACTGGATAATCGACCCTTCCTTCATAGATTCATAAGCGAAATAACCACAGTTATTCTGTTCTCGAGATATGGCGGTGCCCATTCTTCAACCTACAGACATTTGACTTGTTACAAATCAAAAAATAGGATATAGTGAGTCTTAATGAACTCAGTCAAGCCTATCCATTATTAGTTGATAACTTTCCCAAACTGACGTAGGAAAGTAAACCTAATAAAAAAACTCTGTTCTGTCATCGATACGATTGGGTCAGGTACGCTGTATCAGATGAGAGGAGTTTGACTGTGGAGACATTGCTGGATGATCTGCCATTGCTGGATAAACTTAGCGTGAACAGTCATTGCTGGGTTTGGTTATTCAGGAATAACCCGCTCATTCTATAAGAGCAATAGACATTCATGTGTGTTACACTAAATGAATTAATACACATGTCAATGCGTAACCAAAGGACGGTTAAACATTCGCCTTTGGAATGATCGTGTGCAACGGATTAGTTCTCCACAAGTCTTTCCCTTCGCTTCTCTCCCTTCATTCTTTCCTTCCTTCCTTCCTTCATTCCTTCCTTCCTTCATTCCTTCCTTCCTTCATTCCTTCCTCTTCCGTTCTCCCGTCACTATCGGCTGTGTCATTGTTGGATCTTCACATATCCTCCATTCCTTACCTAGATCCTTATCCTCTCTTCCTTCTCTGTCTCGATTATGTGTAACCCTTATTTCATTTAACGCATTTATATTTAACGTCCATTCCAATTCATTCCATTTCATTGCATTTCATTGTATTGCATTCCATTTCATTCCATTCTTTTTTCTTTTATTAAATACATGGCAGGGGCCGTTGCAAGAGCCTTAAGGCTCGATCAATTCGAACCCGATAGGATTGTGACCTCTAACCTGGTCCGTCCATTGACTCTTGCTATCTTGCGAGGCATCTTTACGCTCTACAATTTGATCGTGATCATCACTGTTTGGGCTACATCCAAATCTGCGGTCAAATACCTGATGTACTTCACTAACCTGTCCTATTTTGGACTCACAGCCTACCTAGTTGTAAGTTCTTCCCCTTTTCATTGTTTCAATTTTTGATCGCGTAATGTGTGCAGCACATACGCAAAGCTTCGATCATTATTTTTATTTTTATTATTATTGTTATTGTTATTATTATTATTTTGTATGCAGAAGAGCCATGAGTGGTTTTCCCATGCCTCGAATGTTCCTCGGAGCCCAATAATAAACCTTGAAAGGATTATTTTTTCTTGTTATTGCGAAGACATCACGCGAGCGGAATTGCAAATATCCGATTTAGCATCACTTCACTCAAACCCCGAAAAAAAAAAAGATTGATTACAAACGCATTATGTTATTATTCTAACATTCCCTGTCCCTCTTTTTTTTTTTTTTTTTTTTTTTTTTTTTTTTCCTTCATTTCATGTTCCGGATAAAAAGAGCACCACTTTATGGTCATTTGGATACTTGAGGCGACCAGTTCATGAGCGCGCGCAGTGGCTCAAGAGTGGATCACCATGGTGGGGCTGGACCCATTGGTTGTTATACGCCACTGTTGTCACTTTCCACATCATCGTCCCCATTGTCTTTTGGACAATGCTCAACAAATCAAATGAAGACCTAGAAAACATGTCGACGCTTCATTCATGGACGAATGCTTCTGTTCACGCCGTTGATGGCGCCTCTGCGATCTTTGAACTTGTATTCAACCGTCATTTCCTGAAACCCATGCATTCGCTTTTCGTTGCAGGTATCATGATTCTTTACATGCTCTTGACGTTTGTTGTGCATGCGACAGAAGGAATATGGGTCTATCCATTCTTAGATTGGGACCAAGGCCCCATTGCTGCAGCATACTATCTGGGCGTTGCCGTAGCTCTATTTATCATCTATTTCGTCCTGTTGGTCTTGCATAACTACCGGAACAAGTGCTTGGCAGGACGATGTGCCAAAGTCAATCATGATCAACCATTGGAGTCACTTCACAACCAACAACATCAACAGCATGATGAGGAGAAGGGAGGGTCTTAAATGGGGTTTCGATATGTTAAATGCATTAATGGATTAAACAAGTAAAAGATAAAAAAAAAATAAAAAATAAAAAAAAAAAAACTCCTATCTATGTAAACTACTATCATTATTATTATCATCGCTATTGCTATCATTATATATATTATTATATTTCTTATTCGAAAAATATACTGTAGAGCATAAATCAACTGCCCAACGCTTCACTCTTCTTTTCCGCCTTTTTTTAAGGGTGAAATGAGTGTGTGATCTGAATGCCATCTTGCCTCATGGCTGGTCGATGTCCCTCACCTGCTGGTTCGGATGAGCCTGTTTGCCTATTAGAGGAAGTCGGTCCGGTAGCATAACGTATATCACTGTTTCCATGACCACTCTCGCTACTGTTATTATTATTATATGTTTGATGATTGCCTGGCTCATTACTATTACTATTGTGACTGTTGTTAAGACTTCTGGTATGATTAGAGCTGTTGCTATTATTGTTTTTGGTGTTGGCTGTGTTGTTATTGTCGTCAATTGCGTTATTGTTATTGTCTTGAGCAGCTCCTGATCCTTTTCCTGAACTATTGGACTTTGTGTCTCGCCCTTCCAGAGCTGCGATCTCAGCGGCCGTCAAAAATCGTCCACCCGGTCCACGTGGGCGTCTCATTGCGTGCAAGTGGCGCGACTCGTGCATAAACTATAAAAATACAAAGTTAATATCTGTAAGAAAAAAAAAAGACAGAAAAGAAGGGAAGAAAACAGATGGACATGTCCCCAACCCAGAAAGCGGACTATGGATAGGGAGCAAGGTAAAAAAAAAGACAACGGAAAGGGGGCCGCTCACAAACACATGGAGAGCTGATGTCTTTTTTTTTTTTTTTTCTTTTTTTCCCATGCATGTTCATAACCCCAATCTCTCTCCCCGTCCTTTGCTTGTCTGGATCCCATTCTATTCAACGTTTTCAGCTTTTTTTTTTTTTTTTTTTTTTTTTTTTTAATTTTTACCTTGCGACCACGCTGCATTAAACGGTTCTGGGCCTCGAGGTTTGCACGAGCAGCTCTCCTTTTGAGGATTCGATGGTACTGGTTATATGGGCATTATCATCATCGACATCATAAAAATATATATTTTTATAAAAAAAATAAAATAGAATAAAAGTTAGATTGAATTAGCTAGAGCCCCTGTTGGGCGTTTGCTCGCCAATGAATTTTTCTGTCGCAATGAATGTAGACCAATAATTTGGACTATTGGATTCGCGTTAATAAAGAAAGAGAAGGGAGCACTCAAGCTATGCATACAATCAATCAGAAAAAAAAAGAGAGAGATCCGATTTACTAGTCTACTAGACTGTCCTTTTCGTTCATCATCATTTCCTTATCTCTTGCTCACCTGTTTAGCATTAACATATAAAGGTTCTTCGGGTTCTTCGATTCTTGGAGAAGCAACCTGTCCGATCATATACCCAGGTGGCATCATACTCTGAAATAGGCGAAATACAAAAGTACAAATAAAAAAAATAAAAAAAATAAAAAAAAAAGGTTATTAGTTTCAGTTGTTGAAATAGGTTTTTTAAAAAAAAAAAAAAAAAGTGCAGGTTGTAGCATACAGGGTCTACAACAATAACACTTGGGTATGGGCCAGGAATGGGTTCGAAGCGATGTCCCGATGGAGCTGATCTGGCCTCTGCATGATGTGTAGAAGAAGGTTGGGATGTGTGTGGTCGAGGGGAATGAGAGGAATGTTCTTGTGACGGAGAAGTCATCCTAGAGGCCTGTGTCATTGTGCAGTAAATGTTCAAAAGAAGAAATTTTGAACCAGAAGGAGAGGGGGAAAGGGGGAAGGTTGGAAATGGAAGGAAGTCAAAGCTAAAAACTAAAAAAGTGATGGAACTAAATGAACAAAGAATTGATTCCAATGAAGGAGGAAAAAAAAAAAAAGGTTGAACGGTGAAGGAGGCAAAAAAAAAAAAAAAAAAGATTGGGTAAGTATGTCGCCAGAATATACGCCCAGCCAGGGGAAAAGGAAAGAAAAAAAAAAATGACACGTACAGCGAACATTTTTATTATTGACAATATATATATTAATGCCGTTCACACCCCTCATACACACATGACAAATCCTTCCGAGCAAAAGACAAAGGCAGCAAAGTATCCTTGAAGGCAAGCAAGAAAGTCTACAAGTCCTCTATTGAAGACGACTAGGATTTATTTTGAACGTTTTAAACATTGGAGTTAGATCAATGTTGTGCACATGTATTTGCATTAACATAAGCATTGATGCTCTTGGATCTTTATTCGAATGCACGTTGTCATAACAAAACAGCTGGAATGTCTGTGATCAATGGATCAATGATGCATTCAGTTACACACACAAAAGATGTTGTTATCTATGTTGAAATCTCTCGCACACTTACATTCACACTCACCCATACAATCCTTGTTTGTTGATTTCTTTGTTCTCCCGCCGTGCTTCCCGTCTTGCCATACTACGATCTTGTACTGGATATATTATTGGCGAGATTGTTGTCATGGATTCAGCACGTGTGAAGGATATTACTCCCTTTCATGAATCTGGACATGCGGAAAGCTCTTTCTGAATCATCATTTCTTTAGATTTGTTGTATTCCTTTACTCTTGGCAAGTAAGGCTCGACTTGGCAGAAATTCAATAATATAAAACATGTTTATAAATCTAAGCAGCAATAGATAAAGCAGCAGTAACAGTAGCAGCAGTAACAGTCGCAACAGCAGCAAGTGAATATCCAGAAAAAAAATATTATCACGAGGATCGATTACAGAATCAGGCTCAAAAAAAAAAAAAAAAAAAAAAGAGACTTTTATAAACAGGACTGTTGTAAACATGTATTTAAAAGCTCTACATTGAGTTAAGAGGTGTTCTGCTTGCTTGTTCACAAACACCTCTCTCTGGTAGGGCTTTACTTTGCCCGAATCATATCGTGTTCTATAGACGAAAAGCTTTTGAATGGTTTCTACGTAGAATGGTTGGCCTAGGCCGCTTAGAAGGATGCCGTTGTGAAATAAACCTTTTTTTTTTTTCTTTTTTTTTTTTTTTTTCGGCATGACGTTGCATGAGATCTAGAGATCTTATTTAGTCTAGGATGTCCATTGTTTACAAAAAGTTGTATTGATTGTTCCTATAAGGGGTTGGTGGACAAATCAGAGCTTAACGCCATATCTTCAGTCTATCATGTCTATACACCTCAATCGGAACAAAGCAAACAAAGCGCGAAAGCAAAAAGGGAATATGAATCATGGTCGCGTCTCACTTTCTAACTTTTCCTTTTTAAATACCTCAATACAACTATTGAACTAATGACTATAGATTGATTCTGGATCCTATTTTTGCATTGAGCTTATTCAAAGTTTACATCGCCAGAAACGCACTTTGCAAAGGCAGATCACATCGATGTTTTAGGAGCAGTCAACTGTCGTTATGACATGACATTTCTCAATCTAATTAGAGTCTATCAAAATTCACTCTACCTCACCTCCTATTCGAATCGTCGTTTTCAGATCTTTCTTTTACTCTATCTCAGTCTTCGGAGCATTTTATTTATTCATTTATTTTATACTAAAGGATTAAGATCAGGACACGAGAAGAGTATACCAATTAGTGACTTTCCTCAGATATGATATCGCAGTTTTGCATACATATCCAAGCGAAAAGAGATGGAGAAGGCCCTTTTATCTATGTAGGTCAGATTAAGGATTATTGAAGATGGCTTTGTTTCATTCAATCAGAAAAGGATCACTGTGTAAAGCAATTGAAAGGATAATTAATCTATTTTTTGAAAAAAGGTATCCTATCCACGATTGTGTGGAAGGAAAATATAGAACTGAAACCATTCAACATGCCTCAGTGTCTCTCCCAAGGTAGCACAGTTACAGATTGTTACTGGTACATGTATATATATATATATATACATATGTAACAGAGACTGGAAGGGGAAGGAAGGTTGCTTGCTGTCCTATCCTTCTCTTTGTCGTTTTTTTTCCTTCTACGTTTCTGCCTAGAACGCACCATCCCCTATAAAACCATGCCTGTGCATGGAGCAAGCTGGTCTCAGATAGAATAATCAACAAAGATGAACCAGGTTGTCTTGTTTGTCTGATTATCCATGAGGGCTTACATTCTGAGATTATGATTGGCTTAGAGTGCTTTTCAATTGAAATCTTTATACATGTGCTTTCTTGCAGTTCTCCGCCAACAACGTTCGTGTGCCGGTGAAGGGCACACTCTTTTGACATACTTGTCTAAAAGGAAAATTTTGCCGCCTATTCATTTGGCTCGTAAGCCACCGGGGAGATACTCATGCAACGGGACGTTTGGTCTTTGAGCGGTAACAGACAGAATGAAAAAACGCTTTTCATTTTGGACTTGGAATGAACAGTTAGCGCATCTTGCATGTATAAATAATGAAGTCCGTATCCTCTTCAATAAAATTCTCTTTTGAAGTATTGGTGGTATACGGGTCAAATAAAATAGGCCAAAACTCCCTTTAGCAATTATGTCAAAAGAGGGCATCCTTCGCGAACAGCGTACGTGTGTCAACGAGAGTGAGAGCTAATAGGCTACAGCTATTGAATAGAAACTACAATACTCCCTCACAACACATTGAACCGGCACGATACCGAGTGTAGAAAGTATGCTGTTTTTATTGCTTTGTTTGGATGACCGCAGCTTGTCCAACCACAAAAAGGGCTACTTGCTTTGTTGATTAGATAGAGACAGCTCCTTTGTCTTCTGTGTCGGATTTTGGATTGTTGGTGTCAGTTTGGTCGGTGTCACCTAGGACGGGCGAAGCGATCCCTGCGGGTCGTCGGTGAGTTTTTTATTATAGTTTATGGTTCCGTTCAGAATGCACTGTATCATTCTGGATAAAGTCAATAGACAAATAAACACATGGAAGACATCAAGGTATGTTTGTGTATAGTTCAGATCCTTCTTCACTTTTACCCAACGTTATAGAACATGTCGGAGGGAAAAAAAGGAACAGATGAGACTTTTTAAGACAAAAATTTACGCTTTGGCCCCTGTCTGCAACACACACACACGCTTCGACCACTCGGCGGGTTCTCACTGTACAGGAACAAGCCCTTAAAAAAATTTTTTTTCTGCACAGACACTCCCCTCTTTTGCTTTTTTGCTTTGGTACGACAACCAAAAAAAAGAGGGCTCTCAATTTCTTTTTTGCGCTCGCACCCTTTTTCTGTCTCTCATCGAAGACTTGATGTTTATATTACCTATCAGCTCAAATCAAATAGTCTACTTGTGTTCCTTGTATTCAGTCTTCATGAACAGTCCAATCCGTTTGATGGTCATCGAATTTACTTTCCTCTTCCCCCCCGTGCGCACGCGTGTTTTTCTAAGACAGGTCTTTGTCTCACATCTCTATGCCCTGCGTCTGTGTGCTGCAACAAAGACATAAACAATGCACATCTTCGCACACTACCTGTCGCTTACTTACTCCACGGTAGTGGTAAAACGATGACTGATAGTGAAATGAAGAATTCTTTTTAAACATATAAATACACCTTTGAACCTCCATCTTTCCTCCTGTTTCCTTGAAACGTCCATTCCTCTCCAAGCGCGGATATACCCCTCCTTTTGTTACCTCTTCCACTTGTTATTTGCACTCTGGGACAATCGCTTCACCTTATATACTTATACATAATAAACATACACTCTCCCTACAGAAAAAAGATATATTGTGTACTCTAATATCCGTTTCGTTTCGTCTATCCTCTTTTTTAGCAGCTTTCACTCTTCGCTCATTCTTGGTTCATTCACTCTTTCAACAATTCTCATTCCAACTTTGAATCATCAACTACAACTTTTTGTTTTTTAAACCTTTTTTTTTTTTTTTTTTTTTTTTAACTACATACTCTTTGTAATATTGTGTTCTACTCAGCATGCCTCCAATGACAGTGTCTGACTATCCAAATATGATCACACCCAAATATTTCCACCAAAATACGGTCATGCCTTTGTCTGAGGCGAACTTGTGCAAGCACACTATGCAGGTAAAGAACCCATTCTCCTTCTCTTTTACCATGATTCTTTCATTTATTCTTTTCTATGGATCTCGATGAACCAGACATAGAGATAAGGAAGACTTGGATTTAAGGCTCGTAATAAAATTTTCATTCCTTCATCGGATCGACATTTGGTTATGAAATTCATCCAGAGAAGGAAACTATTAAACAAAAAAAATTGTCCATGTAACCCCTGTTCACTGCCTCTTTTTTTTCAATCAAAACTTTGTGTTTCCTTGGTCCCCCGTTCTACGCACCCCGAATTTTGTTACTATAGCATTCCTTCATGTGCCCTTTTTGGGTTGTCTTTTTTTTTTTTGGTCACTTGTTTTTTTATTTTTTTTATTTTTTTATTTTTTATTGTTTCGATGACTATTCATGCAACACTGTTGATCATTTGACTACTCTCTCCTGTACATCTTTAACATTTTACCCTCTATATTAAACACAATCCTTTTTGTTGTTGTTGTTGTTTGCGCAACAGATGAGCCCTGTGTCGCGCCAAGCAAAACTGGTTCATATCATAGGCTATGTCGATCGGCAACGAGAGCTCGTCTCATCAGAAGAACCCGTTCATCAAGCGATGAAGGCTTCGGCGACCAAGAGTAGTCGTCTTGTTGCTGCTAGAGGCGCTGGCGCTTCTGCTCCTGCAACTGTCCGTGGGGGCGACGACGAGATGAACAGTGTCATCTATGATGATATCACTCCTTCGGGGACCATAACCCCCATGCTTACGTCCACAAACATACATGCACAACTGCCCATTGCGATGCGCATGAGGTCCCAGCAAATCAAGCCCACAACTCACCAACACTCACAACAGTTGTCCATCAAGAAAACCCCTGAAAAGCGAATGTCAGAACCCATTGTATCGCCTATGGGGATCTTTGCATATCAGCAACAGCAGAATCAACTGCAACTGCGTAGCCCCTATCGTGATGCGTCTGCTGGCGCAATGGACCCAAGTATGGCTCTGCCTCGTGCCCTCCCCCGAAAATTACCTACCCATAGCTATGACTTGAGCAGTCTCTACTCCCCTGTAGATTCACATTTCCAGAATGTGGATGAGTATGATGCCCAAAGCCTCAACAGCCCTGCCCAAGACTGGCGACAAGATCCCCGTCTCCGCCCTATGTACAACCGAAGCCCACTCGTCCGTCAGGACTCTTCTGAATCAATGGAAAGGGCCAAGAAGTTAGGCCGTCTTGGTAACAGCTTTGCGTTCTTGAGCAAGAGCAAACTTCCTCAGCTGCGACGTAAATCCAGCGAGGGTGTAAAAGAAGAGAATGGTGGCCCTGCCATCAAGCATGAATACGATAATCGCTCGGATTCAGAAGCGAGCAAGGATCAAAGCCAGAGCCAGAGTCAGAGCCGACTCCAGTCCTTGACCTATAGGTCTGGTCGCGCTGTGAAGGCAGCTATGGCTATGGCAGCCATGGCAGCTGGTGCTGGTGCCGGAACTGATTCATCCGAGACACAGTCCGAAGATATCAAGCCTCGAGGCACTGTCAAGCAGCTGTTCATGGATGTATTCAAGAAATCGAGCAAGGCTCCTCAAGGCGCTTCTTCCCCTGACGCTGAACCTGAGAACCAAAGGTTCAGTTTATGGTCACCTAACCAACAGCATGCTGTTGATATCGAAGATTCTCTGGACTCTTTGAGCAGTGATTACTCTCCTCACACAACAGTTCAGAGCCCTGAGCCAACGCCTTCGTCTACTACTTTGAGGCCATCGGGATCTTTTGATCGATTGTATAAATATGGTTTTGAAGAAGAAAGCGATGATGATGAGGGAGAGGATACAGAGAAGAAGGGAAAGTCTGGCAAGCCAGAAGGACAAGATCTGATGCCTATCGCTGCATTGATTCGCGAGTTGTCCGCTTTTGGCTTGGACTATGTGCATCATCAACCTTATTCGTCTCAGCAAAATACGGCTGCCACTCAAATGGGGCAGGAGCAATCAATTATCAACATTGAGGGTGCAGGGCTTCAACACCACCATCAACGTGTTGTAGCAGCCATGTAAAAAAAGAAAGAAAGAAAACAATCCTGTACAAATTAAGGCGACCTTACAAAAAAAAATAACCATCAACAACAACAACAACAACAACAACAACAACAACAACTAATGATTATCATGGCTCACCCTCAATGCGAAACGCGCGGCGCGCGAATGCTCCTCCAAATCATCACTTATAATGCGTATAATGTGTATAATGCCCCATTCCCTTCCTTCCTTCATTTTCCTTCTATTCATCTCTTCATTTTCTTCCTTCTCTTTGTATAATTTCTAGTCTACCCAATAATAGTTTAATAGCATAAATATTTCGTTGTTTTTTTATTTGTTATTTATAAAACACGTGTAAACATAAAATTATTTTTCGAGAACGATCATTCACATTGGTATATGTATATTTATTCTATTACAGTATGTTTTATATACATGTTGCCACTAGCTACGGTACCTCTAATCCTAGTTACTGTTGTGAGCCATCGATGTTCTCTTTTCACACACACATTGAAATCCCTCTATCAATATTAACGTGTCCTTATGCAGCTCTGCACTGGCGCCTGCAATAGAACATCTTTAAAAAAAATTCTCGTTAAAAGTGCAACAGCTGTAAGGCCTGATCCACACAACCGATTCCTGTCTAAATTACTACAGCCATCCTTACAAAGTCAAGCCAGCTAGTCAGCCCTTCATATACGTACCTTTATAGAAGACACACGCATAAAATCAAGACAGCCATCAGGACCCTCTTGTTGATTTCCACCCTCGGTGTCGGTACCATCCAAGCCATTTGCGCGGTTCACTTCCAGTAGTTCAACCCCCAGATGAACAATGTTTGCGTCTTTGACTTTCCAAACTGTTCCAATTTTACTGCCGAGAACGCTTCATCATTTGGGCTTGATGTTTCGTTTGATTTCGAGTCCGAAGGCAGCCGCCAAAGGATAGATTCAATAGAGAAACCATTGTTTAAGGCAGTCTATGACAAGCAGCTTTTTGAGATGCCATGACCTTACTAAGACCATTACGACTTACCTCAGACAATAAGGGTCGGACGATGCTTTGTACCTCTGTGTCGGATAAAGAGTCTAGGGTACGCATAGCTACAGAAAGCATGGAAAGACCCGAATTCAAAACAGAGCAATTTTGTCCGATAAAATCCTAGGAAACAGTTTTTCACGTAAAAAATCTTTTTTGTATTTTATCATGGTATCGTGGTCCATCATAACGATGACTAGTCGTGAATGACTGGTTCTCACTGATATCAGTGAGTAATGTACAATGTATTCATTGTAAGATGAAGTAGGACCAATGTAGATCTTATTAAGGAGCTTCGCCTATTTCATAGATCGGTGGCGTCGCGTCTTTTCTTAATTGGGAAGAGCGTGTGCCCATCAAATTCTTTTTACCTTCATTGTAAAAAAAAAAAAAAAAAAGAAAGACGAGACCCAGGACAGGACGGAAAGAAAGAAAAAAAAAAAAAAAAACGACAAGATGAAGTTCACGCATAGTTCATACCTCAAACCATTGCTTCATGCTGCCAAATACCCAACAGCAACTGTGAATGGTGTCTTCTTGGCGGATAAGAACTCTGAGACTATTCGGGATGCGGTTCCATTCTTCCACTTTTGGCACACCTTGACGCCCATGCTTGAAATCGCCATGACTCAGGTAGAGAACGGACAACAATCTATAGTTGGCAGATGTTACAGGATGACATGATGAAGCCAAGTGTCCTGATGATGAATCGTTCAAAAGGGGCATGTTGCCATCTTTTTTTTTTTTTTTTTTTTTTTTTTTTTAAGAAAAAAAATATTCTGGAAGCAAAACTATGTGTCCTTTCTTCTTACCTTCCCTTTCCCCCTTTCTTGCTCCTCCTTTCCCTTCTAACGATGATTTCCTACCCCTCTCTTCTCTTTTTTTTTTTTTTTTTTACTTTAGGTTGATCTTTACTGCCAGGCTAATGGACTCAGGATAGTCGGATATTATGAAGCAAATGAGAGAGTAGATGATGAAGCATTGTCTTTGGTTGGCCAGAAGATCGCATCTCAAATCCTTCAGATTACTCCAGATGCATTTGCTATTGTGGTAAATATCTATAGTCTGTCATCTCCTCTTCTTCAAGGGAAAGACGAAGAGAGGGGGGGGGAAACAAATTCATAAGCAAACAATGTTAATGAAAATTAACCGCTCTTTGTTCCTTCATTTTACATTGATACTATTTTAGATCAAGAATGACAATATCTCGACAGATAATGTTGCTTTCTTGGTAAGAACGAACTCTATTGATACCCCTTATGCAAAGTCATGTTGTTATTATTATCATTATCACTATTATTGAGGCCTCCATTGAAAAAAAAAAAAAAAAAAAAAAAAAATCTCTTCATTTAAATGAAAAATATAGCCCTATCAGTTCAAGGAAGGACAATGGCGTGTAAGCAAAGGGGCGTTCACAGAGAAGAATGAACAATTCTCACTTGAGAACCCAGCCAGTCCAAGCTTGGTTGTTAAAGCAATTCAGGATGGCCTCAGCAGCAAATTGGCAGACTTTGATAACCATCTGGAGAATGTCAGTGCAGATTGGTTGACCAACAAGGATATAGCATGATTTGGACAATATCTCTATTTTGTGAAATAAATAAAAAAAGATGCTGACAAGCGTGAATAGAATGATATACTGGTGTCCATTGCATCCCCTGGCTGTTTTATTTTTTTTTTTTATTTTTTTTATTTATTTTTACTTTTTTTAATGCTGTTGCCACTACTGCTGTTGTTATTGTTGAAGACCTAACGAGTCGTGGTGACTCTTGACGGAAAATACTGTTCCCTTGGACATATCCCTACTTTCTGCTTTCATGTCTTTCCTTCAAGACCTTGCACCATAACTCGTCAGAATAAAATCAACTTTTCGTAAGTCAATAAACGCCAGGTGAACGAATACGTGAAACCTTGGATGGCTCTATCACGGATATAGTACAACGACTAGAATCAAAAACCAGATCGAGATACAGGTCATGTGTTTATGTTTGTGGTGATCATATCCTTTATATTCCTTTTTCTCCAGGACGATAATATATATACAACAACTTGCGAACCTGATGAGCTGGCAGGAAATAATAGGAGCCAGACAGAGCCGTATCTCGGGAAGTTGTATTGTTAAGGGGTGTTAATCCCCGGCTCCCATTGTGTTCATTGACATGGATGATATAAAAATACAAGCGACTCCCTTGTTCGTTGTTATCTCATACTTATCGATCTCGATGGTCTCTTTAATGTATTGTCCATTCCATATAACCACTATTGCCCCCACATGTTTAGTGGAGAAGGAGTAGAGTCAAGCAAAATGGCGCCTGCAAAAATTAACGGTTCAAGGTCCTGTGTACATGTACATGCACATGCGCATGGCAGTGTGTGTGGTTTTGTTCCCCTTGCGACTGTCAAAATTAAACAAGTAAACAGATTAACAACTTTAGCTCTTTCTTTTTGCCTTTCTTTCTTACATACTCACGGCATCATTCTTCACTCCATCGCTTTTTTTTTTTTTTTTTTTTCCTCTCTCTTCTTCTTCTTCTTCTTCCCTCTTCTAAGTTACTCTGCCTAAACTCTGCTCCTCAATCACTGGGGATTTTATATTACCTCATCGTTTTATTGCATCATAAACTTTGAACCAACAATCAAGGTCAAAGCTAATTCTTTTAATTTCAATACTAGTCCATTGCCCAGAGTCCGATTGAAAGAAGAGCTGGTCTCTTGTATATATATATATATATATATATAAGGTCTATTTTTTTTTTTTTATTTTTTATCTCATTAAGTTTAAAAACCATGTCTGGTCTGGATATTTGGCAAGACGCTACTGAACAAGGAGATGGACAACAGCGGCAACAGCAACGACGACGACAACCAGAGGAACATGAATATGAGCAAGATAGTGATCAGGAGAATGTTCAACCATCACATCGGGCTAAAAAACGAGCGTTGACTGCTGTTGGTGCTGATACTAATAGCGCTCACGCGACTACTTCAGGGACTGCATTTACTACTGCCACTACCACTACCACAGCTACAGTAATGGCGAATACCACAACAATGACGCGCGGTGCAGGTTATCCAGCAGATATTGATGCACGACAACAGCTATTGAATCGTGATAAACATCATCAACAGAGACAACAACAACAACAACAACAGCAGCAGCAGCAGCAGCAATCCATTCAGAACGACACTGGGGTTATGCAACCTACGCTAAAGAGGCCCCGAGAGACGGCGCATGTGACTGGAACATATATTCAAAGTATATCGAAGGCGGAGTATGAGAAGCTGCGTCATGCTCATCGTGTACGGCAGCAGCAACTACTACCACAGCGGCATCACCTACCACAAGATCAAATACAACAACAACAACAACAACAGCAGCAAGTCATTCAGAACGACACTGAGGCTATGCAGCCCACGCAAAAGAGACCCCGAGAGACGGCACATGTGACTGGAACACATATTCAAAGTATATCGAAGGCGGAGTATGAGAAGCTGCGTCATGCTCATCGCGTACGACAGCAGCAACTACTACCACAGCGGCATCACCTACCACAAGATCAAATACAACAACAGCAACAGCAGCAGCAGCAGCAGCAACAACAACAACAACAGCAGCAGCAGCAGCAGCAGCAGCAACAGCAGCAAGTCATTCAGAACGACACTGAGGCTATGCAGCCCACGCAAAAGAGACCCCGAGAGACGGCACATGTGACTGGAACACATATTCAAAGTGTATCGAAGGCAGAGTATGAGAAGCTGCGTCATGCTCATCGCGTACGACAGCAGCAGCAGCAACAACAGCAACAACAACAACAACAGCAGCAGCAGCAGCAGCAGCAACAACAGCAACGGCAGCAACGGCAGCAGCAGCAGCAACATCGACCTTTAACAAAAGAAGAAGAAGAAGAATTACATGCCAAAAGATTTGAGGCATATCGTCAAGAGCTGATCAACAATATCAATTATGGTGACCTTTACACGGATGATGTTCATGAGTATCGCCATGTGACTCTGCCCAAACAACTCCTTCATCATTGCGTTCCTCCAGAGTTTAGAGTGAAGCCAGACCATACTCATCTGAGACTTTTAACTGGTAAAAAGCTCTTTTTTCTTTTTTCTTTTTTTTATTTCTTATCATTTATTTCCCATTGCCAAACATAAGCATACACATTCTTCGACTGTGCTGAATATTATGGCTTTTTAACTAATATCTAAAAAATTATGCATTACTTTTTTTTTTTTTTTTTTTTCCTTTTAGAATCGGAATGGCGTGAGATTGGGATCCAAATGTCAGTGGGCTGGGTTAATTTCATGCGTCATGATCCAGAGCCACACGTGCTTTTATTCAGGAGAACGCGTGAATTGGGAGATAGATTGCGACGAGAAGCTGCAGAAAAGGAAAAAGAGGAAGCGGAGAAGAAGAAACTAGAGGAAGCAGAGAAGAAGAAACTAGAGGAAGAGGAGAAGAAGAAACAAAAGGAGGAAAATGCACCAAAGGTAAAGCAAGAAAACGGAGCAGGAGATGTTAATCGACAACAACAACAACAGCAGCAGCAGCAGCAGCACCAGCAGCAACAAAAGCAACAGTTACAAATACAGCAGGCACAACTAATGCAGCAAAAGCAGAAACAACATCTCCAACAAAAGCAACAATTGCAACAGCAGCAACTTCAGCAAAGGCAACAACTCCAGCAACAGTTAAAACAAGAGCAGCGCCAAGCATAGTAACAACCACAAGTTGGTCATTGTTCTTTTTAGCATATATCATGATTTACAGAAATGAGGTGAACTAGTCATACAGGATTCAGAAAAAAAAAAACACATTCATTCACTATCTGATGAAAGAGGCTAACTGATAACCGGATTTTTTTTTTTTTTTTTTTTTAAAAAAAAAAAAAAAAAAAAAAAAAAAAGTTCATTGTATAGCTTAGAGAATAAATGTAAACTATTCATTTCTATGCTTTTATGCTTTGTTCTTTATTTATTTTGTTTTGTTGTTTTTATGTATACGTAGATCAAATGGGTACAATATGTAAATGTAAAAGGAAAAGATCAGATGCTTTTTTTTTTTTTTTTTTTTTTTTTTAGTGGTTACGAACGACATCATCGACGGCCTGAGCAAAGTACTTGACATTCTTGGTGTTGAGTCCAGCCATGGAGATACGTCCGTTGTCAGTCAAGTAGACATGGTACTTCTCCTTCAAGACCTTGACCTGAGGAGTGGTCAAGCCTGTGAAGGAGAACATACCGATCTGATCCACAATGTGATTCCAAGTACCGGGGGTGCCCAATGCCTTCAGTTCATCAAACAGAGCTTGACGCATAGAGATGATACGGTTGGCCATTGTGGACAGGTTCTCCTCCCACTCACTATAGAGTTTCTCGTCGTTCAAGACCTGGCTGACGACTCTTGCACCATAGGCCGGTGGGTTTGAGATGACGGCACGCTGAGCCTTTGCGATCTGAGACTCAATCCTGTCCTTGATTTCGGGAGTTTTGGTGACGATGGTCAAGTTTCCTGCACGCTCGGAGTACAGACCAAAGTTCTTGGAGAAGGATTGGGCGATGAACATCTCAAAGCCACGCTCGACAAAGTAACGGATCGAGTATGCGTCCTTGTCTAAGCTGCCGGAGGCGAAACCTTGGTAAGCAGTGTCAAAGAAAGTGAAGTGGCCTTTGGCCTCCATGACGTCAGCGATCTGTTTCCACTGGTCAGGAGTAGGGTCCACTCCTGTGGGGTTATGGGCACAGGGATGGAGCAAGAAGATTGATCCGCTGGGTGCGCCCTCCATAGTGGCGAGCATGCCCTTGAGGTCGAGGCCTCTGGTCTCGGGATCCCAATAAGGGTATTCAAGGACGGAGATACCGACGCCTTCGAAGATGGCGCGGTGGTTAGCTATTACGGGTCAAAAAGTCAAAAGAAAGAAAAGAATCCAAAAAATCGATCGGAGAATGGATAGGATGAGTACAGAAAGAAAAGGTCAATTGCTGTTGGTTATTAATACAAATGAAGTAAACAAATAAAAAAAAAAAAAAATGCGGGGTAAGAAGACCAACGCATCCATTTTTCCCTTTTCCCTGAGAGCCATCCCATTCTACTCAAAGTATAAAATAAAAAAAAAAAAAAAAAAAAAAAAAAGGTCCTTTTGCACATGATGAAGTAAGGGTTTACTTGGTCAAAAAAAAAAATAAAAATAAAAAATCAACTTACCCCAGGTGGGTTTGGAGATGTAGCAGGCTGCCTGCTTGAAAGGGTAGTGTTTAGCAAGGAAGCTTGCTCCAGCATAAACAGCACCGGTTCCAGAAATGCATTGGGCTGCACCGACACGGCCCTCGGCAATGGCCTTGGAATCAGCACCCAAGATCAGTTTTGCTGAAGCCTTGCGGAAAGACTCAAGACCAAGGATGGGCAAGTATTCGTGGTCTAGATGTTCATCCTCAACCAAGATCTTGTCAGCCTAAAATTAATAATAAAGAGAACCCAAAAAGTTGCATGGCATGTGTCCATGACCATTGGTATGTGAGGAAACAAAATATATATATTTATATATTTATTTAACAAACACATGGGTAAAAACGAAAAGATCTCTTCGCTGCGGTTTTTTTTTTTTTTTTTTTTTTTTTGCTGTTGGAATTGATTTGGGTGATCGTAGACATTGTCCTTTCGGAAGCCCATCCCGCTCACTTGATTGTTGGATTTTCTGTCCTGATTTCCCCTTGTCGATGACCATCATCTCAAACTCGATGATATTTTAACCGTGTTCTTGTATATACAAAAGGATGATTTCCCGACATTTGTTTTTTTTTAAAAAAAAGAAAAAAAAAAATTACCTTGTGAACTACAGGGAGGACCCAAGGCTTGCCTTCCTCGGTACGGTAAGCACCAACACCGAGGTTGACCTTGTCAGGATGGGGGTCTGCCTTGTAATCGGCTGTAAGAGCGAAGATGATGTCCGCAGGTGCCTTTGAGACAGTTTCAAAGATAGAAGCTACGTTTTCCAAAGCATAAGGTCAGCCTTATTGTCGCGTATTTTTTGTTTTTTTTTTTTTTTAAAAATAATAAAAATAAATTCACGCTTACCCATGGTATTAAAGATGTATGGATGTGGGAAGATAGAATATGACGAGGATAGGAAGAAGGAAAAGGAGAGTAAAGAAAGGGGAAAGAAAAGGAATGAGCAAAGAAGTGAAAGTGAAGCGATCACTTGAGACGTCTTTTTAAAGGCGAATAACTAAAACAAAAAAAAAAAAAAAAAAAAAAAAGGTTGGGTCATTCCATCCATCCATCGGTTTGTTTCTTTTTTTTTTTTTTTTTTTTTAATTGTCCGTGGGATGAATTGAGTCATTTTCTTTTTTAATTCATTCTCCCATGCAACCACCGAAGGGGCGTTTTTTATCTTTTCTTTCTTTTTTTATATTTCCATTATGCAGTGTGTGAATGTTTGCATTTGCATATTCATAAATGTTTCTTTTGTATCCCCCCAACATGGCACACACGAAACCAAAAATAATATAATTTATTTTTCATTACTGTAAGTTCGCTAGGGACTCTGACTTGCCCTGAAAATAAAAATTGGCGCACTCTTTCCACCATGAATTTGCACTTGCATCTGACTCACTTTTAACACACACATCCAAATAAGAGAGATTCGGGACTGATAGAGCGGAAGGGTGAATAGTAGTATACCCATTAGATGTTGTTACGGAAGTCTAATAATCCGGAATTCTTACTTCGCCCTCTGGTATGGGGGGAATATCCACGATAAAAATCACATTCAGCTACTTGGCGTCAATCTTCAAAAAAAAAAAAAGTTTATGAACTGTGCCGCTGAGACCGTGGATCACGTGAGGACATCAGGGATATAACTGAGTATGTCCTTCTAGTCAATAAACATTCATTTCCCATAGTCGTAATCCAATTGCATTGCCGATGCTTTATCGATGATTTATCTGGGGAGTTACCGACTTGAATGTAGCAAATCAGTATAGATACATGTGCTTTTGCCATATCAGCACCCACAATAATTAGGATAAGGTTGCCAATCGCGTCGTCTAGTATATAACATAGCTCAATCCTATGGCACATACATATCCATACATGCTTGCCACTTCTCTTGCAGTCTAAAGCGCGACTGGTGCATATCATCAGATCCTCCCAGGTCCCCATGCCCTATAGATGAAACAGAGCGCTATATTCGAGATTGAAATAGCTCCCATCGCAAAATTAGTCCCTTGGCAGCGCATATGTGTGTTATTGTTAATTCATTATCGAGTGTGTTAGATTGATAGAAACGTTTGGTCAAACAGTAGCACATAAATAAAAAAAAAACTTTAGTTGTTTAATATCCTTAGTCTATTGTTCTTGATTTGTATAAAACTCTTATTTACTTTGGTTTTCTCTTCATTACTATCATTTTATTATCATTATTAATATTATTATTATTATTATTATTATTGTCATTGTTATTGCTCTAGTTATAAGCTGTCCATTGCATTTTGTTTACGATAATTAGTCAAAAAGAAACAAGAAGGATAGATCTCAGGGCGATTTATGAGGAGGATTTTGTGAGCTGTCAAATGTCAAATGTCAGATGTCAGGATGAGCTGTCAGAATTGAATTACGCCGCGCGGCTTTCTTTTCAACATTGCGCGATTTTATTTTTTTTTCTGTTACAAGTTTAGGCAATCAAAGAGTTAAACCTGTCAAACAAAAGTTGGACAAATATGTTTTTTTTTTTTTTTTTGAGTCTGGGCTGGGCCTTCCTTTTTATTGTCATCGCATGCATTCAAGAGGTTGTCAAAAAATAAAACTATAGTCTGATCCTATTGGACCATTGTTTTGCAATAATTGCAATTGTTTTTGAATGGTCGCCTTTTGTCTTTTGTCTTTTTTTTTTGCAATACTTACTTTTGATTATTAAAGTACCCTACCGACCTGTCAAAACAGAATCGGGCGAACTACTAAAAAAAAATAAAGTCAAATTTTGATTGAAGTTGACTCGGGAACATGAAATGTCACCACAGAGGTACTCTCGTGTGCCCACTGTCTGTAAAAAAGACGTTTTTCCCTCCCCTTTCTTCTCTTTGCTTCCTCATCCCCTCTCCACTCTCTCTTTGTGGCAACATACATACAGCGATATCGTTTATAACTACTTGCTCTTCAACTTGACATATCCTTTCAAAAACGTCATTACTCTTTGCTATCATTAACATCAACTAATCCTTAACGAATTAATTTCAAACACATTACACACTATCACACTATACCACCATGGACTACCATCAATACGACGATGTATGCTCACAATTACTACACCTTAACCATGTAAGTACTCACTCCATCACATTCCCTCTATCAGACATTCCTCAAGCCTAATCTTTTGAGTTTTTTCTTACATCTCACAATTTCATTTTATTTTTCCCTTCAAACCTAGGCAAGTCGTTATTACTCCAAGGGCTACCAAAGGAGCAAAGCAGTTGCTTGCTGCCAACTTCATGGCTACACACCTCTTGACAATTCAACCTCTCATGATCACCTCTCTAGCTATCATGAATACAGCTATCATCCATCCCCACTAGCAAACACCGTGCCTAATTATACATCAACACCTTTATCTATATCTGAAACGTCTGTTGTGAATGTCGAACAGAGCCATGATCATCAATTGATCAATACTTATGAATGGCTTCCATTCCCACAAGACCAGTACAATCTTGATAGACCTTATGAATCTCAGAATATCTCTCATGATTTGGGCACAGCGACCATGACGACAGCAGCAACTACACTGGACTCTTTTGGTCCTCCTCCGTATGGAGCATCCGCCCTGTTGGAGAATGGGCCACTTCAAGCACGGAGAACGAAGTCGCCACTAACCCTCTCATATCTGGCTGATGGATCTCAAGGCACAGAACCCCGTGCCCAACTCTATACCACTACCTTTACTGAAGGTGCTGCTATAACATCCGGCCAGGACGTAGCGACATTATCGACGCCATCACTGAACCTAGATCCGCGAAGTCTTACTCGCCGTATGAATGAAAGGTCTCTTTCGATATCTTCCTCCGCATCCGCGTCATCCGCTATTTCTATATCCACTTCAACCTCTTCATGGTCCTCGTGGTCTTCAGCACCATCCGAAATGGATCTAGACGCGGCAGTAAGATGGGATAGCGGCCTCCAAAATCGACAAGCAGGAGAATGTTCAACGATTCGCAAAAATAAGAAGCTGCCTCCACCAACACTGTCCCCGGCTCTCGTTGTCCCCACTATAACTGCTGTGTCATCACAACAACAACAACAACAACAACAGGTGCAGCTGCAACATCAAAAACAACAGCAGAAAGCAGAAAGCTGTTGGTCTATTGCAGACGATAATTGTAGCAACATTAGTGCCTACAGCGGCAGTGAAAGTGATTACGATGATGCCCTTTCAGATACATGGCTTCACTGCCACAGCGACGACCTATTAACGACACCTTACCATTGTAAGCACTTGGCATTGTCAGCCTCCATCTGGGGCCCAGGTTGGTATCAAGTGGAGCCCTTACCGCCTTCACTCATCAAAGCAATGCAACAATACGAACAGGAATTACAGGCACAAGCGCTTGAGAAGGCCACTGCTGCTCAGCCAGCCACAAACTTAAGGGCAAAATCCAAAAAGGCGAAAAAGCAAGCAAGAGCTGCTGCTGCTGCTGCTGCTGCTACTGCTACTGAAATCACCGCCACCAGTTCCATCACAGGACAAGCAGCAAACTCTGAGATAAAGGACACATCTTTTGCTTCAAGAGCTACAAACCCAAAGGTCTCATCCACATTGTGTTCGGCTCGTTTACCGCGTAGTCTTCAGTTTATTGACTAGAAATCATCTTGAAAATAAACATCGATTTTTTTATTTTTATTTTTTTTTCCATTTTATTTTTAATTTTTTTAACTTTTTTTTTTTTTTTTTTTTTTTTTTTTTTTACTTTGGACTTGATATGATGAATGCTTTATAATTTGCTCCGCCCTTTCTGACGATTTTTTTCTTGAGGGAGAACATATTGTGCTGACTGGGAAAGTTACCTGAATTATCACTGTTAACCCACTGTTGTTGCTGCTGTTGTTGCTGCTGCTGCTGTTGTTGTTGCTGTTACCGCTGATGTTGTTTGTTATGTTTAAGCGTCTACAACAAGAGTTTCTCCAATTTGGATCACATTGAAGGTATTAAGGTCATGTCCGCGGTTCTTCATCGCGGCTTCAAGACGTCTTGGAGGCTCCGTGACATCTTCATCCGTTAATACCCACTAATATTTATATTTGAAGGGAAGAAAAAAAGAAAGGAAATTAGTGAATAAGACTGTTTGTGCAGCGAGTATAGCAAGCTATGAATGATAACCAACTCTTTCGACTTTACAGTGCCCCAGTGCATGCCCACACTGCGTTTCGATCGGATGTCTTCATGAAGTCTGACAGCGTCTTCAGGGGAACAATGGATGGGCGACATAAACCATCTTGGACTATATGCGCCAATTGGAATCATGGATAGGTCAAAGGGTCCAATACGCTCTCCAATCTCTTTGAATGCTGGGCAATGAGGCATTTCATCCTCGTTAGCACCTTCAGGAACATATCTGTACCCAGTGTCGCTGTCAACGTTATATATATGTTAAATGAAAGAGAAAAAAAAAAAAAAAAAAAAAAAAGCAATATACGTATAAGTTTAATAATCCTTTATCAATGTGTGCGTGAGAAAGAAAAGATGACTACAAGAAAACTTTTTTTTCTTCTTCTTCTTTTTCTTACCCGCCAAAGAACACCTTTGTGGCCTTTTCTGTAGCGTTTTCAGGAATTGTCTCTACAACCCAGGATGCCCACAGGGTCTTGAAGTTATCGGTCAAAGTTCTGCCGGTGAAATGTTGGCAGGGAGTACATATCACCTTGATTCTTGACTTGTTGTCATGGAAAGAGTGCTCATGTTCATCCCACCTAATTTTTTTTTTTTTTTTTTTTTTTTTTTTTTTGTAGATAAAAAAAAAAAAAAAAAAAAAAAGAATTCAAAACCCACATTTAGTTCAACTAATTGATGCAATACGATACAATCAAACAAAGGTACTTTTTTTTTTTTTTTTTTTTTTTTGTTTCCTTCATTCTTTTTCTTTTTCTTACTTACCAGTCGCATTCATTCACTTTCTCATTGATGCCGATCGAATGGAACCAAGATTTATTACCGAGAGGGACATAAAAGTAAGGTTGATGATCCTTGTGAAGCTTCTTGACTGTGGTTGTGTCCAAATGATCATAATGATTATGACTGATCACGACAATATCAATCCGGGGTAGTTCATCCAGTTTACAGGGAGGTGGTGTGTATCTCTTCAAGCCAAGATAACCAACAGCTTGAATGGGACTGCAACAATCTGAGAAGACTGGATCAAACAGGATGTTGACGCCTTCAAGCTGAACTAGAAAACAAGCACTAAAAAAAAAAAAAAAAAAAAAAAAAAGATAGTATTTTAATTTAAAAAGCTAAAAAAGGAGAGATAAAAAAAATAAAAAAAAAAAAAAAAAGTTTAAAAAAAAAGGCGTTTAAAACAACGTACTGTCCCAGCCAGGTGGTGACCGCTTTGCCATGCTTTGTCTGTGCGCTTTCGACCTTTGGAGGGTAACTAAAGGTTTCAAGGAGAGTCTTGTCGAGGGGAATAACGTTGGGTCGCTTAGTGTCATTGGTCACTTTGGCTTGCCTATGGTCAAATAACCAGAACATCCTGAGCAATTTTAAGAATCCATGCTGATGAAAACTTGGCCATGGGTTGATAAATCCTTTGCCATTGGGCTTGTGGTGAGCAGGCAGTTCTTTCTTCTTGTCGTCTTTGTTCGTAGTAGCCATAGTTGAGTAAGGGTTGTCGGAAAGAAGGAAATGAATGTAGAATGAATGTGAGAAAAAAAAAAAAAAAAAAAGTTTATAACAGGAGTTCTGTTTTATGCAAAAAGCATGTGATTTATGCCATTGATAAAAACGTCGGTAAAACGTTTACGCATTGACATTAAATAGTACAGGGGATTGATTATCTAACCTTCAAGAGCTGGACGCTGTGGAGGAATGGCAAGGTGTTGGTGGCGATAAGCAGCTGCGCCGAGGAGAACAACCCCTGAGATAGCAGCGATCCATCTGGAGCGAATAGCAGATCTTTTATACATAAATGTTTGTATGTGTTTGAACAACAATGTTTTAAATGCTTGTATCGATACTTGACTAGTATAAAAATGTAAGGCCCTTGCTCAACCCAATGAATCGGGATGCCAGAAAGAAGTAAGGAGACTATTACGAAAGAAGGACTGTTTCAGAAGTGGAAAGAGTCTGTGGACAGATGGCTGTGTGTGTGAGTAGAAAGAAAAGAAGCGAGGAAAAGAAAAAAAAAAAAAAAAAAAAAGGAAGTTGTAGTAATATTTTTTCCTGAAGCTTGTCTTTATTGGCATTGGGTGTTTGTATGCAGTAGTAACTCTTTTCACTCATTCATCTTGATTTGATCTTCATTACAATAGTTCATCACCTCCCTCCCTCTCCCTCTCCTTCCCTCTCTGTCTCTCTCTCTCTCTCTCTCTCTCTTTGTTTCTCTTTCTCTTCCTTCACTTTGAGTTCCTAAAGTCCATGAATAATCCTTCTGCTCTACCTCCGAAGGTAGATTCCTTCATTGTTGTCAATGGTGCAGATGACAGAGATGCAGGCATCTACTCGGACAACTTTTATTCTCAACGAATGAGTCCTATGCGAAGTGCATTGCGTCGAAGCATGCTTCCATGGGTTAGAAGTGAAACTAAAGACCTTGCTGCCCTCCAGGTAAAAAATAAAATAAAATAAAACAAAATAAAGAATTTAAAATTTAAAAAAAAGATCGATCGATCAAATGGCAAATGCAAAAGCAACGTCCATACACTGACTGACATTTAGCACTAAACGCGTCAATTTTTTATTTTTTTTTTATTTTGACCAGCAATGTTGGAGGTCCCCGTTTCTAGACAGCTACTTTACATTAACAGCGTTTGCAGGCCATCCACTGTTCTTTGTCTGTATTCTACCAATCATGTTTTGGTATGGCCATTCGGTCTTTGCGAGAGGTTTCGTTAATGTCGCCTGCGTTGGTGTGTTCGTCACCTCCTGGGTCAAAGACTATCTTTGTTTGCCTCGGCCCCTATCTCCTCCTCTCGTTCGCCTCTCCCGATCCAAGCGAGGTGAGCTAACCTCGACTCTTACATTTTACCTTTATCAAACATCGTGTTTTTGCTAAACGCGAACTTTGTACCTATATATTGACTTGTTTACAATCTTCATCTTAACTGTCTTTCTAGTCCATCTTGAGTATGGTTTTCCTTCAACGCATACGAGTAATGCCGTATCAATTGCGCTTTATCTCCTCTCATGCTTGCTCATCTCAGACTGGTCTATTACTACAAAATTGCTGTCAGTGGCTGGCTTAGCCATCTACCTGTTCAGTGTAGTCTTTGGACGACTTTATTGTGGAATGCATACAAAGACTGATATCCTTGGTGGTTTTGCCATTGGCGTGGTCGTATGGGCTGTTCAATGGGGTTTCCATGATACAATTGACGCGCTGATGACTGATTCAAGCTGGAAAGGTAATACAACATTTGATTGAATAGCACTGTAATAAAAAGGGTTTGTTCTCATCTGTTAGATGAGCTTACAACTGTCGATTTCTTTTAACCTTTTTTTTTTTTTTTTTTTTTTTTTTTTGGCTTAGTTGTGCTTGTCGTGGTGCTTGGAGGTATCTTGCTGATCCAGAGTATTCCAGAGACCATGGATAGCTGTCCTTGCATTGACGATGGGTAAGGCACCTTTTTTTTCTTTCTTTTTTTTTTTATCCTTCATTTTCCTAACAAATATACTTTATACATGTATTTATAGCGTTACAACAATGGCGGTGATCATGGGCATCTTCCCTGCCAGTCAGCATTTCGCGCTTTCGAAATATGCCGTCAGTGAGAATGGACATCATGGTATTGTTCATTACGATCCAACAGAACTTAGTCTTTTCAAATCCACCTTACGCTTTGTGTTTGGGCTAGCAGTTATTTTCACTTGGCGTATGGCTGCCAAAAAGCTTTTGTACATTTTGCTCCCACCGCTTTATCGCTATTTTAATCTACCTTCAAGGACACATTTTGTTCCTGCAAAGTAAGTTCACCAAAACCCTGCAGTCATTTAAAGAAAATCGTCCATGTGTGTATATCTAATCCTCCTCCTTCTCCTCCTCCTCCTCCTCCTAACTTTTTTTTTTTTAATCCGCAGGACTTATGGAAACCTTCGCAGCCAACCTATTGGTCGTGTCCCATCAGTCATGGATCTTTCGGCCTTGGCAGACTCCTCTATTGAGATTGTGGGCCCTCAATCAACAATGGATATTCACGAACAATTTTCACAGACTCGATCCTCCAAACGACTCAGTGCACAGAATTTTGACGATTGTAATATCGTGACTAAGGAACATTTTGGATTACGCCCTAGTCACATTAACAAGACTCGCCAGGGTGATGACAAAGATTTGCAGGCAATTATATCCACTCCATCTGCTGAAGATAATACGTTAGCAAAAGAAGCAACAACGACAGCAGTAGCAGAGGTCAAAGAATTGGATGATGATGGCGTCAAATCAGATAGAGAACTGGATGAATATGAAAGGATTGCAATGGAAAAGTTTGAACAGGAGCATCCCAGCTGGGCACGTTTTGATGTGGATATTGTTATTAAGACTGTAGTCTACGCAGGTAAAAAAAAAAAAAAAAAAAAAAAAAAAAAAAAGACTTGAATCATTTACATACATAGTTGGCATGTCTATTCATCTTGTAACTAAACAATATTAACTCCTTTTCTCCTAGGCATTGGATGGCTGGCAGTAGATACCATCCCCGTCATGTTTGAATTGATTGGCCTCGGCACTTCTCATCATCTCCCTCTTCAGACATCCTAAACCCCTTTTAAGTTTTTTATTGAATAAAGTAATGTGTCATACTCTTTTCCTGCTACTGTCAACTTGCTACTTTGCTACTACACACATTCTCGTTACACCAGACAACCTTGTTGATGAAGTTCAGAGAATCAGGTTGGGGAGAAAAATGTGAAATTGATTATATATCGCATCCTCAAAAGGCTGGTGAGATGAGCATATTTCTTGAGCTTGAAAGATGCAAGGATGTAAATTGTGAGATGTAGCTGGAGGAATGCTTCATCCTCTCCTCTTTCAGTATATACTTGTTCTTCATAGTTTGAAGAAACTCAATCATAGTTCAAGTACATCAGCATTGTCCTTGATGATTAGGCTTTGCAAGGCCTTGTAATGCATCTCCTCGCCGTTTGAAGTAGTGGCATTACTTACTAGGGGAAGAGGGAAAAAAATTCAATATGCAACACGGAACTGCAACAAGCAATGTGCAGAAATTCATAGAACAATTAAGCTGATATTGCTTGTAGCTTATGCATGCATGTCTCTCTCTTATAGTTCTCCTTCCTGATCAATTGAGCATAAACGATGTGCTTCCATGATTTCCATGAGCTTCTAATTCTTCCTGCTTGACACTACCCCACACAGCCAAGGTGAGCTTTTGTCTGTCCTTCAACATGTAATAGCGAACAAATACTTTTTTTTTACAATTTGCTCCAGCTGGTGAGCTGGGTCGGTGCTGTTTAATGCTGTTTGCCTATTACAAATGTAACTCGTCGTTGACAAACAAAAACAAACAATGATGCAGAGAATAATGAAATTCATTGGGCGAATGATGCTTACAACTTCGCTCCTGCCTCGCTTTGGCTGGTCCGATTTGCTGGTCCGTTTTTTTCATACCCCGGCTTCACTCTCAAGTCATTTAGCTTGCTCTCATTCTCACTCATTCACGTTCTCATTCTCCACTCATTCATTCTCTTTCTCTTTCTCTTTCTCTTTGTTTCTTCCTTTTTCTTCCTTCTCTGTTCATTAGTTCTCCCTATCTTTCTTTTATTTCTTATCTCCTCTGATTTTAGTTCACTCCTTAAAAAAACATTCCTTTTCTTCAAGATACAAAAAAAAAAAAAAAACGTTGGCATTAATGCTCGTTTCCTCACATTCATAGCCTGCTATCTAACAATAACAACAAGAACAGCGGTAGCAGCAGCAGTACACCCGTCAGAGCTCATCAGTGATGCAACCAACTTACTCACGTCCGTACTCCCAGCCTCAACCCCTCACTCAACCCCAATCCCCATTCCAATCTCACTATCATATTTTATCTTCCACTTCTTCATCCCCATCATCTTCTCACCGTCATAATTATATGAGCCACAACCACAGCTATAATAATAATCATAACCATAATTACAGCCATAGCCATAATCACCATCACAGCCCAATTGGAGGTGGAGACGGAACATCCTCTTCTAGCTCAATGTCCTCCAACGGCAGTAGTCCAAGACGATATACTCCACGCCAAGATGATGGTGCCGGAATCACTGTTGAAGAGTACGAGGAGTTGTTGAATGCAGAAGTCTGGGTTGAGGTCCCAAAGTTGCGAGAGTATGCGCGCCATGGTATTTCTCGTGAAGTTCGAGGTGTAAGTCTTTCTTTTTTTTTTGTGTGTGTGTGTGTGTATGTGTGTGTGTGTGAAATATATGTGAACTTCACACTCTTTTTCAGGGTTCTTTCTTTCGCTTATCTGCCATTGATTGTGGAAAGAAACCCCCAATTGCTTTGCTCCCTTCTAAAAAAGAACATTGGAATTTGGACAAAGTTTCAATCCTCTTGCAGGTTTCTCTTTCTCCCTCTCCTTTCTTTTCAACATGATCCCCACTTTTTTTTTTTTTTTTTTTTTTCTTTTCCTCTTACTTGAGTCAGACTATTGCAAAACTTGTGCCTGCTTTTTTTTTTTTTTTTTTTTTTTTTTTTTATATCTTGGCGTCCTATTACGTGTGTTCGACCGTAAGAGACAAAAATAGCCGTTTTGCGTCTTCGCGGAGTTTTAAGGGAGGAAGGAGCATCTATGCAGTACAAAGTCCAAAGTTTAATGCCCAATGCCCCGATGCCCCAATGCCCAATGCCCAATGCGCGCAAACAATTATCTGCGATGACTCGCACTTGCCAAGATAGCATGATACATTATATGTTTATACATGTATAAATGTACATGAAAGGTGTTAGCTTGCAAATTAAATGATTGGTCTCTTATACTCTTTTTATTATTATTATTATTATTGTTATCATTTATTGATCTTGTAGGAGGTTTGGCTCTATCTACTTGGGATTCAAGATGCAGATCGTTCAAAGGAAGTGTCGACACAAAAGCAGCGGATGCAGGAATATGAACAACTGGATAAAGAGCCGAATGAGTCTTCAAAACGAGTTCGAAGTGAGATCTCACGGTATCTACGCAAGACCAAGATTGAGTCCAGTCGGGACATTTCTCAATTATTTGAACAAGTCATTGGTGCGTACTGTAACCAGAATCATCAGGTTGAATATTATCCAGCGATGGTGAATCTCTGTGCTCCCTTTGTGTATTCGATCAAACGGGAGTGGGATGCCTATCTTTGTTTTGAAAAGATGATTAATACGCTGAGTAAGTTTTTTTTTTTTTTTTTTTTTTTTTTTATTGTTTTTTTTACAAGCGGAAGAGAGGGCTATGCCACTTGTTACCAAGATGAGTAAACATGACGATTATGACAGTGAGGCAATTTATTGACTTTTTTCTTGGTTTGAATGGCGTTATTTTGCTGCGCTTTTTTTTTTTTTTTTTTTTTTTTTTTGCTTATGAATAGGTGACCATTTTAATGAAGAAAGCATCAATGAGGCAGTCGCGAAATTCATGACGTTGTTTCATACGTCTTTGCCGGACCTTTACAGTTACTTTGAAGAAGAAGAAGTCGATATCAAGGAATGGGCAGCATCAGCCCTTCAGTTTGTTTTGTCAAGAGAATTACCATTGGAGAGTACGATGCGATTGTGGGACACTTATTTTGCGCTCCCTGATGATGGATGGCTTGAATTGCATCCATATGCTTGTCTGGCCATTTTGAAGCAACTGAGAGAAGGATTTGAGGAACTGGAACAGTCAGAGATTAGGACCATGTTGATGAGGTTGCCACAAATGGATATGGATCGAGTAAGTTAACTGGCAAAAACAACAACAACAAAAAAAAAAAAAAGAAAAGTTGTTTTTTTCTGACAGCGGTGCTAACATACATTTTTTTTTTTTTTTTTTTTTTTTCCCCTCAATGATTCTAGATCATTAATGAAGCTTTCAACCTGCGACATGAAATCTTGCAACGCCAGATATCGGATGACAACCTTTAAAGGGATGGAGAAAGGGCAGGAGGAGGAGTGAGAAGGGGTTCCGCTACATTGGATGGCTCTGTCTTCACAGGCGTCCAAATACTTTTTTTTTTTTTTTTTTTTTTTTCTTTTTTTCATTCTTTTGGAGCGCCCAGGGTTTGCTTTGCATAGATGTTTAGAATGAAGAGCAAGCAAGGCCTATATTCAAAATATATCATCGAATTATTTCTGAAAAGGAACAATGCCCAGCGAGACCATTTTCATTTTTTGTCCTTCCTTGTATAATAATAAAATCTCAAGTGCCCACTCCATTTACCTCTTTGATTTCAGAACGCGTCAAGGTTGATCAGAGTTTATAATTTAGATGATGATAACCAATGTTTTTACATGCATCGGGTGGCATATGATATAGATGACAGATATATATATGAATCTATTACTTTTTAATTATTATTAATCTACATAGTTAATCTACAATTTCCTTTAGCAAGAACCTGGTTTCCCGAAAGGTATCGCCTCCATAATTCCGAGGTTCGATCTTGAAGGTCTTGTAACCGAATTTCTCAAAGCCCTGGGCCTTGCTAAGACCATAAAGGGTCAAGGCCTTGAGACCTCTTTGACGGCCCAGTTCTTCACAGATTTGGATCATCCGACCTAGATAGCCTTGACGACGGAATTTCTTGTACAGGAATAAGGAGACGATACAACCACGTAGATTCTCTGGATCTGCGACATCTTTATCACCAAATTCAAAATCCTTTAGCTCTATGCCACCCATTCCGACAGGGGTCTTTGTCTCTGGGAGGTAGAATATAGCCATGATGCGAGTCCCTTCGTTCTGTTGGATGAACCAAGAGGGCACCTTTTTTTTTTTTTTTTTTTTTTTTTTTTTTTTTTTTTTTTTTAAAAAAATATGAATTATGTTAATATTAAAAAGTTGAAGCATAAGAACTTTGTGACAAGATAGTTCAAGTTCGATCAAGAAACAAAAAAGATAATAATAATAATACTTTACAAGGCCAGCACCCCAACCACAGGCTTTCCTCATGGCTCTAACAAGGTCTTGATGCTCCTCAGCATTTGGGATCTCATAATCGAGTGAGGGATAAGAAGAGGAAAGAGGTTCGTCGCTAAAAAAAAAAAAAAAAAAAAAAAAAAAGGGGTTCAAACATTTAATCTATGGATCTTTACCACGTGTTACAAAAGTTTTTAACATGTATAAAAAAAATAAAAAAAAAAAAAAAAAAAAAAAAAACTAGTAATGATAATGATAACAATAACAATAATAAATACCTCGAGTCAACTGCATTCAAGTTTCCGGTTTGAATGTCGGTGGTGTTGAATGAACTTTCGATCATGTCAAGAATGAAGGGAATGAAGGGAATGAACAAGTGAAATAAATGAGCGATCAATTGGACTGTAGACAAAAAAAAAGAGAAATAGAGATAAAGAAGAGATAGAGATAGAGATAGAGAATAGAGAAAAAGTCATCGACTGCGGCCAATTGTCCAATCAGCCTCCAAAGATTCAGAGCCATAACAACAAACAACCTTGATGGACTTGATGGACTTTACTTTGATGTTTGTTTTATTCCACTCCAAAAAAAAAGGACACATTGTTGCATTTGTTCCTTCTTTGGTGATGGAACCAATGACAAGGATCAAATTATGACTTGGTATGGATCGGGATAAAATCATCAAGGCAAACAGAACAGAGAGAGCATGAGAAGAAAAAAAGGAACCTTTACAACGGATTCAGTCGTATATAATAGTCATGCAAAATAAATAATAATAAAAATGTGGAGAAATATATAATATGCAAAACATGTGAGTCTCTCTCTCTCGCTCTCTCACACCACACAAGTCTTTTATGCTAAAATGCTTGTCTTGGTTGCTTCCTTCTCCTAGCCCTACTCTCTTTTTCTCTCTTTCTGTCTCCCTTTTTTTTCTTTTCTTTTCTTTTCTTTTCCTCATTACTTTTTTTTAAAAAAAAAAAAAAACAATGAATGAATCTCTTGACAATACCTTACAGGAAAGCACTTGTAGAATGACTGAAAATCACAACTCCGATAAACAAAAGGGTGCTCAGCCATCTCACAATGCAAATGCTTCTGTTGTTGCTGCTGTTGCTGGGGAGCATTTGCTACGCCCAAGCATCCGGAAACATAGCCACACTGCAGCTCATTCAAAGATTAGACCTATGATGCGCACAGCCTCCGGTCTACTCACACACCATCACCACCACCATCACCCTCACCCTCACCCTCACCAACATCATCATCATCATCATCATCATCATAGTAGCAATAGCAATAGCAATAGCAATAACATCAATCCTGGTAACAAAACAGGTGTACATAAACAAAGGAGACGAAGGGCAAAATTTGTCTTTGGTGGGGATCTGGAATCAAAAGAAGAACACGTAAAAGAAGGTGAAGAGAAGGACCACCAGAATGACCAACAGGAACGCAAGGATTTTGCTGACAATGGCAATAATGAGGGATTATTACATGATGATAAGAATATCGCAGTAACAGCAACCGCAGCAGTTACAACAACAGCTCCAGGAGGACAACATTTGTATCACCCAATTCACCATGACAATCACCGACATCGACATGATCCATATCCACAACAGAAATTGCACCATCAACATAATCACCATGAACAACAACAACAACAACAACATTCCAACGCTTCCACCTCCACGTTTAAAGATCAAATCCCAAAGGAGAATAAAGACACTGACCACAGTCTAATGTCAGAAAGCATTCCCAATAACAGCAAAGATAACCATCCATCACGACATGTTGAGCAAGGCTCGATTCAGCGTGATAAGGATGAAGCAGCAGAAGCAGTTATTATTCAACAAACTCCGTCAGTCAAATCTGATGCTACTACCACCACAAACATAACTGACAGAACAGTTAAATCAGTCTCTGCCAAATCACAAAAGACAAAGACAAAGGCAGAGACAGAGACAGAGGCAGAGGTAGAGGTAGAGACAGATGACAATTTATTACAATCGACGAGATTAACACCACCACGGGTGCATGATCTTCGACAAAATCAAACTCCACAGTATGACATGATTAATGTTTCAAATCCTGCAGAGACTTCGTCCTTATCATCATCCTCCTCCTCAATCCACTCAATAACAACCTCCAACCCAGCTATCTCCTTGCCCGAACCTCTTTATCCTTTTGGGAAAAAGTCCATTCAGAACAAGTCATTGAATAATACTAAAAATAACAATAGTCACGATAGCAACGATAGCGATGGTCATATCAATAGCAATAGCAATAGCAATAGCAATAGCAATAGCAATAGCAATAGCAATAGTAATGACAATGGGAACGCCGATACAGCAACAGTAGCAGTGACAGAGATATCAAGATCGCCATCACCATTATCACCATCATCATCATCATCATCAACATCAACATCATCATCATCATCAACAGATAAACAATTACAAGAACAAGAACAAAGGAATCGACAACATCTGCCGCCATCTAAACGACTCTCTCGTCTTCTTCATCCAAGTCCGTCTACCGCGTCCTTGCCTTCAATCACTAGGACCATTTCGCAACCCGTCCTCACTGTCCTTAGCACAGATCAAGCCAGTGGGGTAGATGATGGTAAAGATGGTAATCATGTGGGCAATCAAGGAAGAACGTCTACAGAATTATTAGCTACACTAGGAGAGCAACAACAACAACAACATGCTTCATTGGTTTCACCTGTCGCAGGGCTCGTATCGAAATTCCTTGGCCCTTACACCACCACGAGTCACAAACGTTCCCAATCACAGTCCAGCCTTTCATCCTTAGTAGATCCAAACCAAGGATCAGTGCCAAATATTCCGAAGGGGAATAGGGCACAAAAAGGGAACCATAAACGCCATGGATCCTCCTCTTCGATAATCCCTATTTATCCAGATCGACCACGACGCCGAATACAACAACAACAACAGTTGGCACCGCCAAGGCGACCGAATAGTGCTGGCAGTGGGTTCATGACAGCATCATCAACATCATCGACAACATCATCATTATTACGTCCTACCAACGAATCACCCAATTGTTTCATATCAAGGTTCTTACCATCCATCTCCTCGCCATCTCTACATTCTCACTGTTATCATTGTGGCTCACCCGTTTCCAAGAACACGAATAACACACCCCTGCTTTTGAACTCTGCTGGTTATTTTGAACAATGTTCCGGATATGTGTCAGGATTCAGTATTGGTGGCGGTAGCGGCCCTACTAGTGCTTTTGCTACTGCTACTGCTACTGCTGCTGCTGCTGGTCCTACTACTGCTCCCACTGCTGCTCCGATGCGTCGACGGTTGCCTGCAAGTCTAAGAATGACGGCCACGACCGCTGCATTTAGATCAGATTCTGATATCAACAGCAGCAGCAATATCAACATCAACAGCAACAGTAGCAACGACAGCAATGTACAACAGGATTCGACTATACAACAGCTACCGACTAATGCCTCCAATGTAGGATCTCCTGTTGAAGGAACCATTTCTTCTGATCAGCAGCAGCAGCAGCAGCAGCAGCAGCAACCAATTCCCCCTTTAAGGAGAAACAGTAACAATAGCACCAATAGCAACAGTAGCATGAGTAGCAGAAGTGGCATAAACAACAACAACAACAACAGCAACGACTATTACTACAGCAGTGGCAATGGTTATGGTCATACTCATCAAACTCATACTCATACCCATAGTAACAATAGTCCTTGGAAGAATATGAAATCCATATCGAGAACACAACAAAAACTTGATTTACAACGCGCGAGTTCACAAGAGGAGGTGGATGAGTCCGAGATAGCCCAGCGTAGCAAACTCATACGGGAGATGGAGAGGATCCAGCGTGAGTATCGATCCCTTCGCCTGTTTTCAGATCCCTTGTGGGAAAGTCTTGTGAGATGTCAGGCAAATGAAAATACTTTATTTGTCTCGAATTAAAAAAAAAAAAAAAAAAGCTTTTTTCCGATAACATATTTCCTTTTTTCTTTTTATTCATTAATAAATATATTATTTACTTGGTATTCAACACCTAAACCTATGATTTTACCCCATCTTCCACGCGAAGAAAAAAAAAAAAAAAAAAAAAAATGAAAATAATGAAAAATGAAAAAAGAAAAGTAGCCTCACAAGGTGGATTTTGTTCATATCACTACTTATTACAGGTCTATCTTTTAAAAAAACTAAATTGATATATTTCTTTTCTCCCTTTTTGTCTTTTATATTTATATTTATATATGTATATATTATTATTATAATTATTGTTTTTTTTTTTTGTTTTTTTTTTTTTTTACTTGCTGGAATTTTCACCCTCCCACCAGCGGTTAATGGAGCTAGCATCGCTCATCATGGTATCTCTGACAGGAGGCTGAAGACGTGGAGGTCCATTACTGCTGACGCTGCTAGTGTTGCTGTTGATATTTCCTCCGGCCAGCGGAGAGCTTGTCAAGGGAGAACTGATGACGCCTGTCAAGAGCATGGACGAATGACGCCTTGGCAGATTCACAGGGCTGGAAGCTCTAGAGGGCAAGGAGGATCGAGGAGATCCTCGGCCGCCCATGTCCTCTTCACGTGTTCCCATAGGAGTCATCGAATGCATATTCACGTCCTCAAATCCATCCTCCAACGCCCCCTCGTCCACAAAGACAACACAGACCACGGGGAAAGCACCCTCGTTCGATGTGTTCATGTTGACACCGACAGCCCAACCATCATCAAAGACTCTGTGGACATTAATGATATCTCCAACAGTCAAATCCAGTTCATCCGCCATGGAGGCCTGGTATGGGAAGATTGCTTGGCAGTACGATTGTTTTCCACCAGTACCGCTCATGGTGCTTAATTTCGAGATACGGTTGGCCGCGGCAGCAGCGGCAGCAGCAGCAGCAGCAGCAGCAGCATTATCCGTGTCCGAAACTGAAACTGAAGGCAAAGCTGTCATAGGAATAGGAGCTGATGGAGCCAAAGCGGTCGAGAATCCTTCTTCCTGAATCTTGGGTGCAGAGATATTGTATTTGCTAGTGCTTGCATTAGAGGCATGACGAGACAATTTATCTCCATTAGAACGAGCAGGAGTAGGGCCGGCTGATTTCTTTCGACGAATACAGCAGACGATCAATGCAAACAGAACCAATAAGGCTGCTACACCGCCACCAATGATGCCTGCAAGAACTGGAGTGGAAAGTCCAGTAGAGCTACTAGGCTTGGATTCCTGTGTGGTGGAGGGTGAAGCATTGGTGGTTGGTCTAGCCGAGGTGGGCAGCAATGTTGTGGTTGTTGTGGTGATAGCACAGCTCGACGCAGCTGCAGTCGAGCAGCAAGGATCTGCTGAGTTTGCTGTGCAGAAAGAGCACATGGCTGCCTGAGTACCGAATCCTGTTACGCGCCACCATCCAATCCAGGAATGTGTAAATATAAAGAATATAAGATAAAAAATTTTAGTGAGAATTCCAGACCATTGAAATTTGTGCAATATTTAAACGAAGGAAAAAACAGATAAATAAATAGCGAGAGAGTGATAAATAAAAAAAAAAAAAAAAAAAAAAAAGCATCATTGACTAACTGACACGAATAGTCTTTTTCCTCTTTTGCTCTCTATACCAAACAGATCTCAATGCACAAACACGCACATAACTGCAATAAATAACAATAACCGACTCAACGGATGAACGATCAAAAAAAAAAAAAAAAAAAAAAAAAAAAGAAAATACTTTTTTTTTATATTTTTTTGTTTTTGTTTTTGTTTTTGTTTGTTTTGGGTTGGACAAAAATAACCGCAGATGGGGCTACTGGAGACACGAAATCAATTAAACTAAATAACCCTGCTCTCAACACCATTGGTCAATCTGGCGCCTAACTCAAAAAAACGCACCACAAACACATAAAAAAAAGGACCTTCTCTCTCTCTCCAAGTCCAGATTAATAAATCTGTATAGACTAGCATCATTAAAGAAAAAGGAGGGAGAAGAAGAGGGGGGAGGGAACTGAAAAAGAATGGGGTCGCTATGCAACATAATCATGAATGTTGACCCTAAAAAAATTCATCCCTGCTTTTTTTTTTTTTTTTTTTTTAATGATGTTTTGCTGCTTGGCCGTTTTTTTAGATGCATGTTTGTAGCAATCAATATTGTCTATTATAACCACTTTCCAAAAGAACAAAAATACAAAAGACAAAAAAAAAAAAAAAAAAAAAAAAAGAAAAGGAGATAATAGGGCAACGGAGGAGATGGAAAGAGAGTATTAAAAATAAAATAAAAAGATATAATAAAATAAAAATGGGGGACTTACCACAGGTAGCTGCCTCATTCGTCGTGGCATTCACACAGGTTCCGTCTGTATCATGAAGACCACCCCAGGTCTCAGGACCGCCGACACAGAGAGCGGTCATAGCAGCGGCCTTTTCCTTTGCATCCTGTACAGTAGGGCAGACCCTGTTCACCATCTCTGTGAGGGAATTAGCATAGAGTGTGCATGAGGAAGCACACAAGGTCGGAGGGTTAGACTTGCATTCTTGTGATTCCCTATCGAGGACAGCCAAGGTGCAGAGAAGCGATGTCTGGTATCGGATCTTTTCAGTTGCAGAGTATCCGGTACAGGAAGATGTGGTCATAAAGCCTGTGGCGCTCAAGATCGCAGCATCAAAACTGGCCACATCTGTGAACGCGGTCATGTTGACACCTTCATCATAGACAGCGATATTTCGAGGCACGTTGGTATCGACGCTGAACGAAGCATATTCAGGACAGGCCTTGGATCCTGTCAGGGACACGCAAGCAGCCTGTGCACTCACTGCCAACAAAGCTGTGGAGATGAGTGTCCGTGCAATCGAGCTAATCCGTCCTTTTTGTGATGAGTGGTTCATGGCTAAAGATCCGTATTATAAAGTATCAATTACTGATGGCTAGTAGTTGATGTGGTTGAGAAGAATTAATATGCTAAATTGGGCTTAGCACGAGATGGGTTGATGTTAAAGATCAAAAGGAGGATGGAATGAGTCGACTTTAAGGAATGAATGAAAGAAAAAAAAAAAAAAAAAAAAAAAAAAAGGATGAAAGAGGTTGATTCTCTTCTTGCCACGAACAGTAGAAGAAAGAAAGAAAGAAAGAAGGATAAAAAAAGATGTCTTACTCGGGTAACAATCTTTTTTACTTTCTTTTCTTTTTTTTTTTAAAAGCTTAATCGTGTGAATAGTAGTGAGGAAAAAAAAGGGGAGAGCCAAAAGGATGTGAGAATAAAGGAGTAAGAAAGGTGAAGGAGTAGAAGGAGCAGGAGCCAGAAGGAGTTGAAAGAGCAGAAGGAGTAGAAGGATCGGGGTCGTCAAGATGAAGAGAAGAGTGGGTGAGTGAGTATACAACGGATGAGAGGATATGTACTTGATCCAGTTGAATTGGATTCTGGAACAGGGCTGCCTACTGTTCAAGGCAGAGTAAGGGAAAGGGAAAGAGAAGGGGAAAAGGGTAAGCAAGATGACGAAGAGGAAAAAGGAACGAAAGAACGAAGAGAAAAAGAAGAAGAAAGAAAAAAAAGAAAAGGAAGAAAGAAAGAAAGAAAGAAAGAGAGAGGAAAGAGATGATGATGAGCAAAAAAAAAAAAAAAAAAAAAAAAAGAATGAGAAGGATGATGATGAAAAAAAAAGTGAGTGGAAGTGTGCCTGAGTATGTGTGCCTGAAGCTGTTGTATCGACGGTAACACATGTTGATTGAACATTAAATAAGGTTTGTATTTTGGGTTAAACATTCGCTATCACTCGAATGTGTATTTTGCATGCCTTTGTGTATCTGTATCTTCATTAAATGTTTATCATGTTTAATCCGTCTCAATTGTCAAAGCTCTGGGCACCCAGCCTGGCTGGCCCTGACTTGACCCATGTCCGATGACTGATAACCTGCCATTGGAACATGTATAATATATACATATGTATATACATATGTATATATATAATATAATGTATTACATCTATCTACATGCCATAAAATGTCGAGCTTTGACATCCTCCTTGCTCTTCCTTACCTTCCTCTCAGACCACGTAATAAAGAAAAAAAAAAAAAAAAAAAAAAAAGAATATCGCTCTCATTTTCAATCTTAGACTAACAAAAAAAAAAAAAAAAGATGGTGAATAGCGTATTTTATCCAATGTCTCGTACACACGGTATAGTCTATCCATAAATATGTATAAATATCTACTTCCCATACAACCCAACTTCACCTTGATGGGTTCGGGACTAGGGGACAATTCCGTTGAAAAGATGCCCATGCTACTTTGCTCTCAACATTTCTTGCTCTCTTGCATCTATATTTGTATAGTCTACAAGTCAAACATATTCACACACAGTCTCTGTACAGCACGCTTTTTCTTTTCCTTTTCCTTTTTCTTTGGCTCACTTGTGCACTTGTATTAATGATATATGAGTGCTTGGTTGCTTATTAGTATTTAAACTAGTTGGGACCCCTCGGCTCATATTTTATTTAGAAATCCAGGGTACATGTATGCTTTTTGTTTTTTAATTCTTAGTCAGTCGATTGCAAAAAAAATAAAAAATAAAAGAAACCCTTCATTACCAAATCACAAATGCTCTTTCTTCCCAGCATGCGGACACTTATTGGACACTTGACTTTTCCACATTTTCATAACTAAACCCCACATTTCAATAAAAAAAAAAAAAGGCCTAGAAATACATTTTACTCTTTTTTGTTTGTTTGTTTATTTGTGTATTGGTTATTTACAAATCTTTTTTATTTTTTAATTTTTAATAACATGAATGTCACGTTACACAGACTCAAAGCCCTCAAGTCTTTTTTAATTTGTTTGATCGCCAAAGACGTCAGTTCCATACAATGCCTCGGAACTCCTGTAACGTTTAACAACATCGTCTTGGGCAATCTTTCTGAGGACCTTGAGATCCTCTTCATCCAGCTCAATATCCTGGAAATTCGACTTTATATGTTCTTCACTTCCAGCCTTGGGAACGACACTAGTGCCACGCTGCTGTGCCCAAGCGAGAAGGACATTGGCATTGGATGAATTATGCTTCTTTGCAATGTCAGAAATCTATTACATAATAAATCGAAGAAAAAAAAGAAAGGAATAAAGAGTCAATGATTGTATATAAAGTAGGTGCAACAAGGAAAAGAAATAACAGCAAAGAAGCTTTTTTTTTTTTTTTTTTTATTTATTTATTTATTTTTATTTTTACCTCTCCTCCTTTCATCAAAGGAGATTCAGCGTATCCAAGGGGTGCATAGCCTGTCAGGTGGATCCCTTTGCCTTGACAATATTCCAAGAGATCCCATTGTGGATTCTCAGGATGAAGTTCGACCTGATTGACTGCAGGGACGATTTTGGCGGATTTTAACAATTTCTCAAGGCTGTTAATGGAAAAGTTTGAGACACCAAGGGCTTTCACCTTGCCAGTCGACATCAACTCCTCCATAGCCTTGTATGTGTCTACGATGTCGATATCCACAATCAAAGCCTTGCCATTCTCATCCTTTGGCTTGGGATCAGGACCAGGCTTGAAAGCAATAGGCCAATGCTATAGTTTTTTTTTTTTTTTTTTTTTTTTTTTTTTTTAAAAAAAAAATATATATATATATGTAATATTTTCAAGGTATTAGACAAAACCTCTTTCATTGATCTTCGTTCACCTCACACACCATGATGACATCATTCCTCAATTACTACAATTATCAGGTCAACTTTTTTTTTTTTTTTTTTTTTTTTTTCTTTTTGGTTATCATACCATCAAGTACAAGTCAACGTAATCCAAGCCAAGGTTTTTGAGGGAGGTCTCGAAGGCAGGCAAAACATCCTCAGGACGATGTGAGTTATTCCATAACTTTGTGGTTACATGGATTTCTTCACGGGGAACATTCGATTGTCTAATGGCCTCCCCAACCTCTTTCTCGTTGCCGTAGAACCAAGCAGTGTCAATGTGGCGGTATCCAGTCTCAAGTGCCTTCTTAACGGCGTTTACTGCCTCCTGACCCTTGAGCTCCGCGGTTCCAAAACTGATTGACAGTAATAATAATGATATCCAAAATAAATAATGATATCCAAAATAAATAATGATATCCAAAATAAATAAATAAATAAATAATGTTTACTCGGCCAAATCTAGGACGCGACTTTTTATTATTGTTATTATTTATTTCTTACCCAAGCAATGGAATGGTGGCACCGGTATTGAGTTTTGCAGTCCTTCGAAGAGACATGGCGATTTCTTGCTCTTTTTTTGTGTGTGTATAAAGATAGTCTTTCAAATGAGTGGAATGAGAGTGATAAGGTGAGGGGGAGGAAAAAAGGAAAAAATTGGTCATTGACACTTTCCCATGGCCTTCTTTTTTATACCTTTCTTCTCAGTTGAAGTGACTCTTTACGAAGCCAAGTAAAACTCACTATTTCCTCTACTTTTTCCCAGCTAGTCTCGCTTAGCTTACATGCAGCCTACTGTCATTTTTGTGTTACACCCTTGCTGGGTGTTATATATACATGTGTCTTAAATATGGAACTAGTCCATTGCCGCACAGCAACTTGGTGTGAACTAAGTTGCCCTGTCCTTTCTTTACGCGATATATTTATATATATATATAATATAAAAGAAAGCGATTCGTCATCATCATCCAAGTTCCTCTTATCAGGCTACGAGAGAAGTTACACTTTATGATCTAATGTACTAGGTTTATTACATAAATATTTTCTATACGGGGTGTGATCAAGCACTTTTAGTCATCAAAGACCTTAATACCTCCCCAGGACTCCTGAGGATCACAATAGCGGTGAGGGGGGCTGGCCTGGGAGAGTTCCTTAAGAGTCTTAAGGTCCTCCGCGTCCAGCTCAATATCCTGGAAGTTGGAAGCAATACGAGACTCGGTCACAGACTTGGGGATAACACTCGTGCCACGCTGCTGAGCCCAGGCAATGAGGACATTAGCATTCGAAGAGTTGTGCTTCTCAGCAATCTTGGTGATCTAATTAGTTGTTGGTTGAATACAGAAATAGGTTGTCAGAATATCAAAATCATAATCATTGAGGAATTCATAATGGAACAAGCTCGCACCCACAGCTTTTTTTTTTTTTTTTTTTTTAAAAAAAAAAAAAAAAAAAAAAAAATTACCTCATCACGCTTGATCAAAGGAGAATCGGTGGATCCAAGAGGAGAGTAGGCTGTGTTGTGGATACCCTTGGATTGGCAGAACTCTAGGAGCTCCCACTGTGGGTTCTCGGGATGGAGCTCAACCTGGTTAACTGCAGGGATGATCTTTGCTGAGCTCAACAGCTTGCTAAGGTTCGCCACTGTGAAATTGGAGACACCAATAGCTTTGGTCTTGCCAGTGGCAATAAGGTCCTCCATAGCCTTATAGGTCTCGGTAAAATCAACACCCTCTCTGATAGCCTTGCCATTTTCATCCCTCGGAATTCCAGAATGACCAGACTTGAAATCAATGGGCCAGTGCTAATAAAAAGATCAAAAAATAATTATTACATAACAACGTCAGTTTTGCTTAGAAGCTTTTCTCTTTTTTTTTTTTTTTTTTTTTTCTTTGAAATGATTGTGTCAGAATCTTACCATCAAGTACAAATCGACGTAATCCAAACCGAGGTTCTTAAGGGAAGTTTCAAGCGCAGGCAAGACATCCTCAGGACGATGGGAGGTGTTCCATAACTTGGTGGTAATAAAGAGCTGCTCGCGAGGGATGCCAGATTCCTTGATGGCCTCTCCAATCTCCTTCTCGTTACCATAGATAGAAGCGGTATCGATATGACGGTATCCAACTTCCAGAGCCTTCTTTACAGCCTTCTTGACTTCATTGGCCTTGCTCTGCCAAGTTCCCAAACTGAAATAATCGAATTTAAGAATAAAAAAATAAAATAAAATAAAATAATCAGCATTCCTTCGCTTTGTAAATATGTTTTCGTTTCTTTAAAAACAAAACAGCATGCAGCTCTGCCAAAAAGCAAGCAAGGGGGGGGGGGGGAGAGAGAGAGAGGAGAGGAAGGGGGATCGTCAATGCATGGCATGCATGACATGATCAATTGATCCGTGGCACGCACGTTGTTTCAAGAGTCGACAGACAAGAGTTGCTAAAATGTTGATTATTATTATTGTGATGTGTGGGAAATATTTTTCATTTTCTCTTTGTCCGGGCCCAGGTTCTCTCTTCCTCTCCCACTTTCCTTTGGGTATATGCGATCCATGCAGTGACAAAAGTAGCATGATCTTTTTTTTTTTTGCATTGGTCTGTGCAAGAACTTACCCAACCAAAGGGATAGTAGCGCCGGTGTTCAACTTTGCAGTTCTTCCAAGAGACATGATGTATAATGTAAATATGTAGTTCTGTTATGAAAGTATGGATCAAGAGAAAAATGAATATGTACAAAAGGCGAATGACAGAATATGAAAAGAAAAAGCGAATGGAAAGGAAGAAAAAGGTGATGGTCTATTTATTATTTATACTTGGGTAAATTCAAAGGTTTAGGAAAAATCTTTACGCCAAACCAATTCCTATTGGCTGCTGAACTCTAATTGACAGAAGGAGATGGAAAGAAAAAAAAAAAAAAAAAAACGGTTGATTTGTCACGCCTAGTGATACACATATTTATACATGAATAGCATGAATATGAGCAGCGTTTGTCCATGAATATGTATATGTACGTGCACATGCTCAAGTACACGAATGTCTTCCTTGTGTACTCGTCACACCATCAAATAAAAAGATGCTCACTTTCATCATGATCGCGTCTTTTTTTTTTTTTAGCCTAGTGAAATCTCCGTCGTTATCTTCTTCAGAACGTACAGATATCGGTCATGTTTATAGAGCTCGTCATCAAATAAGATTAACAAATTAGTAAAATGGATTTATATATATTTTTACATCTCCATTTGAAACTCCAATGGATGTTTGGAACAACATGAATAAACTACATCTGCTCTACACATATTTTAAAGCCTGTCTTATCTCAGCTTAAATGGGTATTTTATTTTTTATTATTGATATTGGCGTATCAGCAAAGACATGTGTGTGGAGAATGTTGAACTAGCCACCATGTGTTAAGTGATAATATCGTGTTTAAATTTAGCAAGATAATCCTTCATGACATAACGACCATTCGGATATCATACAGGTCGCTAAAAAGAGATAACGACAATACGAGTCCAGACGACTTGTCAGTCTTATCCTTTATTACATGGTTTTTTTTTATCTTTCCCAAGGAATATGATAAATTGGTTATCGTTTGAAGGGTCTTGTGTGGGTGGTGGATATGGTCATTCAAAATTCATTGAAAAACAAAGATAACAATGCTGGTGCTTTTTTTTTTATATTTTTTTCCAACATGAGTAGAACAATGCCATCCAAAATTTGTTTCCTTGGGTATAGAGAATATTGATTTTGTCCATGAACCTGCCAAAAAGGACATTTCAGTTCCGCTGAGATGTTCCGAATCCTTTTTTTTTTTTTTTTTTCCCTTTTTAAGATGGGTTCATTCAAGTGCTGGTTGTGTTGGTTAATGACGAAGGAGACCCAACAGAGTAGTGTGGCGTTTCGCTGGAAGAGATCACTCCTGCAGTTGCTATTGTTGCTATTGAGGTAGGTGTTTGTTCTGGTGATTGATAAGCCCAATAGTGGCTTTGCCTATGTGTATCTGCGTGGTATGATGGTGGTGGTTGCTGTGGCATAGCTATCTCCAACTCATCAATGGTTGGATTAGGAACTACAACAATGACCGAGCCTGTAGGAGATACTGCTCTGCGTGGTATTGCCTGTGATCCTTCTTCCCCTTGAGTATCCTCATATTGAGATGGTATCTCATCCTCATAGACACATCGAGGATCATGTTGATGGTCGATATAAATGGGAGGCAAGTTTTTCTCTAAAAAAAAAAAAAAGAATCAAGTATGACAGTCAGATTTTTTTTTTTTCTTTTTTTTTGTTTCAATTATTTTAATGAGACATGTGAGAAATAACCACAAAGGATTCTTGTAAATTACCAATAGCCTCCTGTCTTCTTTGGTGTGCTTCATGCTCGTATTCGTGCCATACTTTCATCTCCTTGCGGATCTTTCGATAAATGAAGAAATATCCAAAGGTTCCAAAGAGTCCCAGTAGAGCCACAAGAGCCGAGATATAGATTGCAGCCTGGCCTGGCATTTTGATGTTGTCCTTGGCAATGAATCAGAGGTATTAAAAAAATTAAAAAGTTGATGGTATAGAGCTGATAATGAGAATGTGAAAAGGATTGATGGTTTGTTCACCCCTCCTTGTATTTATACAGATATGGACTTTTTTTTTTTTTTTTCTTTTTCTTTTTCTTTATTCCCTATCTCATCCTTCTCTTTCTCATGGCACCCATTGATCCGGCTTACTTTCGTTTTTAAGGACCGTAAGGGGGGAGAAAGGGCTGTATGGTTTTTTATTTCTAGACCGTCATAATGGCCAATGACCATAATGTGGTCCAATAAAACAAGCTTAAAGTTCCGAGGTAGCGGATTTTTAGAGCAAAGGTCTTATCAGGACAGGGTGGCAGGGTCCATCTTCGTCCTCAAACGCAAGGAGAATTTGTAGTTCCGCAATCATTGAACTCTTCTTGGACTCTATCATCGGCAATTGAATGTAAAGTTGACAAACCAACTGCTTATCATCTTGACTTCTGAATATTTCCAATAAATTCTATCATTAATGAAAAATAGCAACAATACTTTATAAGTATTACAAATACATATAAATATATATGATCCATATACAGACAGCAGGCAATCCAAATAATTAAGACAGGAGTACTAACTCTACTGCGACGCACAACACTGCCACAATTAGTGGCCCACAGCAGTCCACAGCAGTTTTTTGTAATCTTGGCAAAAAAAAATAAAATATGGGAAAAAATGGTGGCAAATGCAATCATTTTATTCTAGACCTTTTTCAGTATTCCAAACAATCGATCGAGGGCTCCTCTAAAACTGTCACAACCCGCTGCGGCGCAAACATGACAGCTCTTACTGTTCCTGCCAGGAAAATTCTCTCAGAAGCTTTCCTTTTCGTTGCCTCCTCCTCCTGCAGCCTACATTCATATTCATTCCTGAAACCTTTCCTTCTCTCCCCTCACTCTCACTCTCTCTCTCTGCTCATTTCATCCTTTCCTCGGAATTCCACAATGAGATTGGCATCTTCACGTTGCTACCCCAAAGTTTGCTTCAAAAAGGAAAAAAAAAAAAAAAAACCAAACTCAATTGAAATGTGTTACTGAGTGCCGATCACAAAGTTGATACATGTGTTTTATTCTGATGCGCACCTTTTCATTCATTTATGGTACATTTATCGCTTTAACGCCTAATTAAGGGACTTTATAATGTTTATAAAAAACATTCCAATTAATGCTTTTTTTTTTTTTTTTTTTTTTTTTTTTTTGAAAAAGAAAAATTTATTTAATTTATTATGTTTTAGGTAAGCTAATATGTTCTCTTCTCGTGCCGATAAAAAAAAAAAAAAAAACTTCAGCCTTCAAAGCACCTTTTCTGCTGCGACTTTTTCTTAAATCTTGATGCTATGTCAACCCAGAAAAAACGCGGCGCTTTTTTTTTTTTTTTTTTTTTCTTTCTTTCTTAGACCATTATGCTCCATGTTTAATATTCATTCCCTCATGGTTTAAAACGATCCTTCCGATGCAATCTTGGTCTAGCTAGCATGCCGCAGACCATTTTTGAAAACTCAACCCCGGACTTTGGTTTTCATTATTATTTTTATTATTTCCACTTTATTTATTTAATTTTTTTTATTGTAATGGCTATATGTAGTATGTATGCATCCAATTGCAAGTGAGGGACACAATGAGACCAAATTGCACAACTCTTTTTATTTCTCCCCCCAAACAATTAAAATATACCGTGCGCAATGTCATTATCTCCCAGAAGAGAATCTTTGGCGTTGCATGGGAACCCACTTCCAATGCATCTTCACGCTAGGATCTTATTCTTTTTTTTTTTTTTTTTTTTTTTACGCGTGGGTGCATGCATTACACTCTTTTTTAGTTTCTTTTTTCTTCTTTCTTGCAAAAAAATGATGTTTAGCTTTCTAACGTCGACCTTTTTTTTTTTTTAGTTATGTAGAAAAGGACAATGATTGTGTATACTAGACGTAACAAACATCAGTGCATGTGCTTGGCTTTTTTTTTTTTTTGAAAAGAAAAAAAAAAAAAAAGCAAAGGAAACATGTGAGCATTCATTTGTTCCGCCTTTCTTTTTTTACCTTTTCCTTCTCCATGTTATATAATATGCCACAAGATAGAAATTTTTATTCTTTGTAATTATCGGTAGATGAATCCAGTGGCCAAGGAAGGATAACTTGAGTTGTTCGCTCCAGGCCCATAATTGAGCAGGATCACACACCTTTATATTTGTTATATATATTTATGAACTATGGGGACACAAAATAAATATTACAACAGTTGTGTCCTTCTGCTTGCTTTTAGTCTTACCTTACTCATGACGGCAAAGGAATGGGGGGAGGGAGGAGAGGTTGATCGAGCGAAAAACAAATGTGTAAATGTGTACAAAGAAAAGAATGGACATGTGTCCCGAGGAAAGAAAAAAAAGGTGAGTAGAAACATAATGCATCATCGCCACCACAAACAGGCCTACACACATGCACATACAACACGCCTGCGCTTTTTTATCCCCCTCATCCTCCTCCCTAATTTTATTCATCCCTGCATTTCTATTGACCAGCAAGGTAAACATGCTCGATCCTCTTTCCTCCAATTCACGATCGAACATCTTTATTTTACCATATTCTACTATATTTTATCTTTTTATTATATTTTATTTTATTTTATTTTATTTATTTATTTGTTTTTTTTTTTTTCTTTTTTTTTTTTTTTTTTTTTTTTTTTGCATAAACCAAGATATAAAAGTGTTTAAATTGAACCGTTAATAACTCGTTACCATGTTGTCATGACCTCTTCTTTTCTTTTTTCCTTCTTTTTCCCCTTTTCAATTTCCTAGAAGGAGGGTTTTTTTTTTTTTTTTTTTTTGTTCTTTCATTTCTTCCATTCTTGTATTTAATTTCTTTTTTTTCATCTTTTGCCTCACCATTGTAAATAAGTTACTTGTCATTTTTTGTATATTCACTCTTTTTCATGATCTTAATTTGCTCTTTCCTCTTCAATCTACCTTCTTTTTTGTGTTTGTTTAAAGCGTAACCTTTTCGGCTGTCGTTGTCATTCTTTTATTCCTTCGCTCACTTTCTCTTTATAATGTCTGAAAACAAACCCACAGCCACATCTACTACATCGCGCAGAAGAGCCATTACCACTATCGAGACCAGTTCAACTGGCTCTCCTAATCAAGTTCATGATTATGCTCCCTACCATACCCATCATCAACAACGTCAATACCACTCAGACATTCATTCTGCAGATGACCTCGCCCATCCATCCTCGCCGCCTACAAATGAACGTCCTTATAGACGGAAAAAGCGTATTTCTGCCACATTTGGAGGCCCAGGATCAGTCTCTGGATCAACCTCCGGATCTGGGTCTTCAGATTCAACATTCACACTCACTTCACCGTCTTCACCATTAACACCTTTATTCGAGACTTTAATACAATCGCCACTGCCATTATCACCTGAGTCTCCTAATGATCAACTCCCTTCTCAACATCCCTTTGACCTTCATCCACTTAACTCTGATTCATTGTCTTCACGCGCACCTCGACCGCAGCAGCAGCAGCAGCAGCGGCAACAACAACAACAACAACAACAACAACAACAACAAAAACAACATGTGGAAACCAATCTACAAAATACTTCTTTAGCATTATCGGCCGACAGCCCACTTTCCACTCCTAGTCCTCTAGAAAGCGGCACATTCGGCATATACCCCCTCCCAATGCCCTCAACCGTCCGAAATAGCCAACATGAGCAGCAAGAGTCGGCGCCATTATCGTCTGAAGAAACAGCTACCTTGCCTTCTCCAGCTTACAACAACAACAACAATAATCCATCCACAGCTTCCCCAAGCCATAGAACTCGATTTACATTTGGCTACGATGATTCAATGGTCCAGGATGCTCTAAAGCTCCTTCCATCCCATTCGCCTGCAATTGCACATGAAAATGATGAAAGCGCCCTTAATGTGGTTGATGCGATCGACAAGGACGACAGTGATAATAACGATAGCAATAATCACAGGGACATCAGTGGTAGCGGTATCGGTAGCCATAGCTATAGCCTTAGCCATGGCTATAGCCGTAACCGTACCCGTAGCCATAGTCATAGCCTTAGCCATAGCCATAGCCACAACCTTAGTCATAGCCGTAATCGCAATCGTAGCTGCAGTAGCAGTGGCGTTATTATCAAATCAACTGACAATCGATACCATACAGACATGCCATTATCACCATTACCTCTTTCATCCCCAGTTCATACGCCACGCATCCATTCCACATTCTCCAAGCACCCTGTTTCTGCCACCACGGCTGATACTGGGCATCACCATCACTTCTTCCCTCCTCATATCATGCCCTGGAAACGTCAATCATTTACAGCACCAGATTCATTCACCACAGCCATCACTGGAAACTTAGATACGAATGTTGGTGCAAAAGCAGAAGTAAAAGCAAGTGCAAATGCAAGTACAAGTGAAGGTGTATCACCAGCCTTTGGAGGCATCCAATCTGGCAGTAGTAGCGAAGGTAGTGGAAGTCGAAGTAATCAGTCACGTCACCATCCTCGCAGACAAACCGTAGGCGGCGATGGCCAAGGAAGCTCATCAACAGTTTTTGGAGCCAAAGATTCAACTTTCAATCCAAGTACACCAATAATAGAAGTGCTATCGCCACAGCGGAGTCGTTCACGAACAAGAAGGCGTTTGTCACTGTTCATGAACATGCTTCTCCCCACAATCCCTTCGTCGTCGTCAATAACATTGCCACCCATAACTGCTACCACTGCTACTACCACTGCTGCTTCTGCTGCTGCTTCCGCTGCTCCTACCACTACTGCCACCCAATTATCTCAGAAACCTCTTCCACCTGTCCCCATCTCTTTTTCTTCCTCGTCATATTCGCCTCAAACGGCACCGATAGCCCTTACGGACGTGACCAAGCTCACGTCACCTGCTATTGTTTCTACATATCAGGCAATGGATTCGTCTATGTTAGCTGCTCTTGGCTCTGGTCCCTACACTGCTCCTACCACCACGTCAGGCACGGGCAGCAAAAAACGACAACCGTTTTCTTTGACTATCACTCAAACCAACAAAAGCAATAGCAGCAACAGCGATAATAATAACGATCATGGTAACCATAATGACAGCACCATTATTACCAGTAACAGCGATAACAACAGTGTCTCTAAATCGCCGATCCCTATACCACCAATAAAGCGTTCCAAGTCTCTCCGCTTGAAGGATTTGATCAGTATGTCCACAAATAGAGGATCAGTATCAAAGCCAACAGCGACGCCAACCCCCGCACCGGCGCCGGCAGTGGCATCGGCACCGACACCAGTGCCAACATCAATACTGGTGCCAGCATCGGAACCTCAATCTACGGGATTACTCCAAACAAACCCGCTTCAAACCCAGCCACCCCTACTCATGGATAATCCCAGTGATCGCGTTCCTCCTCCTCACCAATACGGCTTGTCGCATCAATACCAGCCTCAGCAGCATATACCCACTTCTTTTTCTTCTTCTTCCTCGTCTACTGGCCCAACACCCACTTCCCTATCTGGCGTTTCAAATGCAACTGTGGCTGCTTCAGGTTCAGGATTTTATACCGGAAGTCAAAGCAGTGCTTCGCGACCATCTCAGGAGCCATTAATCATCTCTTCATTACAACCAGAAAATCAACCATCAAGTCTAGTGAGCCAAACATTCTATAACAACAACAACAACAACATTAGCGTTAACAATGGTAGCAGCAATAACAGTAGCAGTAGCAGTAGCAATAGCAGCTGCAGTAGTAGTAAGATGCGAGCACAGACAACGGATGACCTACAGAGTAGTAATGAAGGACCTAAAGCGACTAAAAAAGCAAACAAAGGCAAAAAGCAGCAGAAGGAAAAGATCTCGAAGAAGGATAAGAAAAAGGATAAGAAAGCGGAGGGGGAGGGGGACCACGATAGCCAGAAGAAGAACAAATGTATCTCATTCTCCATATTTCGTTCATTTTTCAAAAAATAAAAGAATTCACATAGAGAGTAATAGAGTAAAAAAAAACACACACACACACACACAGAATACACTTGTATTATATATAAATAAAGGGCAATTTCTCTTGTCCTTAGGTTATTTTGCATAGTAACTGCGCTAGCGGGATCAATTCTACGTGATTATCCTCTTTTTTTTTTGAGTGGGGGAGCCATAATGCGTTTGAAGGAAGAAGAAGTTCCAACTAAAGTCGCAGACCTTTGCGACATTAAGTTTTACTTGACTTGATGTTGTTGGCTTGGTAGCCAATCAGCCAATCAGCATCGATCATTCAAAGATGCGTTCTCAAAACAGTGGCCTTTACTGTAATATCGCTTTATTTCCCGTTCGAGAATCAAAAAAAAAAAAAAAAAAAAAAAAAACCCCAATTACGGTTGTCTCCGATCTACATCTTTCTTTTCCATGTGAAAAGGAAACAAAAACTACGAGAGAAGATAGAAAAGAGTGGGGTAGTAAAAGGTTGCTGGTTCGGATAATGAACAAAAGACGTCTTTTGTCGTCTTCGTAAACCAAAATGTGCATGCAACGACAGAACAACGCCTCACTCTTTCGATAAATAGAGACTTTAAAGTCTAAGTCGTTATTCTTTTTTTTTTTTTTTTTTTTTTTTTTTTTTTTTATTTATTTATTTTATACAGAAGTAAACCAATGTATAGTCAAAACAGGGACATGTTATCCATTGCTTGTTTGCTTGTTGAAAGGCTTTTGGCGCGTTGACTAACCCAAGGGGCATCACCTCGAATCCGTATAGTCCCTGCGCTAGTATTCCAAAAACTCTTTTCTTCTGGTCTCTCCTGTCCATTGGAATTTGCCAGTATTCTTTTAGCGCATCCGAGGCAGAGAGCACAAAAATACAAGGGAGGTGGTCCAAAAGATCATCAATACATCAATACGAAGGAGAGGATAGGTGTCCTTCCTGCTGACTTTATTCAGAGCCCTGTAGTCCACGCAAATGTGTAACCCTCCATCCTTCTTCTGAATTGGAAGAACAGATGCACGCCCTGGGCTCTGACTAGGCGCAACAATGGCGGCTTCTCGCATTTGTTTCATTTCCTCGAGTGAGGCGTCTCTATGGACCTTAAGTACCCTGTATGACTTGAAATGGACCGTGGGCGATCACTAAAGTCGTTGGCATGCGTCACGCTCGATTGGATTTTGTCTTGTAGTTCTACGATATCGACAGCGAAACTGTCTTCATTGGTTGTCATCATGCTCTGAAAGTCTTCGCTTTCATGTGGTGCTAGCGGATATTCATCTTCTTTTGAGAGTGCCTTGTTACTTCAGCCGCGACGGAGTTAACCTCATCCATATTAGCGATAGCGATGTAGCAAATCCTCTCAGCCTCTTCAAAGTCGTCCTAATCGCCATCGTCAGGTCGTTATAATCAGTGGCGTCGGAACCTATCTCGTCGGTAACACCTAGGTCCGTTAAGTATCAGTCTTCGTGACTGGTCTTCATGGGCACTTCACACTGGTACTCGTCTACTTCGAGCTTGAGCAGATTATCCCTGATGTTCAAGTCCTTCAAAATAAAGTTCATGCTAATTTTTTAAGTGGCTCTAGCACGCAATTTATCCTGGCAAATTTGCCAATACATTTATATATATGCTAAGGTAGGCTCATCATGTGCACTTACACCGTGCTGAAAGGCAAATGTGGCTTGCTCCTGCCTGCAGACAGGCTGGGGACCACTTTAGGAGGCCAGTGATTTAGGTGTGTGCGTTAGAATTATATGTGAAAATTGTCTAGAAAGTGTGGGCGAAATGCAACCTTGTCAATGATGTTATTCTTTCAGAGATAGAATCTCTGACACAATTAGATGATCCCAGTATTTATAAATAGAACTACTTCCTGTCTCACTTTACTCTTTTACATGCTTTTGAACGCAAAATATTTATACTGAGAGCTAGTATATATGACATCTTTGCTCTAAAGATATAGATGTCGCCTAGCTCCGTGGGATTATATTTACTATAACTTTAACCGTTTTGGCCTTGGATTCGTTGACGTCACTGGTAGACAGTTTAGCCAGATGCTAGAAACGACAACTATACTATAGAAAGAGTATGTCATCCAAGCACCGCGTGCGCTGGAGAATGGACAAAGGCTGGGTTGAGGATAGGCAGAGTTTAGGTAATAAGTAAGAACTCTATCTCAGCAATTACAAGGCGCGAATCCAAGCAGTGATACAAACCCCCATAAATCGAGCAGTGCCCGATTAACCAAGCAGCATTGAGAGTGGTCCATTGGGAGTGTGAAGTGACCTGTTGTTGGACCATCTGAATCTCAATCAGCAAATACACCATGTATTTATATTTTATGTGCAATACTGCTGCGGCTGGTGACGAACCTAATGCTAAGGTACGCTTCTCATTGTGACTTTGTGTTAGCTGGACTTAAGGCACCGGATCGAATATCAAAATATCCGGGTCTTAGGAGCTTTACAAAGGAAGCCAGAATAACACCAGATCGAGGGGCAGGAGATAAGGTACGATTCAACACGGCGACGTGGGCGTTGACCCCACTAAAGGTATTAATGGAAATAGAAGGACGCAGTTGGAACAGTGTGTGAAGTGACAGGAACGGAAGCTCAGAAAAATAAATGGAGAAAAAAAAATGGGTGGGTTTGTCAGACTATCTGCAGATCACTATGTAGTAGGAGGAGCAGTTTATCATAATCTTCACCTCTCCCGACCTTGTGAATCAAACAACATTTCATGAACTCTTAGCCAACATGCCTGTCTCTGCAAGAATCACCAAGGAAGGACAAGAGTCACTCAGGTTAAAAATTTCACCAGAAGAAACCCCATCTTTCCTCTGAGTTTTATCACCTTAACCAAGGAAGCAAAGTCCATGGTTGCATTGATTCGGTGGCTGATTTTAAAATATTTGGCCTCCAATGCGTTCAAGACTTTATGAATTCCTAAAAGATCGTTAAATTCATTTTCCCTCTGAGAACATCTTGTTCATGAGCCCCAAGGGTTGAACTTGGGGAACAACTCTTCGTCCAGGTAAACCACTGGCGAATGAGCAAAGTGAATAGTTAGCTCTGTCGATAGCACAGTGACTGTACAAAGTCATACGATATTTCGAACGTTGTATTAAAAAAATTGCTACTTTTTTTTTTTTTTTTTATTCAACTTTTACAAAGGTCTCCCATTTATAATGGTGGAGGTCAATAGCATTCTATATCGGCGGAAGCTGTTCTTCATGATGAAGCCGGCACTGGATCTCCGTGTTATCAATGGAATGCAAAACCAAAGGTGTTTCGATTTGCTTGTCCCTGTTTTTTTTTTTTTTTTTTTTTTTTTTTACAAGTAGCATCAATACTAATAATTCAATAACATTACAGCCTATAGATGGGACGAATGGAGATTTATGTAATGGGCTTGGAGTATGAAGTAATGCATATGCTCAAGTTGTTGAGGGTTGAATATCCTGTTGACTGTTTGTGTAGGTGTCTATTTCATCTTTTTTTTTTTTTTTTTTTTTTTTTTTTTTTAAAAAAAAAAAAAATAAAAATAATGTGGCACACTTACACCTTGTTAATCGTCTTGCTCCATTCCTTTGACGTAATCCTAGTCAATTTGTTAGAACGTGGTGGATGTTGTTCAATCGCGACGTCAAGATTCCTATCAAAGTAGAAAGATGTGAAATAAAGAAACCTTTTTGTTAGTATTTAAGTGATATTCAACTACCCCGGGATGACTATATGATGCTCATCTCCCTCAAGACCAAATTGTGCCCATTGTGGAGCATAGAAAATGGATTTGAACTTGTAGCGTGCCATTATTAGTACTTGGGAGGATATCTGTCAAAGAGTGGTGGAAGGTGTCAAAAACTATCTCGCTCCAAGGGACATTTGACCAATTGGGATGATGGTGTTGAGTGAGACAGATGGGAGAGCAAGGTGAAGTGGTAGGGATGAAGGGGTTGAGCAGCAAAGGTGCCTTTATTGAGTAATCGAGGAGAAGCAATTATTAGCAGGAATCAAATATAAGCGAGAGCTAGGCTACATTACTAGCTGCGCCAGGGTCCCGGCATCAGTATATCTCTAGCAAAGATAGTGGAAATGGCCTAATGAATTGATGAGAAAGGCCAAAAAAAAAAAAAAAAAAAAAAAAAAGACTTTATTAGGCAAATTTGTCATTACGGATTTAGTTATAATTTATTGCCATTATAAAACACTTCCAATCTTGGTTTTTACATGCTAGATTATTTTTCATAGACAGTTGGACGGCGAGCTGTCGTTCCCCAGATGACCACCGTCTTATCCTTCTCTGCACTCACTACCGTGCTGTTGACCCATGAGACACCAACAATAGGCCCCGTTTGATCCTTGGCCGTCTTCTCCACTAAACCGTCACGCGTCGACCAATAGAAGATGGTTCCATCAGCAGATCCTGAGACCACGTATTGACCATCAGGGCTGAAGCAGGCTTTGGACCAATTTGTTCCGGTCTTGTAGCCATCCGCATGCAATACTGACAACGTTTCATATGTTCTTACATCCAAAATCCTGAGCGTATTATCTCGTGAATTGGTCAAAATTTGTGTACCGTCTGATGAAGGGCAGACTGATGTGATTTGGCCCAAATGAATGCCTGTTACCTCTTTCACGCAGTTTCCGGACCGTGAGTCCCAAACACGTAAGTTGTTGTCCAAATGACCACTAGCAATTGTTGCTCCATCAAAATCTAGTAGGCAAACATCGTTTACACTTGCAAATGTGAACATTGTACGTATGCCTAATATATACGAATTAAAAGTGAGAAGAAGCACCGATATCAAGGGCGAAAATATATACATATAAATACAATATGGCCGCCATGATCTCCGCGATTTAGTCGGACTTACAGTATCCTTTTTGAAGGTCCCAAACTTTGATGGTCCTGTCGTGACTTCCTGACACAACTTTACTCGAGTCTGGATTGAACCGAGCAGAAAAAACTTTGCCGATATGGCCAGTCAACGTATGCTACATGATTGTTATAAAACAAAAACAAAAAACAAAAAAAATAACCTTGGTAAACTGAAGCATGACCAACGACTGTTGCGCGCCACTAAAGAAAATTAAAAAAAAAAAAAAAAAAAAAAAAAAAAAGTATATATACCCTTGGTCGGCCTGTGCCAAGATGCCACAGTCGTGCAGCATTATCATTAGATGCACCTAGAAGTAAATCATCCGTTGCATTGAAAGATACACACATCACTGCCTGGAGACAGCCTGTTAAGGTCGACTTAAGTGCACCCGTCTTCACATCCCAAATCTTGATCTTTTTATCGTTGGAACCTGTTGCAAAAACGCTTCCACTCGTGGACATGGAGATAGTATTAACTTCCGAATCATGGCTTGTCTGCAGCGAAGAATAAAAAAAAGTTAAATATTGATTGAGGATTAATCAACAGTTTTTTTTTTTTTTTTTTTTTTTTTTAGAGCCACAATACGGAACACTAAAAGTGAAAATAAGGTTAAACTTACAATCTTTCTTGATGAAATTTGGGGTATACTCGAAAAAATGGAAGATTGCCCTCTCCAGTTGGATTGTGTGGGTGAGTCAGGCCCCATGCTTCGTAGTGAACGCGTGCTCGGAGGAGATTGTACTGGTGGTGAAAGAGATGCAGCCTCTTGCTTTTCACTAAGGTGGATAAAAAAAGTCAATGACTGCTCTATTATGACAGTTCTTACATAATCATGCTACTGAGTACACATCTTACTTTTCCACAAACATATTTTGTGCATTCATTCTATCAGCTTCCTCGTTCTTCATTTTGAGCCAGCGCTGCAATAACTGTGCATTCTCTCGCTCAAGATCGCGTTGTCGTTCATCCAACTTGCCCATTTCCAACTGTAAGGTCGTGAGTTCATCCTGAATCACTTGAATCGTAACGTTCTTTTCATTTACTAGGTCCAGCAGTTCCTGATTTTTGTGTGCCAAGATATGGTTCGATTCCGTCAACCGTCGGATTCTATGGAATTGTAGATCATAGTATATCAAGTCAAGAATTTAATCTTATTAGTTAAGCCCGAAAATGAAATTATACTTCTACTACATCAAGTAGGCACTACACAATTTGACCTTTTGTTCTGCGGCCGCTTGTGGTCAAAAATGCCATTGTGAAGTACATCATATAACAAGAAACGATCTACATTACTCTTCTTTATTTTGCGTAAGTGTTGTATCCTTGTTCCGCAAAATATCATTTAGATCAACCAGTCGCTGGGCGTTCGTTCCCTGGGTTTTGTAAAGCTCAGCTCGTTCGTCTTTTAAGCTCGCCACTTGCGCCTCAAGCTCCGCGCATCGCTTCTGATTTATCGGACTCCTGTATGTTACATTTTTTAAACAGAAAAGGATAAAATGCATTAGGATAACTTCATCCCTTATTTTCAAAAAAAAAAAAAAAAAAAGGAAGGAAGGAAGGAAGAAAGGTAACCAAAAATTAACTGTTCAACTTTTTTACTACACAAATACCTCCAAAATGAGATAAGGAGAAAAGTAGGGATTGAACGGAAGGAAGGGTTTCAAAATGTCCAAGAATTTATAATCAACTTTACCCTTGTTCTCGTAGAACAGTGACTTGGCGAGCCATTTTATCATGTTGTTCTTTAGAGCTTTGCGCAGAAGTCTCTAAATGTTTGTTCTGCTCAACAAAGAAAGTCAGTTTCTGCACAAGCTCGTTGTCTATGGAGTGGTTATGAGGCGCAGACAACCCAAAAAAAAAAAAAAAAAAAATAGGGCATACGGTTATTAATGGAAAAGCAGAGTTTTTTATCATTTGTGGAGCCTATTCTTTTATCTTTTTTCAACAGAATAAAAGTTTATACTGAGATTATGAGTATCTGCTTACAGGATTCGACCATGTTGGTGAATGCCTTCTCATGTTTGTCACGGATGGCAAATTGACCAAGGATTTCAGCCTCCCACTGCTGCGTGGACTGATGTGCCATTGTCATCTTGTTTTTGCTTCACTTGTTTGAGATGAAATGTGTTTGTATTTAGGATGTTGAGACAAAAAAAAAAAAGAACAGAGTTTAAGAGGTACGGTAAATGTACATACATGAATAGAGGTTACAGTTCAGAGCCTTGAACACATTCCCTTCTGTGTGGAAAATCACAGCCACTTATTAGAGATTTTGAATTTAGCCTCAGTGGTATCAATTGTTTGTGTCAAACATTCTTTTCCTGACACAAAACCAAGAACCATGGAGTGCCATGAGTGCATTTTGTTCAATTGGCCAACAGTCCGAGATTGGTGGCGTGCAATAGTGCAATATCAGGTGACAACCGTTTCCAAACTCCCATCACTACCCAACTCGCAGTGAACCACATACTAATAAGGATGCTCTCTCTTTATTTAATATTGTTACTATTGGAGCATGCTGATTTCCATCATCATCATTCTCATCATCTCCATTGCTTTTTTTCCATTTCAGACTTTTCTCATTATCATAAACCCATCAGGAAAAAAAAAAAAAAAATAGTAAAAGAAAAAGGCCAAAATGGTTCAAAAGAGAAGAAAGGTTGGAATTTTTTATTATTATTATTCATACAACAATGACTTGCATTCTGCGGCTTTTGGCATTTCCTCCCATCCCACGGACATTCAGGAATCGGGTTGACTGGGTACTAATAGCATCAAGTGACAATGGTAGTGGGTCCATACTACACAGGTCGTCCTTAACACAACCAGTGTCACTACTAGAGTGGAGTGATGTTGGGGAACTTGGTGAGCTTGTGGGCGAGGACGAGACGGAGGAAGATAATGAGCCAGAGTCCGTCAAGGCCGGGGTCGATGGTGCCGATGATGACAACGATGACGAAGAGGAGAATGAGGAGGACGAGGACGTGGATAAAGACGAAAAAGACCTTGACTGTGCACGCTGGGGACGATAAGGATGAAAACCATGAGGACGGGTTTCAGAGGGTACGGAGGTAAGCTCTGAGGCCGATACTGGAGATGACGATGGCTTGCGAGTGTGGAGAATGAGAAGGTTGCGACTCTGGTCATAGACATTACTGCTTCTGAAGGACGTGAGGTCGCGAGACCATCGCTCCCCTGCTACCCTAACTGTGGATGACGACACAGGAGAAGATACGGATAGACTGGAAGGGGAGCTGCTGAATTCCAGATGTGAACCGGTCTGTGACAAGGCCAACGGAGCAAGAGTGTTGACCCCTGAGGAGTCCTCCTGAGAAGACTTTGCTTGCTCCTCATTGTCTGAAGGACTAAACTGTTGGTCATATTTTCGAATGTCAACAGCCATAGTCAAAGAAGGGTCATTCTGGATTCGGAAAGAGAAGACAATTCCCTTGGACGGATCGTCCTGAGATGGCGATCTTCTGGGTGTGCTTTTTTTGCGACCACTTTGGGCGAGATCAAGCGGCTGGGGAGATGGCGAGGAAGCATTCGACGGAGCCTTACTGTTGTTATTGCTGTAGGTACTACTGCTTCGCTGTGAGTATGTTGTATGTGCAGGCTGTTTGGTCTTACGGGCAGCTGCCTTTTTCTTTGCCATGATGTTAATTGGATTGTATAGTTTCGATAAGGTATTTACAGTTGAAGAAAAATGATCAAGGCAAAGAGTTGAATGCAGAGTATTTGGCTTGCAGTAGCGTGAATAAGTAAGAAGAATTACAAAAAAGAACAAGGACAAGGACAAGGACAAAACGAATGGAGTAAAAAACAAAAGAATCAAACAAAACAAAGTAAACAAAAATTAAGCAAGAAGAGAGAGAGAAGAGAGGAGAGAGGAGAGAGGAAGAAGGAATTGAGCTGACATCCGGATCCAAAAAAGTTCGTGATGGACAGTACAGAATGAAGACGAAATAAGAAAAGAAAGAGAAAGAGAAAGGAGAAAGAGAAAAAAAGTGTGTGTGAAAGATAGTCCATTTTGATGAGACCAATGTCCGCCACGATAAAACCAAGATGGACTGACTGAAGAGACAGGACCATTGAGAAATATAAACATTTTTTATTTATTACAGAATAAAAAATAGACAAGAACAAAGTTTTTTTTTTTTGCATGTGTGTGATGTTAATGATTTACACATTAAAACAATGTCCCACTAGCCTAAGCCATGCCATGTCACTTTTACTTTTTCTTTCCTTTTTTTCTTTTCACACATAACACAGTCATCTTTCCTATTTTGCTCACCCCTTCATCTTTTGGAACGCATGCGAATATGATGAAGTCTCATTTGCTTTCATTCATTCGCTCTTCCTCTCACTTTAACAGTCCCGAAACATTCTATGTTAGATATCTGTTATATTTATTACCCCCATTAATAGATAGAGCCAACTTCAACGAAAATAGTCTATCATCTCATGTTCCATGGATGCAGAATGAATAAGGAAAAATGGCTCAGAAGGCTGTATTACTGTTTGAGGGTCAATTACTTTTTGTGACAATGTGTGGACGCCAAACTGTCCCACTGGAAAGGAATGCTCTGTCACCCCATTGCTCAAACACGGGCTTGACATGCATGGACCCTGTTTTTTCTTCCTTATTTTATTCTTATACTCTTTTGTGTATTGCCATGATGTGAATAAAGCAAGGGAGGTCTGCTATTCAAAGCAAAAATGTAAAACAATTCACAACTAATATATGAAGTGAATGGTTGCGACAAATAACTATATCTGCAATCCATGTCCCATTGAGATGGGATAGGATTGTAGTAAGAAAGTCTCATTCTCTCCAAAACACAAGTGTGTGCAACCACAAATGTTATTTTGTACCCACAAGTATTCGTCATTGTGTCGGTAATGCTAACATTTACACCTCTTTATTTCCCCCCCTTTTTTCTCTTTTTCGCCATGGCTCCATTTCTGAATGCCCCATTCTTGGCATGCAGTCTTTGGCTTGACTTTGCAAACGCGCACAGTCCAACTCAAGCTCACAGAGCAGTGCTCTGTCTTCCTTTTCTCCATATTGGCTGCTTCTCACTGTTGTCTCGATCAAGAGACTAGAGCAAGCAAATCTTGTGCGTGTCGCGTCGTTGAATGTGCGTGTGAGCAATTGTGTATGCGAGAGGAAAAGGAGAGAAAGCTCTCTGCTCTGTTCGCTCCTCCAATCCCCGCGCAATGCCATGCCTCCTATTCTGTCTCCCCCAATTTCAATTTCACTTCTTCTGTAATGTGTGTATTGACTCTGTTCCTGTTGCAACTGCTGTCGTTGCTGTTGTTTAGTTATCATTTCTCCTTGTTTCTTCAAAAGAAAACAACCACGTCCCAAATGAAGAAAAGGGGGAAAGAAAAAAAAAAAAAAAAAGAGAGAGGGAGAGAACAATAACGATGGAAAAACGGCTGTTGTTGTTCATCACTTTTGACCTTTTAGTAATTCGGCTGTTTGCCATAACGTCTCATATTACGCCCAGCACTGCCTGACCCAATTGGTGACGCTGGATGGATGATCAGTCTAAACAATAAGCTCTTTCAGATGTATGCCTCTGAACTCTGCTGGCGTTGTTGCTGTGCTTTTTTTTTTCTTTTCTTTTCTCCTTACTCTTCAAAGCTTTACTTTATTCTACTACTCAACACCTGTACTTTCCTTGATATTACGACTTTGCCTCTCAAAGATCATCATTTACCACCACGGGTGTTATTAATTTATACCCTATTTCCACCATTTTTATCTTCCATTTCACCACAATACGGCACTGCATTTTTTTCCTTTTCTTTTGTAAATACTAAACAAAGGAAAAAAAAAAAAAAAAAAAAAAAAAAAAGAGCAGGGAGAGAATAAACGTCCTGTCAAGCTACTCACTGGTTCCCAGAACCTTGAGGAATCCATTCCTCCTTCTGTCCCTACGCTCATTCCATTCCATTCAGAAAAGAACGGCTCACTCGTCCCTCTCCTTCCCTTTCTATCTGTCCTTACTATCCTTATTATAATAATAATTATTTTCAAATCCGTCCGTCCGTCTTTGCTTTCCCTCACTCACACACTCTTTATTTCTCCTTCCTCCTCTCCTTTTCTTCTTCACTCTTTTTACTCATTACGTCTTCCTTCTGCTACGACCCATTGGAATTCCTTTTTGTATTTCATTCACTAATTCACATTTACTTTAAACACTGTTTCTACGGTGCCTACAGGTTATTCTACTGAAGCCTCAAAGAAATAAAAATACAGAAATAAAAGGGTTTCAGAACACTTAATCGTCCACTTTTTATTTTCAAGTCCGCAGTTTCCTGTCTTCTCCTTCTCCTTCCCAGCCTCAATCGACCCGCAATCCGCCGCGATGTCACCGTCAACCAGACGCGGAAATATGTTTGGACCATATGTCCTCGTACAGACCTTAGGAGAAGGCGAATTTGCCAAAGTCAAGTTGGGCGTACATGCTGACACTGGTGAAGAGGTAATTAAAATGCAAAAAAAAAAAAAAAGTTGATGTGCACGGAGCACTGGTGATGGTGATGGTGTACGACAAAGTACTATCTGAACTCCTTGTCTCCTTTGAATCTTCATTATGTTATGCGGGATATTCATTTACTTCTAATTATGACGCGTTCAACATTACTTCTAAAAAGTCCTATTTTTCGGGAATACTTGGAAAAAAAAAAGAAAAAAAATCTGGAGGTTTCCACTATCATCCATCCAGCCATTGTTGTGAATCCCTCCATCCAGCGGTTGAACCAAAAGGGTTGTTTTTACTGCAATGCATCCTTCCCGCGCATGGCCACGTACCGCATCATTGCGCATAACATGCTGCAATCCTCTTTCCATCAACGCAACAAGTAGAAATACACATTCATTTAATGTGTACATGGTGCATTTAGCATACTGCCATGTTTTATGTCGCCTTGACTGTTGCCTAAAGACACATGCACACAAACAACACTATTCCTTCCTCTTTTCAGTTTTATCGTCCCGATCGAGCCTTCTTTTGATTTAACAGAATGAATATAAATCATAATTTGCGCTCGATGAGTTGATCAAAGCTCAAAACCTTACCATTTGCTGACCCAATTAACTAGATGTGAAAGGCACGCTCACTTTATTTGTTCATTTGATCAGCACTCACATGAACTCAGGTCTGACAATCTGTCTTTTTTTTTCTTCTCATTGTTTTGTCGGCCATTCACCAGCCACATCCATTATACACTTTTGCCCTCCTGCAGGGCAGGCGTCATCAGCATTTTAATTTAATTGAAATACTTGTGTATGGCAGACTAGTCTCCTAGAGGTTTAGATTCTCTTTGTCTTGAACTTTTTTTTTTGTGGCACCTTCATCTTTTGTTTATAGATTTGTAGAGTCTCAAATGTGGGGGTTTTGAGTTGTGTGTTAATTTTTTCAATTTCAGCTTTACTAAAAAAAACAAAACAAATCGCGAGAAAAACACGAATTCAAGACTCACTATTTCTCTCGCTCTACTGCGACTTAGGTTGCTATCAAACTAATCAGACGTCAATCCATGGATAATACGCAACGGATAAGCAAGATCGGACGAGAAATATCTGTTTTGAGGGTATTGTATCGTAACGAACATTGTACCTGGCAAGCTCATATTGGAATGGTTATAGTGACCATCAATAAAAGCAAAGTAAAAGCTAATCTCTTTACTTCATCATATGATTTACATCACCTAGACAATCCGACACCCGAATATCATTACACTTTTCGATGTTATTGAGACAGAGCGTTATTTTGGTATCGTGATTGAATATGCATCAGGTGAGGATCGCTCTTTTTTTATTAAAATTTATTTGTTTACAATCGCTTCTTAGAAAAGACTTCATCAAATGTTGACACACGGACGCCAAAACTGACCTCATTGCACTCCTTTTACCTCCTTACGCTTATGAACCATTAGGAGGCGAGCTTTTTGATCACATTCTCGCCCATCGGTATCTAAGAGAAAGGGATGCATGTCGACTGTTTGCTCAGCTGATGAGTGGTGTACATTACCTACATTCAAAGCACATTGTCCATCGAGACCTGAAGCTAGTATGTCCCACGGACAAAAACCAATCATGAGAAGTACCACGGTAGTCTCTCTTTGTTGTCACTGTGCCTAATAGTTTTTTTTCGTTTGATGATATGCTAGGAAAATCTACTGTTGGATAAGAATCGGAACATCATTATCACAGACTTTGGCTTTGCAAATCAATTTGATAGCTCATCATCTGATCTTATGTCAACCTCATGTGGCTCACCATGCTATGCCGCTCCTGAACTCGTCATCTGTGATGGCTTATACGTGGGAACTGGCGTTGATATTTGGAGCTGCGGTGTCATTTTGGTAAGTAAGGGTCGTTATCTATTGCTGAAAAGTTTAATGCCAAAGCTTCGAATTAACCACAAACATTAATAATGGCTCGTGTAATACAATAGTATGCAATGCTCGCAGGGTACCTACCATTTGATGATGACCCTTTAAATCCCGATGGTGACAATATCAATCAGCTTTATAATTACATCCTAGCGACAACTCTTGTGTTTCCCAAGCACATTTCATCAGATGCGAGAGACCTTTTACAAATGATGCTCGTACCAGACCCTACCAAGCGTTGTGATATGAAGCGAATTATGGCGCACCGATGGCTCCATCCATATTCTTATATGCTTCAATTTACGATCGAAGAGCTTGAGGTATATTGCCTATAAACACTAGATACCTTTAAGAACATGGCCTTCTTCCATGGCAACTCATTGATCCATTCGCGTTGTTTTTTCTTTTTTTGTAATGGAACAATATTAGGAACAAGCTATAGCGAGGCTGAACGGAAGGACATGGATACCTTCGAAGCGTCCTGTCCCTGTTGAAATGGAGCAAGGCTTTCATAATTCTCAGCAAATGGATAGTTTTCATAACCGACTTAGCCCTCCACGTCCTTCAGCAGTCGAAGTTGTACAACGAAGGCACACCATCTGGGCTGATTCCGTGCCTGATACAGCATCGGCATGGCAGCACCATCGTTCTTCATCTAGGCATGGTGGGGATGGTCTAGTACCAATTGCGGATGCACCCATGGAAGCCTATGAAGAAGACTATACAGATAGCATGGACATTGTATACAGTCATGAACATGCCTATGTCCATGAGCAGCAACAACAACATCACCAGCAGCACCATAAGGGTACGCATATAGATTCCGATCAGGGAGAAATGATGACAATCGAGCCAAGCTCAGAGTCGGAGTCTGAGACGAAGGCACTAGAAGTACAACAGCCAACAGCTGGGGAAGAGAGTAGACGGCTCTCACACTCTGCCTTCCCTAGTACACAGGATATGGGTTTAAGTCATAGAACACAGGATTTTCAAGAAGCCTCATTTATAGAAGTACCACAAAACCACTCACCGATAACACCGTCCTCCATACGAGAAATGCAGGATATGGTGCTCAATTCAGAAGCGCAGAAAGAGATTGAGGACAGGGATAGATATCGGCCTCTAATGACTGAGGATCTAGTGAGCCCTAGGGATGATGAAAAGCTTCCTAGGGAACCAAAAAACGAGTCTCCGCCATTATTTTTCAGGAGAACTAGCTCGTATTATAGCAAAATCCGTCCAACCACCATCCATGGAGGGCCTATGCCTCACAATACCCAAGCAGAGTCACTACCTACACCTCCTATGCACTCTGTCCAGGATGCATCGCTACCACAAGGCCTTGGAGGAACAACAGATTCTAAAGGCCATACATTAAGAGACAGCGCTACTTCCTCGCAATCTTCTCAGCAAACGCCCTCGACATCACAAGAACTTCCTGAATCTGAAGTTAATCACGCTTGCTCTGTACAAAGGTCTCAAGGTGACGAGCATCCTACAACCCCTTATCAATCGAGTGTCAGCGTATCGCCCATAATACCCATCCGAAGTGACTCCCTCAGTAATCGTCGTATTTCGCAAACACAGCATGATCCAACTTTATCTCCACAGACACAGTTATCCTCGCAGGCGCAACCATTATCCCCACATGAAAGCGATCTGCAGCCTGCTCGTCGTAGCCATACTAGCCATACAAAAATGCACCACAAGGGACCTTCTTCTGGCCGTCTACTCGGCTTCTTAGGCGGGCTATCTAAGAAACATGGTGATCATACCAATAGTCACGGACCAAGTCCAACTTCGCCCAAGACTTCATGCGACCAAACTCTGGCGGAGATTGAATCTTCAGCTTCAACTTTCAGGTCGGATGCAGAGAAGACTAATGTCCTGAAGCAACAACAACAAGAGCAATACAACCTACAGAGCATGTTAGATTCGTATGATACTTATAAATCAAGTCAGACCCAACGTGGAAAGAGGAGAAAGACCCTGAGCCTAGTGGCGGCTTCTAGTGAGAAACCACCCTATCATTTACAACAGCAGATGCAGCAACAGAACCTCCAGCATCCTTTGACAATTCGTTCTCCCGTAACAGACGGGTCAGACTCACAACAGTCTAATCGGCCACTATCATCAGTTACCCCGCCATCCGTGGGGACAGCTCAGAAGATTATAGAGTGGCTAAGACGAAAGTCTGTTGGTAAGATATCTCTAGCTGAAGATTTTTATATACTATGAAGAAGGAAGGTTTTTTTTTTATTTTATTTTAATGTGATTTGGACTATTTTACTTTATTAGTCAAATCCGCTTCTGAGCGCCCAGTTTTTGATCCGATGGAGGAGGTCCGTCCATCGAATGGTTCTTCAGTCCCCTCGGTTCCCGCTCATGAATCTACGAATAAGAACAGGGGCGACAGCCATATATCGACGGATGACACAGAATCCAGAATAGAACGTGGTAGTGCCACAAGGCACATGCATAGCGCCGTCCAAGCCTCGAAGAACCCTGGAAAGCACAACCCGATGGACGCCACAAACCCTAGTAATATCTCGGCAATCGCTAATAGAAGCATTGCCGTATCAAGCCCAATTCTAATTACACCTTTGCAAGCATTGGAGGAAGGCAGGGACCCTACTCTTCCAGCATTGATTCAGGCTCTACCACCTAATTGGACTGATATGAAACTTAAGGTCCATTCTGGAGCTGTTGAATTGTCCTCACTTTCATCCCGTCATCCAGCGGAGATTATGTTTGACATCAAGAAAACCATCTTAAGGCTCGGAATGGAAATCAAATCTGATTCTGACTTCAAGATCAAATGCGTCCGCAGAAAGCGGAAGACTTCTCCCAACAACAATGTCACTAATAACGGTGATGCAGTAGCAAGCCATTCTATTGCTATATCAGGTGGTGCTTGCACTGCCACTGTTGTTGGTGACATGAGTCCTTCAGGAACGAATGCAGGTGGTATTAGTGGTAACCTTTCAGTCAAGGGGATCCTTCAAGGCTATGGAGTCCATCGACATACACATAATGCTGGAGCTGCAGGCCCATTGGATGACAATGTGAGCGTCATGTCGAGCAACATTTCTATAGATCGTGAATGGATTTCAACAAGGAGCACCTTCGGGCCAGGCCCTTTATTACCTATTTTGGGCGCCACTGTTGCTAATGGTAATGCTAACCTTCGTACTGTTCACGCTGGAGAGGGTAATAATCACGCTGGGTCTGTATCTGTACCTGGCCCGGGATCCGTCGCAGGTTCGACAGCTGCTAGTAAAAGGAGACAGGGGATCAAAAGCTTATTATTAAGAAATAGCACTTCCATCAGCTTGGCTTCTGGCTCACCGCCATTACAACAACAGCAATTCCTGTCAACACTATCACCATTACCCTCGACAACCCTGATTTCCAACCCGGCTAGTGCCATGCATGTATCATCTGCCTCAGGCTCTGCACAAGCTACCAGTTCAAGGTCTCCTTCAGCAAGACAGCTGCCCCAAGTCTTAAATGGATACACTACGGGATTAAGCTCTCCACCCAACTCAAGCGGAGGATTCACCGGATATGATCATCGGAATATCCAGGAATGTGCAACATATGCGCAAATGAATACCTCAAAATCAGGTGATGAAGCGATCCTGGATGTCGCTAGAGGTTCAGTGACAGAGATTGCACAGAATTCATACAGCAAGATTGAAGGAAGTAGCATGAACCATCATCACTACCGCCGCCACCGCGAAGCCTCGGATGGAGGAGACACCATTACCAGCAATGTCATATTATCAGAGCAACAACAGCAGCAGAACCGCTTTGTGTTACCTTCAGAGCCGCTCTATGGTGAAGATTCGATTGATTCAGGTGAAGAAATTCGATTCTCAATCGAGTTGTGTCGTATCAAGAACCTTCATGGCCTTTACTCGGTCGATATTCGTCGTATGAAGGGTAATCTTTGGGCCTACAAGTTTTTGTATCATGCAGTCTTGAACACGTTAGATCTGCAGGGTAAAGGCGGATACCTGACAACTGGACAACCACATTTGCCTGAATCAGCTTTATTACCGGGAAGTGAAGTCGGATACCAACATCAACATGAACAACCACAACAGATTATAGGGCTAGAACAAGTCGCTATGATGACAGCTCGATCATAGAGGGAGGGAATTGACATACATAAAAAGTTTTTTATTTGGTGTAACATGATAATTAAAGGTCTCGACCAATCAAAAAGATTTTGCTTATGCCATATGTGAATAAGATATGTACCCGGCTCTATTCATCACTCTTCTGTGAATACATCCATTCTACCCTACTTTATTTTATTTAATGAAGAAAGTGGAATGACAGTTTATCCCAAACTTATATTTTAGATGATCTTACTCTCCATTCATAAGACAATGGCGAGGATGATATATAACTCTTGTTTTAAGAAGAAGTAGAAGAAAGCTTAGATCATTAATGAGTTAATCTCCCTTGATGGAGGTAAATAGGAGAGGAGAGAAGGAAGGAAGCAAGAACCTTAAAGAAAAAAAGGTCTACAGCTTCTTTTCTTTAAGTACAACAAGAGCAGCATGCTCTTCCTTTTTTTCCCTTTTTCAGAAATCTCACAAGAAGAAAAGAGGAAAAAAAAAGCGAAACAAAAGTAAATGATCTACGCAGGGGTCGAACCTGCAATCTCCTGATTCGTAGTCAGACGCCTTTCCATTGGGCCAGTAGACCGTTTTTGAACTTGATATACGTTGCTTATCGTGATTATGTTAAATGACAAGTCTACCGATTAACATCACGTGAACTTATTTACAATAGCGACTTAAAGCTGTTGCTTAGGACCTACGCTTGACCCAGCCCAATGGCTGAGTAGTATACTCGTCAGGGCACCCCCCTGTCTAGCCCAGGGGCCGGGTTCGAGTCCTGGTTAAGGCACATAAAGTGAAGCAAACATGTGCCAGGTCAGGGATTTGCTTGAGTTTTTATACTTTCTCTCCGAGACAGCCTAGTGTTCTCCGCTAAGGCTAAGATCGTGGGTGCACTACCCTAAGTCGCCTGGCTGGCCACATGTCTTAGGTTTATATTCCACCCCCCAGCCGAACCAGCGGTACATCTGGCAGCACATCCCCCCCATCCACCCACTTGACTAGGACAGCGATGATCACAAAGTTTGACGGAGTCCAAAGTAGAAATTTCAGACCAATCCCGCAAGATTTGGGTCCACATGCCAGTGGATTTGATCGAATAGAAAAAAAATTAAAAGTCGTCCTTAGCTAGAGTCGGCACGCCAGCCTCCGCGGCTTTTCACGGGCGCAACAGGCCACATCGGAAGGATGGACTTCGAGTACCGATCACGGTGTACATTGGTAGAGAAAAACATGGATACGAATTGGCTCTTCACAGCCATGCCGTGCGAACTTTGAGAGTTTCGCTTGTTTCATAGTTGAGGGCGATATCATTACTTTAGAGCGAGATTATGAAATAAAATTCCTCACCTCTGTGGGTTCTTGTTAACAGGAAAAAAAAAAAAAAAAAAAATTAGGACCTACGCTTGACCCATCGCAGATAAGGTTCTGTTGCAGAGCTTGTTAGGATAGCGGCGGTGGTCAACCGCGGAAAGGATGGGGGCGAATCCTTTCCTGTAACAGGATGTTATCGACGTTAAACATGGTGGTGAGCTGTGGCGATGGTTACGCGACATTTGAAGGGGCTTACCGAGGGAAGGTGACAAGACTTATGGCGACTGTAAAAGCGATTCTCTCCGGACGTTGGAGCATCAAGTACATTCTAGACTAGATATTTTTTTGAGTTTATAGCGTTGTTCGTTTAGAGAAACAGATTGTAATAAAAAAAAGAAAAAGTGGCTTAAAGCGGTCGCTTTGATCAACAAAATGGAGGTTGTTTTTTCTTGCACACAACAGGTCGAGTAGGAAAATAAATCCTACATGACCTCGTGGGACATTATCACAAAAAAAAAAAAAAAAAAAAAAAAGAGTTTGCACATAGTGTTTGCAGGAAAGAAGAGAAACTAAACCAAACATTAGCAGCGTATGGGTTTTTGATCAGCAGACATGGTTTCCGCGCAATAAGGAGGGGGCGCGTTTAAAAGTAGCAATGTTTTACATTTCGCCGCCTCACACTATAATAAATAAAAAAAAAAAAAAAAAAATAAAGAGGAGTCTGGTCTAGCAACCACAAGTCTCTTTCTCACATAGACTTTCCTCTGTCAATAAAAAAATATAAAGGAGAATAAGAACACGAGCATGTGCGATGGGGAAGTATATGAAGTTATCCATTTCTCGTTCCTCAAGTCATCAAGGCACATTTTCATATGGACTCTTGTCTCTAACAAAACGTTTTTGAAAAAAGACATACAGGATGGCTATACTGCAAACGGATTGATCTCGCTCGTTATTATTATACATGTGCATTAGCACGGAAAAAACGATTATGTAACAAAAATATATATATGTATATGCTATAGTTGTATAAAAAAGGCTTCCTCGTCAGATAGCCTCTTGATGAAATGAGTAAAATGAATACAAAGAAAAAAGCAAAAAGTTAACAGGAACGACCCTTTTTTTTTTTTTTTTTTTTTTTTTTTCGCTTCCTTTTTGTTTTGTGAAGAGTCGAGCATAAAAGGAAAAAAAAAAAAAAAAAAAAAAAAATTGCGGTATATGCGCGATAGCAACGAATGGAATCTATAAGTGGATACAGAAAGCATAAAAAAAAAAAGCGACAGGTGTGTATACAGGAAAGTGACATGACCGAAGAATTAACGGGGGTCGCGATCCCGAGAAGCTGAGTAATGAGCATCAGAGCGCGAATACGACACATGATGTGGCATTTCCTGTCCGTGACGGTCCACAGGTCTCCCGTCCATACCGGAATGATGTGGCGTATATCGACCATTATTCGAGGATGGTCCACTTGAAGCAGATCCTGACGAACCTACCGCTTGAGATTGATGTGGTGAGTGGGGTGGAGGAGGACCACCTTGCTGTTGCTGCTGTGGTGCATAGCCGCCATACCGAAGTTGATGCTGCAAATGAGATATCTGCTGTTGCTGTTGCTGCATCTGATGCTGGAGTTTCTCAACCATATACATCATGGAGTCTTGCTTCTCCAAATCCGATCGTCTGTACACGTCCAATTGTGACAGGTACTCTCGCATGATGTGTAGTTCAGTGAGAACATCCCTATACTGCTGGAAGGAAGGGGCAGACGTCATAGCATCGGGTACAGCCATGTCGCGAGAAGGTGGGGAAGGTTGAATAGGGCGACCATGAGAGTCAACTGTGGGTCCTCTGCTAGAGTATCCGCTGCTATATCGATAGTTAGGCTCTTCTCTTTCGCGGTTATGCTGACCGTGGACAGGGATCTGCCGACCACTAGTGGGTGATGCAGGTCTTGTCCTATCTGAACGTGAGATATCCATAGCGTCATGCATACTCCTGCTACCAGTTCGTGCATGCTTTATGGGTCTTCTACCCTCTGTAGGCTCAGCAAAGTCGCCCTGGGAGTAGTGACGCGAGTGGCTGGGAGCATGCGGCTCCGCGCTGGGAGGTGTATGAACTGGAAGTGGGGATGATAGCGGTGTAGATTGCATTGCTAATCCTTGCTTAGGATTTTCAGGAGAACCGTTTGTTGGAGATTGATATGTTTTTGGCTCAGTTCCTTCAACTTCCCAAGTGCGATTTGGATGCTGTCCATCTTTAATATTCCCATCTGCGTTTTGTACTGGTAGACTTCGTGTTCTGTCCGAAGAATTGCGGCTAGAAGGTCTGTTGGAGGGAGCAGAGGGAACCGGGTTGCGAGGACGGCCTCTCTTAGCAGGTGTGACCGGAGTAGATGAGGATCCAGAGGGGATAGGGGGTGCTGAAGTTAAGTTCGAAGGCGTTGTTGGTTGCGTAGACGGGGAAGGAAGTGCTGGAGCAGAGGGGGAGACGGGCGTAATAGTTGCGGGTTGAGTGCCTTCTTCCTGGTTTTTTGACGTTTTTTGTTGCTCTGTATCACTACGGGACTTCATGTCTTGATCCTCATCTTCCTCAAGCTCATCGTCTTCCTGAGGCTGGCTCTGATCTTTGGATTCCATGAAGGTATCCTCCTGTTCATCAGAATCTGACATGCCTGATCCACTATCGTCATCACCCGAGTTACCCTCATCCAGAGATCCTCCTTGACCTGACATTTTCATAAGATTGATAACTTGCTTGACAAGATCATCATTGGCTTCTTTCATGTCATCTGGAATGTTGCCCTTGTACATTCGCTCTCGTAGTTGATAGGGCTTAACCATCCTGTTCACTCTTCGAATACACTGACGGGCGTGGACCTTCATTCCAAGAGCATCACGCACATCTTCCCAGGCCTTTGCAACCTGGCCCACTTTCTGCGCAAAAGGATTTAGTCGGATGGTCTCAAGAAGAAGGCGTCTATCTGTATCTTCAGAACGATATCGGCGCTTTTTCTGCATCCTTTTGAGTGCCTGAGGCTGGTTCATCATATCAAAGAGCTGCTCCAACAGTTTCTTCTTTGTTGCTTGTTGCTCCTCCGTCCCTACTGGTCGGTCACGTCCAGCAATGCTTGCCTGGATGATATTATCGAATCGTCGAGAGCAAGTTCTCGCTCTGATACCCTGCTCTCTAGAAATCATCTCCCATGCTTGGGTGGTCTTTCGGATAGCGCAATTAAACGGATCATGTTGAAGGACACTGGTCAATAAGCTAATCTGAATATCAATAGGAAGAGGTCCTTTAGGGGTACCGCGAGCAGATTGGATCTTGAAAGGCTCATCCTTCTTTTGTTGATGCTGTCCTGAGTTATAGTGTTGCTGTTGAGAATGATTAGCTCTGCCAAGCCCTGAATCTTCAGAACCGGGATATCGAGGAGGTCGGGGGGCAAGTGGTGGTAGCCCATCAACAGGAGCAGAACCTGAATATGCGTGGTAATCTCTCGAATAATCGGCATAGGCTTGATGGTGAGGTTTTACAACATTCGGATCTGTGTATTGATAAGGTGTACCATGATATGGTTCACGTTCACGGTGTGGCATGTGATGCGATTTCGGATCGCTGATCTGGCCATACCGATACCGACTCTCATGGTCTGAATATCCATCGGAGTCTGAATTGTGTCGATGACGTTTGCCTTGATATGATTCTGACGAGTCATGGGACGGAGTCATGGTTGGATATGTAGATTCGGAGTAATTTCTCTGTAGTGACATATCTGGGTGTGGTGGGCGCATTGGATAATGTGGAGGCGAGCGAGGTCGCATAACGGGTGCATGACGGGTAAACGATAAATGTCTATTGCTGGCAGAAGGCGATGCGGGGCGTGACCAAGCCGTAGAGGAATTATTGTAATAAGCTTCGTTGTGATACGAGCTGTTGAATTGATGTGGGAAAATATGAATAATATTAGAACATGTATAATTTTATACTTCCGTCATGGGTAGCGTTTTAATTGATCATATCGGTAGAAACAAAAATGTCGACAAAAGAAACAAAACAAAAAAAAAAAAAAGACAAAAGACAAAATGGACTATGTGTATTACGAATAAGCTCTGGCGCTGATTGCTCAATTGTCCAGGCAACATCTGTGATCATAAACAAGCTGGTGGGATATAAATCGTTACCTTGAAGGCGGATGACGCTCGTGCTCACGAGTGTCCATGTACACATTATCCTTGGCTTGCGACTGTGGCCACGGGGCACGATGCTCATGCCCGGATGTACCATTGTATCCACGATGTTCATCCATGCGTGGTTGATGAGAATCGCCATATGGCGGCTGAGTATTTGACCTGCCAGAGGGAGAGTGATGAGATACTGGAGATGATGGAGGATGCTGTTGACCGTCATTATTTGAAAGAGCCCGTCGATGACCAAGACCATATGTCTTATCCTGGTCAAGATCCTTGGATGTAGGTCCAGCTGGAGCGGAAGTGTGTGATGGAGCAGGTGAGGGACTAGTTGGACCCATAGTTTTATTGGGGGACATGGCTGGCGAAGGCGTATGCGCCTGACCGGAATGCGTCATGTCGACTTGATCCGGTGGCGTATGTGGACGTGTAGCGATAGTCGAATTAGAAGGCATGCGGTTGAGGATTGGAGGAAGATGAACGACCAGGACTTTTTCAACAAGGTGTTAGGGAGAGAGCATATAAGAAAAAGAGAGAGGGTAAGAATTTCTCTGATAGAAAGTTAGACAGGAGTAAAGAGTGGGGAGTTGAAGGTTACGTCAAAGAAAAAGAAAAAAAAATTAAAAAAAAAAAAAGAGTGGCAGTGATAACTGTCAACTTCAAATGAAGCCGTGGCAAGTGGTATCAGTTATCGGAGCTGCGTCCAAAGGAAGTGCGACGTCAATTTAACGCTAACCACGAGGCGCAGGAAGAAACAAAAAAGAAACCAAAAATTATGGGTTAGTGTGGGTCATATCGGGTATGATCAATTATGGGTTGTTTTCATAAATGAAGATGGCCTCTCCTCCCTCCCTCCCTCTTGGACTTTTTCTTGGCAACCACGTAAAAAAAAAATAAAAATAAAAATAAAAAAAAGAAAGAAAGAAAGGGAAGGAAGGGAAAGAGGAAGAAGGATAAAGACAACAACTAGTCAGATCGGCCAACGTTCCCTCGCACAGAACACAGTACACACTACATCTGCCAGGGGAAAGAAGTTGAGTTGGGCCCAGATCCGGTCCGATTGCATAAATGGTTTGTTTAATCAGGCGTTAGCGCAAAAAGAGGAGTTCTATCCGAAATCCCAAGAGGGGATTGTTTCAATATTCTTCTTTTTGGAAAACCATTGAGTAAGAGCTATTTATCCGTCCAAGCTCGCCAGGGAAGACCATGTATGTGCCCTGAACACTTTGTTCAGTTGCTCACTATGTACCTCTATGAATCAGCGATTAATCTTTGTTTCCCGTGAAATATCGGGAGATCACAAAAAGAGATGAATAATACAACAATAATAATAGGGGTGATAAGTTTAGCTTTCAACCTTAGAAGGAAGTCAATGAACGAGGAATGACGATAAATAAACTTTCATCTTTAAGAGTATTGTATGGACATTTGGGAAAGAGAGAGTGAAAGAGAAACCACAAAAGGCTTAGCAATGAGCTGAGTGAAAGAAAGGTGTGAAAGATATGAAAAGGTGTGAAATGAAGGGAAAAGCGTGATTGGCCCTGAGATTATGAACTAATTGTCAAACAACGATAAGTAAAATAATAACAAATAAATAAAAATTGACTGACGTTGTCTCAAAAAAAAAAAAAATAAAAAAAAAAATAAAAAAATTGGACGTATTGAAGGAGCCTGGTCCAAACAATCACAAAAAGAAAGGGAGTATACGCAATGTTACTGTTTGTTTGTCGCCACTTTTGAGGAGAAGGGAAGGTGAGAGTGGAAATGATCCACTTTTTGCAATTGCACTGGTTCTTGTCCAATCAAACATAGGGCGGCGATTGACTAAGCGGCGACCAATCGTCACGGCGTTCCCGATCTCCCCAGCCAGAGCAATCTCTTCAATGACTACATCAATCTTTTGCTTGCTGTCTGTTTTATTGTTATTAAAGAATTCAATCCTTAAATCAAAAATTGTAGATCTGCTTGTCCATCCCATTCCTTACCCCTTTCGTCTCTTTTATTTTTCCTTTTCCTTTTCCTTTTTGCCTTTTTTTTTTTTTTTTTTTTTTTTTTTGCTGCAGTCAAATCTGTCGTGCAGATCATTCAGTTTTTTTTTCTTTTGACGTCGTCACAGGGAAATCTGCAACGGACAAAAAAAAGGAAATGTATGCTCCAAACAAAGTAACAAATGTAAATATACCATACAAATTTGGTATCATAACACATAGCATCATCTGGCTCTCTGCAAAAAAAAAAAAAAAAAAAAAAGATCGATAGACGTCGAGAGCATATCTCGAGAGAGAGAAAGTATGGATATCTTACTGATAAGAAATATATGTAAAGTTGTAGTAGGGATGGTGATACTAAGTATTTAGACTAGCATGTGAATAACGTGAATGATTTAATAAAATAAAAAATAAAAAATAAAAAAGCCGATCGCTTTTTTTTTTTCTTTTGGTAATATGATGGCTATCAACTCATGTTGATTCAGAAAGGAAAGAAGGGACGAAGGATAGAGTAGACAAAGAGGGTAGAGTGAAGAAGGAATAAGAATAACAGGGAGTGAAAGAGTCGTTTATTGAATGTGGATGAATAAGGGAAATCTTACATGTAAATGTGAGTGAGCAGAGTGATTAGGACGTTACTACTTTCGATGGTGCATACAAGGTATTGAGAAACAGTCGTTGATGTCAGAGAGAGAGAGAGAGAGAGAGAGAGAGAGAGAGAAAGACGTAATGGAGAAGAAAAGAATGTGAGTGAGAAGAGGAAGAATGTTTGTATAAGGAAAAAAGAAGAAGAGAAGAAAGGGGAAAAGGCCGTGTGTTTGACGGAAGAAGACAGAGGAAAGAGAGGAAGTTGGGGTGGGGAGAAGAATGAAAAAATAAAGCTGCTGTACGCTTCTACAACAGTCGACACCGCAGAAAAAAATATTTCAAATAAACTCAATAATTAAAGCTGAGAAAGAGAGGGAAAAAAGGCTGGAGCCTAGTCCGCTTTGCCTTCACATTGAATTCTCTCGCGTTTGCTTTGCTTGCGATGAACAGCTTTGAAGTGAAAATAGTATGAGAATGTGATTTTCCAATAAAGACTCAACATATTAAAAGCATGAGGAAGTGGGATGCTGTGAGGGGCAAGGAGAGATAATCGGCCAGGAGCCAGAAGCAGATCTAAACCATTTGTATCTAAAGCAAGACATTTCTTCTCTTCCATTGGCGACCACAATCGACAAAAAGCGAACACAGGCAAAAGGAATCTCCAAAACCATTGTGCATTCATTACAGTTCACTTTGAATCTTTTTACTCTTTTTTAGATGAAGAGGGAACTGGGCTTCTCGCTCTTCTCGCTTTTCCCCGCGGGTGCCGATCTAAACGGCGCTGTAGACCTCGTGTATATATATATATAATACAATTGGTATTTGAGCAAATCATGAATACACAACTGAATGCAAAACAATGGACATATAAATTATATATACATTTATATAATAATAAATGAAAGTATGAATGAATGAATTGCAAAATCAATTGTAAATAAAGAATAAATAAAATTAATATCGTTATAAAAAAACCTTACAAATGAACAAACATGATGGGCGATCTGCGCGATTGTTTACACTAAACAAATAAAGAATAGTCCTCAAGGGACGACGCTATTGTACTCGTTTTTCTTTGAAGCATTCGATAGACAAATGATTGATGTTGTTGTCGTTATAACAAATTGCTGGTATGTACTATTTATGTGTGATGAAAATAGCAGCTGACACTTGGAAGGATCTGAAAAAAAAAAAAAAAAAAAAAAAAAAAAAAGTTGGAGCAAATGAACGAACAAACAAATGAGCGGACGAACGACATGATGTGAATGTGTTTTTTAAAGCATGTTATGCAGGCTGCCTTGGAACATGAATATATTTCGGATCGAAGCATCTGCCCTGAGCATCAAACCAAAAGAAAAAAAAAAAAAAAAAAATAAACACATCTACTGAATCTTTGTGAATATGTACGACTAAACATTTTCATCTTTTTATACGACATGTTTCTTACCCCATCCTGTGGAAAAGCTATTAGAGTTCATTCAATACAGTGATTTATATATATAAATATATATTTTTTGTCTACACATCCGATTGATTCATGGCCTCCAAGTTTAGATGTATTGAAACCTTTGTTTATTACGATGGTTTGTCCACCAGATGATATATATCGTTAAGTCATAATTCTTCCACCACATCTTGTTTACGACATTAATTAGATGGTTTTTCGTTCTTTCTTTCTTAGCGTCGACATCGGCGTATCTCGTCAATCAGAATCGTTTCCTGCATCAATGTTAATTGAACATGTATATTTATAACTATACTGAGTACAATATGAAATACACGCATGACATGCGCAAACAGATCATTCAATCATTCATTCGGAAAAATAAAAAAGGTAACAAGTCAGAGCCTTTACCGTGTTCTTGGTAGGCGTGGAGATGCAGTCAGTCCATTTGTATGTTGTAAACCTATTATTTGTATTGCCTGGGTAGAGGTCCCCCTGTTTTGTCTTACCACTCTAGTGAAATGGTGAGCTAAATGAAACCGTCTGGGGACAACATCGATAACGTACTGTAGACTCCATACCACAGAGAATAAAAATATATGTAATTGCCCATGCATCATGACATTGCTTATTCACTTTAATTGGATCTCGTTTAATGGTTTATACTCTCTTTTATTTTAGAAATGACGGAGTAAAAATAAAACAAAAATGTATGACTATGAGAGAATGAGAGGGAATGGTGTCAGATCCGGCCAAAGAGGTAAAGTTATTTTACGATCACCAGGGGAGGGGTTCCCCGCGTCTATGATAATGCTCCGGTGTGAACAAATGGACATTGATGCCAACAGTCATATCGCTTTGTCAAATAGTCTTTACTCTAAAAAAGTTAGTTCGTCCTTTGCTCTCTTTATATTCTGACATGAGCTCTATTTGGACGTACTTCCGGACTCATAAGCGAGAGATCACTAATGATAGGCAAATTTAAAAACCTCTTCTCAGCCAATTTTATAATTAAAGCTTTCTGTATTCTGTAGTATTCACAATGGCATTCCAGACCTCGCATCCATGCGTTTTAATGAATGGTCTGGATACTGTTTCTTTTTTTTTCTTTTTTTTTTTTTTTTGTTAGGAGTAGGAGAGAAGATAGGATGAAGAGCTCGTTATTATCGTTCATTGCGCTCCCATGTTTCCCATCTTTATCATTCAATCTTCAAAATGAATGGGGATGTGAAAGAAAAAGAAAAAATTAGGGGAAGGTTGAGGACAGGCACACAGAGATGTATACTTGCATACTCACATACTCACATCGCATACTCATAAATACACACACAAACACATAACAGGTTTTTTCTTCGACGTTTATCACGACATGATTTGTTTACACCAATGCTTCGCCCTAATGCAACGGCCACTCGATGATTGGAGTAAGTGAAGAGAAGGGACTAGACCCATAAGATGTTGAGAGCGACACGCACATCTGGAGTAAAAACTCCGAGCGTTCATATTGTGTTATGTCTTTATTCTCTATTCGTTTCCTTTTTGGTTCTCTTCTTGTGCGGTATGTACTTTTTTTTTTTTTTTTTTCTTCTTCATACACCTTTATGTATGATATATATAT